GGCTGGACTGAGCACTGAGGACAGGTTCATGTACGCAGCTGTCAGGCAGTCCCCGGCCCACAGGTTCCGGCCCACTCTCCAGACCCCTTATTATCCCACTGACCATGGTTGAACTGTGTCTGCCCCACCCCGACCCCTCCAAACTACGGTGAAGTCCTCATCTCCCAGTACCCGCGCATCTGGAGTTACTCAAGAAATAGCACCTTTGTAGTTGTAATCAAGAGAAATCATTAACGTGGGTCCTAACCCGGCAGGCCTGGTGCCCATAAAGAAGGAGAGAGGGACGTGTGCAGATTAGAGACACGGGGCGGACTGGGACTGAGGCAGAGACGGAAGCTGCAGCTGCAAACCCAAGAGTGCTCGGGGCTACCGGGAAGTGAGAGCAGAAGGAAAGAAGCATGGCCCTACTAATACCTTGATTTCAGACTTCCAGCCTCCAGAACTGAGAAGGAACATGCTTCGGAGGTTTTCAGCCACCAGAGGTGTAGTGCTTTGTCACAGCAGCCACAGGAAAGTAATAAAGACCCGACCATGCGCTTGTGCTCACGGGTTCCAACCACACAGGCATTCCTCTGTTCTGCCGTAGGCCAAGCCTTGTCCACCCCAGGGCCTGGCTCTTTCAGAAGGTTCTACACTCATGTTTCCTGTCCCCTCTCCATCTCCCAATAACACACACATGTCTTTGTTCTGCTTGGGTGTGTGAGCAACAGAGCCTTTGCCATACTCAGGAGGTGCCTTTGTGAGAATATAAGTGTTTCCCACCATTCTTAGGAAGTTTTTGAAATGAGGATTTTCTCACTATCTTGAGAGGTCAATAGTTCGAGGAAAGTTGTGTCTTCTTGTGTATGGCTGTGATGCGGGAAGGATCCAGGTAAGGACCCTCTGAGCTGGACAGGAAGGAACTACAGTCGCTCTGTGGTCTGCCCAAACCTGCTCCCCAGGCCTGCCTCCTCCTGAAAGCCCATTAGCTACACTTTTTGCTAGGGGACAGCTACAGACCCCGCCAAGCCAGGGCAAACTTTCCTCCCCCTCTTCCTCTTTCTCCTCTTCCTTGTTCCCCCTCTCCCTCCTCCTCCCTTTGACTAGGGACTGGGCCATCTCCGAGCAACTACTGGGCGTGGCTATTTTTTACTGAGAGCCAAACTTTCATTCCTCTGCAAGGTTTCTGTTCTCTTCAAGCCCTTTACTAGAAAGGCTGCTGTTATAGGAAATACCCTCATTTCCCTCCCTCCTGACAGCACCATCTTCAGAGAAAGAAGAGCTGAACAGGAAATTAGACTGACAAAGCCAGGCAGGCAGGACAGCATGGTGTAGCTGGTATGTTGTCTCTGGCTGAGTGTGGTGTCTCCTGTGAGTCTAGATGAGGTAGGTTTGATGGCGGGGGCTGGAGGGGAAGCTGGTCATCGGGGTTGTGGCGGAAGGGTAGGTGAGGGGGTTTCTGAAAGCCCTCAGTTTTGGAATAGCAAAGGACCATGGAATGGGGGGGCCTTCTCAAGCTCCACCTCCTCCAAGCTGTGGTATGGCCTATCAGGGCCTGGGAGGAAGAGCCCTTCCTGAGAAGCGAGGGGGGCATGGGAAACACCCTCCTCCCTAGCATGTTCTCAGCTGTGGCCTGGTGAGGCAACAGGGCCAGAGTATTGTGAAGAAAACCTCATTTGTTTCTTTCTTCCTTTTCAGTTTGCACCAAGAAGGCTGTGCCTGGTCCCTGGGAGCTGCGGCATCTGGCCTTTACCAGAAACAACCTGCTATCTGAAAGGTAGAAGGTAGGATCAAGACAGTGCGTCCAGGACCCAAGGCAGAGACCATTCAGTACCTTCTGGCTGCCTCGCCCCACCCCCTCATCTCTGTCTTTATGGCTTTGCTGACTAAGGTCCTTCCTGGGTATATTCTGGGAGCCGGAAGGCCAGCTCCCTAGAAGTCCCTAGGTGGGTGACCCGCCATAGGACACTTTCAGGACTGGGCCAGGATAGTGGCTGACTTCTTTCTTCACCAGACCTGCTGTCTCACTGGGGTTGGATGGCAGATGACTGTGGGCACCTGTATTTCTTCACCTGTTCTAATTTCAACAAATCCTTCCTGGACAGGAGTTCTGGGGTGCTGTATGACCACCTTGTTCCCTAGAGGTGTCTCTAAGAGCAGTCCCCAGGTATGGCTGACTGGGGGAAAAGGTGCCCAACAGAGCCCCAGTATGAGAACAGGAAGAGAGTGAGGGAAACACCATACATTTCTTGGTACCCACAGATGCCCCACTCTGACCTGCACCCCTCCATCCCACGGCCCAGGGGTTGCGGGGCCCAGAAGGCAGCCTTGATCCTGCTGGTTACCTGCCTGGTAGCCCTTTGGGGCCTGGGGGAGCTGCAAGTACACACTCTCTGGTGGCTGTTGCACTATCTGGTCTCCCTGCGGTTGGGGCTGCTGCTCAAGGGGCTGTGCAGTATGGCTGAGGAGCTGAGCCACATCCACTCCAGGTAACGCCCTGCTGTGCCCAGGCCTCCTCCCGTGCCCTCAGCCCTGCCCCTCCTGCAGTCTCTCCGACTGGAGTCGGGCTGGGCTGTCACCCACAGGTACCAGGGCAGCTACTGGAGGGCCGTTCGGGCCTGCCTGGGCTGCCCCTTCCGCCATGGGACTCTGCTGCTGTTGTCTTGCTGTTTCTACTTCCTCAACCCAAAGGAGATTGGCATGTCCTTTACTTGGATGCTTGCCTTCCTGGGCCTCTCACGGTCACTGGACATCCTTCTGAGCCTCCAGGTATGACACAGAGGGAGGTGGAAGGTATGACTTCTTGAGAGTGGGACTAGTTTCGAGGTTGGTCCTTGGAGTGACACCGATCATGGCTGGGAGAGTGGGTTCAGCAGTGGCCAAAAGAGGGAGCGAGTTAGATTGGGGAACCCAGTTTCAGGTCCTTCATGGAAGCCCCCACACTCCATCCACAGGAATTGTCCCCAGCAGAGGTCTCTGCAGTCTGTGAAAAAGGGAACTTCAACGTAGCCCATGGGCTGGCCTGGTCATTTTATATCGGGTACCTGAGGCTGATCCTGCCAGGTGAGCCAGCCATGCTGCACATCTCCAGATGCATAAGGCAGACAGTAAGACATGCAGCCTCTGTATTTCCAGAGCTTGCTATACTTTTTTTTTTTTTTTAAAGATTTATTTGTCCATACAGAACTGGGATACAGGCCAGAGGTGCAGGGGCAGTGAGAAGCTTCACCGGAGACAGAGTGGGGAGCAGAACAGGCAGATCGTCGAAGTACACTGCTGAGGGGAGCAGCGGGCAGGTCTGCCATGCCATGTGGGTCACCTTCAGGGCAGGCAGGGATCAAACTCATGCTGAAGTGGCTTTAGCTTCTTAGTGCTATGCTTTAACCCACTGTGCCACCAGGGAGGGCCCACTTGCTATATTTTTAAAAATATTTTTAGGTTCAATAAATGGTTGAATCCTGAAGCGATCCAGTAGGCATAAAGGATGTTACTACTATGCCCAGTTTATAGGGGGAAAAATATGGGACTTAGAGCCATTAAATGACTTGGCCAAAGTAGCCCATGAATCCTTTTTTTTTTTTTTTTAAGATTTATTTATTCATGCATACAGAACTGGGGTACAGGCCAGAGGTGCAGGGGCAGTGAGAGGCTTCACCAGAGCAGAACAGGCCGATCGATGAGGTACACTGCTGAGGGGAGCAGCGGGCAGGTCAGGAGAGGTCTGCCGTACCATGTGGGTCACCTCCTGGGCCGGGGATCAAACTCACACTGAAGTGGCCGCGGTTCAGTTTCAGTGCTGCGCTTTAACCTGCTGCGCCACCACCGAGGAGGGCCAGCTCATGAATCCTTTCAACAGATATTCGCCACCTATTGTGTGGGCTTCATGTGCAGCTTCTCCTTTAATTCACACCACCAGCTCTGCTTTACAGATAAATCAGTTGCGGTTCTGAGGGATTGTGGTGACAGGCCCAAAATCACAGCCTAGCGAGGGGAGCCTAGCAGGTCTGTCCAGAGTCCAGGCCCTTGGCTGCTCCTCTGAGGGCACACGTGTCCTGTCTGGCCTGCCAGCCACAGCCGAGGCCTTTCACATCTCGGTGATGTCTTCCTCAAACACTGGGGCTTCTTCCAGAAAACACAACTGCATCTAGCGGTCTGCACAGTACACCTTGGGGGGTCGGGGCTGTCACCGCCACCGGGCTCGGCCTGCCTCTCTGAGCCCTGAAAGCTGTGCCAGGCAGGAGTGGCTGAGGGCAAATGAGGAGTGGCTGAGGTATGGGGCGGGCTCCCAGCTGGCCCCTGGGTGTGAGTGGGTTGGACGCCAGTTCTTTTTCACCCCGCATGTTGAGGGGACGCATGATCTAGGTCGGGGAGATGACTACTTGGAGATTTCCACCCCAGAGCTCAAGACCCGGATTCAAATGTACAACAGACTCCACAACAACAGACTGCGGAGTGCAGGGAGCCATCGACTGTACATCCTCTTCCCATTGGACTGTGGGGTGCCTGATGACCTGAGTGTAGCTGACCCCAACATTTGCTTCCTACATAAGCTGCCCCAGCAAAGTGCTGACCGTGCTGGTGTCAAGGACCGGGTTTACTCCAACAGCGTCTATGAGATTCTGGAGAATGGGCAGCCGGTAAGTGTTCAGGGAGGGGTGGCCCCTGGGGGAGAGGTCAGGAGCAGCACCCCAGCACTCGAGCCCTAACCAAGCACAGATAAAACTTCACCCCTCTTCTCTGAGTCTCAGTTTCCTCAGTTGGTTCTAAGGAACGGCAAGATTTGGCTCTGAATGTTAAGTAACATTTACTGAGCATTTTCTAGATGCTTCAACGGACCACCTCATTGATTTCTCACTGCCACCCTGTGTGCTAGGGACTGTTCAGAACTTCCTCTATAGATGAGAAAATTAAGACCCGAACAATGAGAGAATGGACCATTCCAAGCTGAGGATACCAAGTTCTTGACTGTAAAGCTGCCTTAGAGAAAGACTAACCCAGTGTCTAAAGGATTGCACATGGGTGTTGGAAGGGGGGATCCAGACCAGGGTTGAACCCTAAAACCCAGCCCCAAGACTTGACTTCCAGCTGGAAACAAAGCGCCCAGTTCTGTGGCTCTTGCCCTGGTCTCTTAGGAGAGGATCACGGCGGACAGGAGGAGGATCTGTTTAGTGCAGCCCTGGCCCTGATTTTAGAAGTGGGGTGTCAGAGGCAACCAGACAGTACAAGCCCCATGAGCCCCTGTCAAGACACCCTCTCCCCAGACTGAAGGAGAAGGGGGCCCAGTCTGGCACTGAGCCCTTAGCTGTCTTCTGGGCCTATGATGAAATCTGATCTTCCTGTCACCCCCCAGGCAGGTGCCTGTGTCCTAGAGTACGCCACCCCCTTGCAGACCCTGTTTGCCATGTCTCAGGACAGCCGAGCTGGCTTTAGCAGGGAGGATCGCCTGGAGCAGGCCAAGCTCTTTATCCGGACACTTGAGGACATCCTGGCAGATGCCCCTGAGTACCAGAATAACTGCCGCCTCATTGTCTACCAGGGTAAGGGCTGACAGGCTGGAGGGCAGGAGCCTAGGGACCTTCCAGGGTGTCAGAAGGAGATACGGCAGCACAATGACCTGGGCCTTCCTGCCCCTTCATTGCCTTCTGAGGTCTGGGGCAATGGGGCCTGGGTCGAACATGGAGAGGGTCCCTCATTTCATCTAGAGATGTCCGCGAAAGCAGGAGAGTCCCCTGCCAGGGGCCACGAGACCAGGGCTGCAGCCGTAGCTCTGCCACTCCCTTGACATGTTTCCCTGGGAAGATGCCTTCTGTGGGCATCACCAAGTGAGTTGGGATCCCATTATTTCTAGAACCACACTAGTTCTAGGATTCCATAAACTCTAACCTCAGTGGCTAAGGAGTGGGTGTAGGGAAGTTTTTTTTTTGGGGGGGGGAGGGCTGTAGGATTTGCTTAATAAGATCCAGGCATGCTTTTTTTTTTTTTTTTTTGCTTAGAAGAACTGAGGTATAGGCCAGAAGTGAGGGCTACAAGGCGCAATTCATCAGAGATAGAGTGAAGAGCAGAATAGGTGGATTTACTGAAATACACTGCTGAGGGGAACAGCAGTAGGTGAGACAGGAGCGGTCTGCTGCGCCATATGGTCACCTCCCTGGCCGGGGATGGAACTCAGGAGTGTGCTTACATGAGAATATGTGAGGTCCTAACTCTACTCCTCTCCTCTCTCCCTTCCCCTGTTCCATAACCTGCAGAGGGGAGGAACTTCTCCCTGTCCCAGGAGATACTCCGGCACCTGCGGCAGGAGGCGAGGGAGGAGGTTTCTGTAGGCAGCATGGAGCCCCCAGAGATGCCTGAAGCCTCCAGGCTGTCCCAAGAGCCCCAGCTCCTCATCAGTGACATGGACATGCCTCTCCCACTCCGCACGGATCTCTTCTGAGGCTCACTTTGCCCGAGCACCAGCGATCCCTAAGACTCCTTCAGTGTCTGGATGCCCATTTCATCCCACAGGGGACCACTCGGAGAAGGTTCTTGGTGTTGACGTGACAAAATGAATCCTCTGATCTGGGGGAGGTTGTTTTACCCCTGGGATCCTCAGTATCCTCACCCATGAAATGGGATTACAATCATTGCCCTCCCTACCTGTTAGAGCTGCTGTCAGGACTATGACTATGTATGTCCGGATTTTGTGAATTCAAAAAAAAAAAAAATCAGGTAAGCTTCAAGGACATTTCAGGTGACTTCTGCTCACCCTCCAAACTGTTTACCACCCTTCTCTGCCTCCTCTGCCCTCACTCTGGTTGCGTTTGGTCAGTGGGGAGCTCTGGCAGGATAATTAAGGAAAAGGAGGGTAAGGTTGGGGCATTTACTCCCTGGCCCGTGGCTGTGATGTTAAGGTCCCTGTGGGCTCTCTGCAACTGCCATGTCTGTCAGTGATCCTAGGTCCCACAAACAGCTTCCTCCCTCGCCCCTTCAGGTCTGCAGTGGTTCCCCACCTGCTCTTGGGGTGCTCACTCACTGTGGTCTCCTTATTCCCTGCCACTTATAAGTAGTTCCTTTTAAAAAACACTCCTCAAGTATAATGGGCCAGGCAAGAAAATAATAAGAATAATGAACAGCCATATACCTGAGACATTTTGTGGGGGTGGAGTGGGGAATAGGATCAAAAACAGGGGTTGGGGGTGGGGAGGGAAGTGCACAGGACTATGGTGATGGCACACGGGTGACTTGGTGATGGGAAACCCGCAGGGATTACAATTGAGATGAAAAAAAATGTACAAAAATGATGTAAAAATAAACTGTTATATATATAAAAAAAACACTCCTCAGATGAACCATGAGAGTGTGCCCTCTTGCACCCCAGCCAGACTAGCTGACATTGTCCAAATCTGTGTGCAATGACTCACTTCCTCACACTCCCCCTCATCCTAGCACAGGGCAGTGGGTGGGGAGTATCATTCTGATGTGGACAGGGCCCCCCAGGCATGTTGGGGGCACAGAAGGGGGCAGCTCCTCATTCCACCTGTCCTTTCTGCGCCCTCATCTCCGGAGGAGGCCTGAGGACAGGGAACGGGTGGGCCTGAGTCCACATATGGAGGTCACGGCGGGGGGTGGGGGGAAACAACTGCATCCCTGGCCAGCATAGGGTGAAAGGGGCAGGTGCCACTGGCTTAATGTCCCTGAATGAGAGGCCCGCATAGGACAAGGGGTGGAGAGGATCGTGTGAGTAGATGGAAGAAGTGTGGGGAGTGGAGGACCCTGGATAACTCTGCCAGCCACATGCCATGCCTGATGCCATTGCTGAGCCCCTGCGACAACATGCGGCAGAACTGCACCCCTCTGAGACGGCAGGTGGCCCACTTCCTCCAGTTCCACCTGTGCCGCTCAGGACATGTCCCCTTGGGCTTGAGCCCTCCCTGCTCTCTTTCCTGTGATCACAAATGCTCTGTGTACATTTCTAACTTCAGCATTACTGTGGAGAAAGCTCTCTGCACAGACACAAGCCCCAAGGATGTCAGAGCCCAAGGCATGAAAGGGGAAACAGCCTCTTTTCTCCTTGGCTGTCCCAGACATTTTGCCCCCAAGGTCTGAACACCTTCCAACCCAAACCAGACACTCTTTCACTTAGAAGCCTACCCAGAATCAAGGGCCTCCCACCAGGCCTTCCTCTGTCCATCTAGCCCCAATGTGATGCTCAGGTTTTAGAATCTGATGGTCCCCGGTTCAAATACCAACTTCACCAATTAATACCTGTGTCTACCTGCTATCCCCTGCTCACAGTGACTTCTCCTTCAAGGCTGTTTGAGGAATGAACAGTGCAATAGGTAACGGCCCACATGCAGGAGTGGCTGGCAATAGTATAATTGCTCCTTGCCAGGCCCAAAGGATACACGCTAGTTGTCTGCACACTTTACAGTCTCCTCAGTTCCTCGTTGACTTCTGCTATTTCCCAGACAACCTGACTGTGTGGGGATGTCATCGAGATAGTCCCCAGAGTAGACTTGTTAACCTCACGTGCTCCCGAGGGTAAAACACCAGGGTCCTCCATAGACATCCGTCTGCATGCTTTTGACTGCATGTGAGTGAGCTTCAGTGGTATTGAGGTAAGCAGCGTCCATCCAGAGAACCGCCAGGAGGCTCGGTTCTGGCTCCCTGGCCTCCTGCATCTCCCCACCCTTCTTGTCTTTCCCCTAGAAGTCCCCTCCTCACGCTTTCCTTCTCCTAGATAATATCCATGGAGCTCCTTTTCCTTTTGTGTTTTCCTACCAGTTGGAAGGTTCTGGACCTAGGGTAAGCTGGTTTCAGAAAATGGGAGGCAATGAGACCTCCCAAAGCCCTCCCATCCCAATCTGGGAAGGCAAGAGAACATCAGTGGAAGACAGTCTGGGGAGCTGATTGAGCTAACTGAGACTTGCAAGGGCATTGGAAGTACTTTGACACCAGGGCCTCCCAGAAGGGTTAAGTCTCAGTGCTATCACCACTATCATGCCCCACCAGGGAGCTGACCCACATGGCCCAGCAGACCTCTCCCATCTCACCCGCTGCTCCCCCCAGCAGTGTATTTCAGTATATCCTCCTGTTCTGCTCTCCACTCTGTTGAATCCTCTCAACACCCCCAACTCCATCCTACAACCCAGATCTTGTATGCAAACATAAAAAAAAAGTACTTTGATACCAAAAGAGGAATAATTTAGGGGTGGGAGGAGGAACTTGGAGAAGGAGCCAGGTGGTCTGAAGAGGAGGGAGTAGCTTTGGAACGGTGGTCTTGGGCACTGGGAGTGTTCACAGCAGCATTTGTCTGGGCAGGGACCTTAAACTTCTTTTATTTCTCCAGTCCACCACCGGGCCTTCTCTGTAAACATTCAGCTCCAGCTGAATCCATGCGTGTTCCTCAGAAGCTCTGCTGTCCAAGCCCCAATTTGCTTTTGGCCAAATTCTCTGTCCAGTCTCTTGTTCTGAGCAAGTCAGGCCAACTTTCCCAAGTCTCCCTTCTACAGATAAGTAACTTCATCAATGCTGTGCCGAGGCCCATCTGGCACAGGGCAGAAGCCAAGGATAAGAGGTCCTTGCTGCGCATCTCCATAACTGTCCTGGGTGCCCAGCACTCGCCAGTGGATGAGAGAAATGCCCCCTTCTGGCTTCGGCACTGGCGGCTCTGTGTGGAGAGTGACATGGCCGTGTTGGAGTTTCGGCCCACAGTGGACGGCCACCACGATGCAGACTGCCAGCAGGACATAGGCAGCCACGATGACGGTGAGCACCGGCAGCCCATCCTGGCGAGGGGGGTCCCAGGGCTGCTGCCCCACCGAGCCGTTCACAGCTGGAGAGGTCCAGGAAGAATGGCCAGCCTGGGAGGGGAGTGGCAGAGAGAGAGGGTGACCTAGCCATGTGGACAAAGGAAAGGACCAAAATAGAGAGGCAGACACCCGAAGGCGTGTGTGTGTGTGTGTGTGTGTGTGTGTTGTGGGGGTGGGGGGGAGACAAAGAGATTCAGGGGGAGAGGAAAAGAGACAAAGAGTGACAGGGTGAAAACATGGAGAGAGAGAGAGAGAGAGAAACAGAGAGCTAGAGGCTGACAGAAATAGACGCATACACAGCATCAGAGAGAATAAAAGAAAGTAACAGGGCAATCCAGAGAGAAAGAAACAGACAAGCAGAGAGGGGGGGAAAAAGAAACAGGGAGACAAAAGTCATTCAGACAAAGGACAAAGCAAGGGACTTCATTATGGCCTGCCATAGAGAGCTGCCCCAGGCCCTCCCCCTCTCTCCCTGCCTTCTTGTCCCAGTTCTCTAGCAAAACGGATCCTGAATCCTGGTCAGGAACTCAGCACTGTGGGCAGGCGCGGGGCCTCCTGGGAGTGGGCAGAGAGCAGCTGGGCTTTGACTCTGGGAAGAGGGAGTCACTGTGCCCAGCATCCCAGGTTCCCACTATCCTGACTCACAACTCAGGCGGAAGGCAAACTGCTGTGTATCCTGGGGGGAAGGGAGAGGAAGAGGAGACAGGAACCACACATTTGGGGTGTGGCATCAGTCCATAGCATCCCCCCCAGGCTGCAGAATCACAATGGGGGTCCTGCAGAGGAGGGGTGATCATTGCTGGTTGCTGGCTCATCGGGCGTGGAGTACCCATGCCAACCTCTACCTCTGTCAGGGGCCCAGCATTGTTCTACCTGAAGTTGGGGGGTCACCCTGCTGAGTGCTGGACCAGGGGGGCAGTTTCAGTGAAGGCAGCAGGCCCCTGAGCTGGTGAGGTATGCACAGGCCCAAGAAGCTCCCTGGCCTCCCTTCCCAGCTAACCGGCGGGAGCAGACCCTGAAGACCAGTCCTGAGTCCTCAGTCTGGCCCTCCCCATGGGCATAAGCCCCTCAGACATACTATCCACCCCATCCCACCCCGCAGCACCTGTGGAGAACCAGACCCCACCCTGCCCCTCTCCTCTCTTGAAAGTCTGAGGCTCTCTGGCGCCAAGCTACAGCTCCCAGGGCAGGGGGGCAGGGAAGCCGCTCCGGATGTACACGCCTGCCCAAGGGGAGGGGGAAAGGTTCCGCACCAGCTGGTGAAAGGCCAACGAGGGGCCCCTTGGTCTCAGGCTAATCTGCCAGGGAGGGTGAGCAGAGTGTACCTGGTGCATTGTCCGCCAGCCCAGCGCAAGGCTCCCTCGGAACAGGCAGCCACCGGCAAAGAGAGCCTGCTGCTCCTGCCAGCCCCTGCCAGAGCTGCCACGTCTACGGGGCTCGCAGGCACACCCCCTCTGCACACACCTTCACTGGGCTCTCCCGCTCACTGGGCACTCCCGCGCTTTCACTTCCGTGAGCATCAATCGACACTACCCTGGGCCCAGCCTTACTCTGATCATACCTTCGTCTTAGGCTTTCCCACTTCCTTTTGTGACCCCTCTTGAACAGGAGTCTGGGTCTGCCTGCCCACCCCTCCTCCACCGGGTCTTGGGCTCATGGCCAGTGCCCCTTGCTGACCCCACTCCAAGCGATTTCCTAAATTACAATCCTGTGATTTTGGTTCTTGATTGCAAAATCACAAACACTGAGAAGTAGAGATTATCACACACTAAGTTCTCCCGCCCAACCATCTGGTCTGTCCCCTTCTGGGTAGCCTGATCTATTCATTGCAGAAACTTTGAGGAACTGAAACTTACAAATAGAATAGAAACCCCACCCTCTTACCTACTTGCTGCTTCTTATCTAAGTCATAATCATCTTTTATGACTTCATTCAAATGTCCCTTCCTCCAGAATGCATTCTTCAGTCCACTGTACTGAAGTAGTTTTCTTTCACTTTTCTTTAACCCTTACAGCAGTGTAATTCTCACCCAGCTATTAATATTTGTCACACTTTGTCAAATTTTCCTCCCTAGCTGGCGAGCCCCATGAAGGCATCCTGTCTGGGCCTCAGTGTTTAACATGGTGCCTGGTACTATACAGCAGGTGCTGAACAGGTTTACTGAGTGGAACTTGGACCTGAAGACTCCCCCTGCACACCCCTCCCCTTCCTTAGTCCTGTAAGGTCTGTGAGTAACCTGGAAGGGCCCTTCTGAGCCAGGACAGTGTTCACTGACTCACTCCCTGTCTCTTTGTCCTCAGGGGGACAACCTGGGTATCAAACTAATAAATAACTGTACTATATAATATTTACATAGTTTGTTTTTTTTTTTTTTTTGCACAGAGGTGTAGGCCAGAGGGGTGGGGGTGGGGGGTAGTGGCATGTTTGAGAGGATTCACCAGAGACAGAGTGAGAAACAGAAGAGGCAGATTTACTGAAACATACTGGAGAGGTCTGCTGTGGGGGATCAAACCCAGGCTGTGGACAGTGTGGAGGCTAATGCCAGGCCACCAGGGAGGCCCCAACATTTACACAATTTCACATTACAGGCTTCCCCCAGTATCCCAAAGTAGTCCATTCCTATAAAATCTTTTCTAAGCCTAAATTATGTAAAGCTAAGAAGCAGTTATCATTCATTTGTTTATATGAAATGGTTTGGTGCCTTCCCTTGCCCCAAAACTATCATACCAAATAACATATAAAATAACACTAACAGATTGTAAAAGCAGGAATAATATGATAAATAAATAAAACAGCCTGTATAAAGTAAATGCCTGGGAAGGAGCCTGGCTGCAAAGTAAAGAAAAAAAGCTGAACTTATTTTTTTTTTAAGATTTATTTATTTACGCATACAAAAGGTGGGGTGTGGGGGTGAGAGAATTCACCAGACAGAGTGGGGAGCAGAACAGGCAGATTGACTGAAATCCACTGCTGAGGGGAGCAGCAGGTGATGAGACAGGAGAGGTCTGCCATGTGGGTCACCTCCCTGTGCTGCAGTGGCTGTGGACAGCTTCATAATGCTGAGGCTTAACTCCCTGTGCCACCAGAGAGGCCTGAACCCTTTTAAAAATATCTTTGACGGTAAAAGTGAAAACTCTCTTGGGATTTCTTCTGGTGTGTAAAAACAGGTACTAATTATATAGGTGTTTCATAAAAAGGAAGTGATGTAATGTGGATTTTTAAAAATTGGGGGTATACCTGTATCTCCCTAAAAAATACTTGTTAATTACAAAATATCTGTTAATTACAAAAGGGATAAGAGTAACTTTTAAATAGGACAAAGTTGGTAGAGTTACTGAATGCTGGCTCACCCAAACGTTATGTCCAAAATGAACCCACAGAGCCTGTGAAAGTGACCTTACTTGGGAAAAGAGTTTTTGCTGATGTAACTGAGTTAAGGATATTGGAATGAGGAGGTCATCTTGGGTTACCTATATAGGCACTAGATTCAATGTCAAGTGTCCTTGTAAGAGACACGGAGAAGACAGAGAAAAGGCAGTGTGAACATGTAGGCAGAGGCTGAAGCCAAGGAATGCCAGTCACCAAAGTTAGAAGAGACCGGAACAGATTCACCCTAGAATCTTCTGAGGAAGTGTGGTCCTAATAATATCTTGATTTTGGGGCCCACTCTGGTGGTGCAGTGGGTTAGGGAGCAGCACTGCAAGCTGGCTGCAGCTGCCTCAGTGCAAGTTCAATCCCTGTCCCAGAGGTGACCCACTTGGCACGGCAGACCTCTCCGGTCTCAGACTCTGCTCGCTTCAGCAGTGTACTTCGTCCATCTGCCTGTTCTGCTCCCCACTCTGTCTCTGGTGAAGCCTCTCACGGTCCCTGCACCTCTGGCTTGTACCCCAGTTCTGTATGAATAAATAAATAAATATTTATAAAACAAAAAAAAAGAGTAATACCTTGATTTTGACTTCTGGCCTCGAGAGCTCTTAGAGAATAAATTTCTGTTGCTTAAAGTCACCCGTTTATAATATTTCGTTTATGACAATTTGTTTGTTTTATGATAACTTGTTACAGCAGCCACAGGAAACAAATACACTTACAGTATATCACTCAACCAACACTACCTTACATGAGTGATCAAGTGAACATTCATATAATGGATGTTCAAATCAAATGGAACAAAGCAAAATCACGCACCAGTGATAGGATGCAAAAGAGCGAGAAATCACATAGCTTCTGTGACACTCATGTTTAAAATGCATGAACTAAGTCATGGGAAATAGCAGGCAAATTCAATTGGGGGACATCTACAAAATAACTGGACTATAACCTTCAAAAGTGTCATAAAAATTAAGAAAAGACTTGACTTAGATTCCAAGTTGAAGAAGACTAAAGGGACTTGCAATGAGTAATTCTAGATTGGACCCCTTTGCTAAAGGACATTGGGACAACTGTCAAATTTTAAATGGCACCGGATTAGAAAATATTAACATACCCATGTTAATTTCCTCATTGTGATAGCTGTTTTGTGATTATGCAGGAGACTCAGTGCCTGTAGGAAATACACACTTAAGCAAACTTGAGAATGAAGGGGCATTGGGATATTTTGTTGGCAATTCAAATGGTTCAGGAAAAAGAAGTTCTGTGTGATTGTACTTTCAACTTCTCTGTACATTATCACTTCAAATAAAATATTTATTTTTTAAAAAAGGGAGAAAAAGATCCCAATCATATAAGTGATTGTATGTACCTGCATACATTGTCCCAGATAGGGAGACATCCACTAGAAGGAAATTCACAATGATATTAATTCTGTGAAAGAGGTGGGATTATGTGTGACATATCTCTGGTCCTTCATATTTGGGTTTAATTCCATATGTGTGTGCTGAGGACTTACTATATGTCGGGCATGGTGCCAGGTCTCTGGGATACTAAGAAAGTGAAAACGCTGGCCAGAGACCACACATGAAGAACCATGGGGTTTGGGGTTCGGGGTGGAGGTTAAAGCCAGGATACCGTGAAGCAAGGGGAACATCTGATCCCAGTGAGAGAGAAGGGCCAAGAGAAGGATGTTGGGAATATGACCCTCCTGATAACCCTCTTGTATTTTGTTAAAAATAACAAGGGTTGTAAGGACTCCCTGAAAGATGTTGGGAGGAGGGAGAGGAATGTGGAGAATTCAGTCTATAAAGCATGGGCGGTTGGTGGGCTGAGCGCTAGGGCTCAACCATGGGCAAGCAGGCTGGTCTGAAACAGCATGGAAAGGCAGGGAGCCAGACCCCAGGAATCCCCCAGCTCTTGGTGGAGGGCGCTGATGGACCCCTCAGAAGGGCAGAGAGGGATGTCGGGGGGTTACTTTCACCAGCCTTTGTGCACAAGCCCTGAGGAGACTTAGGGGCTCTGGCCCAGGCCACGTGGAGACCCGGAGCAGGGGCAGGGGTGGGGGTGCACAGCGTTACAACCATACATCCTCAATCCTCATCTGGACTGCAGGCCCAACAGGGCCCCTGGAGCCAGTCCCAATCTGTTTCCTTCTATTCTTTGACAGGAAGCTCCTGGAGAGCCAACCCCCACCCCCCACCCCACCCCAGCACTCCCTCTCTCTTCTCCACTATGGACAGAGCTTCCACCCAGCTAGCCGCTGCCAGCCTGAGACAACCCAGCTGACATGGGGACCTTCAGAGCGACACAGCTGTGCTGGGGGGTCCTTTGCTTCCTCCTGCTCCAAGGTAAGCGGACTGGCTCGCTCCTTGAGCATTCCTCTCCTGAGCTGATGGCCTGGATACTTGTCCCTCCTTGGCATCACATACCACACATGTTTTCCATGGATATGGTGTCTAAGGGGAATTCCAAAGCCTTTTTATGAAGATCAGTTGTATCAGGAGGTAGCCATTACCAGGCAGGGGTAAAATAGAGATACCGTTAATTAACTCTTTTATGGGGAAATTTCCACAGAGGCTGGCTTCCTGAAATGTGGACTGTGACTGCCTCTGTGGGATTGAGACTGGAGAGCAACTTCCAGGGTGTGCTTGGACCAGAGAAGGCGCTGGCTGGCCCAGCTAGCCCCTGGTCTGGCCACAGGCTGGATCACAGCACCTCTGTCCACTGTTGTAGCACATAACTGTCTGTACCTTGCACTTGAGAAATGATCCTTTTTCTCCTTCCATATGAGAGAAACCAGCCTGGAAATGCCTACCATTGACTTTAAACTCAAGCCACAGCAAGAGAGACTCCAGTTAGCTACCAAGAACTTTTTTCAGCCAGGGGGCTAGATGAGTTGACCAGAGGAGAGGACTCGGAAACAACACCTCTCACACCAGTTCTGTTAGCCCCTGAGTTATGGAGTAGGGGTGTTCTCATTAGGGAGCAGTGCTGGGAATCATGAAAAAATCCAGGAGATTCTGACTCATTGGGCAGCAACTTCCCTTGGGCAGCCCCACCCCCACCCTACCAGCCAAGAGTCCCCTTTGGAAGATTCATGAGGTTGTGTTCAAAGCAACAGAAGAAGTGAATGCAAGAGAACTTGGCTGGGAGGAGTAATGGCCCTATCTTGGAGGTGGGAGGGACGACCTGGTACCAGAACACTCAGCCTCTGGAAGCTCCAGATATTTCTCTAAAAGCCCATGTGCTGGAGTTCAAACTCTGATCACCTCCACCCACTAGTCCCTGACACCAGGTCTCAGGATAGAGTTACAGATTGCTCTAAGGTTGGGGTACTGGTGTAGAAAATGCAGAGGTGGCAGAAGAGGAAATTAAAAGGTGAGACTCCTCAGGTGAATTTTCACAGCCCCTGCTTCTCCCAGCTCCCCTAACCACTGTCCTGTCCCAGGCAGGTGCAGAGTTGGGAGTGTCCTGGGCGAGCTCCATCTAAGCTGTTCTCACTCTCTCAAGCTCAGAGCAGTGGGCTGAGGAATCCTTTGGAGGACAGTCAGACACACAAGGTGACTTGACTGTGAATAGGGATTCAGAGACTTGGGACTTGGAGTATCTGAGAGAATTGTGCAAAAATAAAAAAGGTTAGCACTTAGTGAGCATGGATTATCTGCTAGGCACTGTGTTTATGGCTTTATAGGCAATTTCTTATGCTCACAACCACTTTGAGGTCTTAAAATCACTTATATTTTAAAGAAGAGGAAACTGAGGCCCAAGGAAGATAGTAAGTAAGCTTCAAAATCCATGATTATGACTACTGGTGTATACTCTATAGTATAAACTATACTGCTGAGGAAAAGCAGGGTTGTGGCTGGTGAAGGGGAAGAGAGAGAGGCTGGAAGGAATGAAGCAGGTAGGTTTTATGGAAGGGAGGCAAGGAAAAAAAGAAACCCTAACAGCCAGGGTTCGTTGGGTGTCTACATGTTCAGGGGTCATAGGCACCCTGGCCTATAGAGACAGAAGCTCCTTAAATCCCTTCTTCACTCACAGAAGAATCTACTGGTGACAAAAATTCCAAGGGCGGGCATTGGCAGGAGGCAAAGAAGAGATCAGGCTAATGGGAGCTGGAGTTTGTGAGTTGAGAACTTCTCCTAAGACCCTAGTTTTGTTTCTAAGAGTGTGGGAAGGCCATATCGTATGTCCACCTCCCCCCACAACTAAAGTTATGACTTTATAGAAAGTACATGGTACCTTAGGTATCCTTGATCAGTCACTAATTCAAGTTTTCAGGAAATGCCTTGAACTGAAAGGGTATCCCAGGGCCCACCTGGGAAGACCTCTCTCTAGGCCGGGGAACCTGCCCGTTCTAATCCCCTTTTTAACCAACCCCACCACTCTTCCCTCTGCCACCCAATGAGAGAATAAGGTTCTTAGAGGTGGTGACATGGAAAAACCTGGTTCAGGGTTTGGGCAAGCTTGGGCTTGAAAACAATTAATTTCACAGAATTCAAGTGATGGCCACATGGAGGAAGGCCGTGGCTAAGGAAAATAAACAGAGCAGCAGGCTGCCCCGGGCTTGGGTGGGTCCCTGGCCCCCAGCGGCCTCTGTTCATCCAGACAGGGCCTGGTACCTCCCTGATGATGAGGGGCCGAAGAGCAGGAGGGCCAGAGGCTGCAGGCCCTGCCCCAGAGGAGAGACGGACAGACGGGAACCCAGCTGGGCGGTTCCACTTCCCCACGTTGTTTTCCTTTCATATTGTTCACAGGTTTCAAGAATGATTTCATTGTGGAAAATGAGCAAACACAACCTGACCTTTCAGGTCCCACATAACAGCAGGGCCCATAGAACTCTCTCTCACACACATCTGCAGAGACCCTCAGGCACAGGCAGGCACACATGCAAAAGCACGCAGGCTTCTGACTGGAGCCTCCTGGTAGCTGACTCCTCTCTGGGTTTGGCCAACAAGGACCATTTCTGAAGAAGCTTGTGTGAGTGTAAACTGGCTGCCAGTATTTACCTCTGAACTTGCTGCCCATGCACATTCCTACCTCACTGAAGGAGGGCAGAGAGATGGCCCAGACACTGCCCCAATCCCCAGCCTCATCTCATTCACCACACCTTTCATGTCCTTCCCTCAGGGCGGGACCAGGATGACAATATTCACAGGGGAAATGGTATAGGCTGCAGGCTTTCTGTCCTTGGTCACATCACTAGTTTGAGGTAACTTTCCCCTGACCTCATGAGATTGAGACAGGAAAGGACTCCAGAATCCCACAGCTACTGGCGATGGTGCCACTGTGTTGTGGTGCCAGAGGAAGTCAGCACCATCCGCTGCAGTGACATCCTCTAGTCCTTTGCGTCGTGTGTACCTGCCAGCATGGAGGTTTGCAAATTCACAAGGCCTGGGCTCTCCAACAGGCTCTGCGCCAGGCACGAGACTCACCGAGTCTGCATGTTTTTTGCTTTCTCTACCAGGCTACAGCTCCCAGAATACAACACAGCCATCTGGCCCTCAGGGTAAGACCAAATACAGAGGACCAATTCCAGCATGTGGGGCCTCAGAGCATAGGGAGGGCGGAAGGACCTTTGACCTCAGATCAGGGCTGGTGCCAGAGTCCTCAGTCATCCACGGCTGAGCAACTCTAGAAACTTTTATCATCTTGTCCCAATCTGACATGCCTTGAGAGTAAAGAGGTGTGCGGTTGAGAGCGGGGGATGGGGAAAGGAGAAACAGTAGAAGAGGGGAGAAGAGAGAGGAAAGAGAGGAGATACAGCAATAGAGGCGGCGGGCCCTTAGGCTCAGATGGTCTATTTCAGAAACCTTCAGCATTCTCAGTCTGACCACAGAGCCAGCTTCTCCCAATACAGGTGAGTGAGAGTGGCTGCCAACGGGCCCATCCCCGCCTCCCTCCCACCCCATGCCCAGTCAGAACTACCTGAGCCCAAGGGTCCTCAGTTGGGTAAGGGATTGTGGGGTTACCACACCTGCCCCATCTCCAACTGTATCTGTCTGTCCTTGCAGGAAGTAGTCCTCCTTCAGAGCCCGTCAGCTCAAGCCCTCCGAGCAGTGCCAGTACCTCAGGTACTCTGCCGCTTGGACTACACACCTTCCGGGGAGGGCCCATGAGGCGGCAGGCAGTGTCTGCTCGGAGGGAGAGTACAGGCTGGCGGAGGAGCAGACATGTAAACAGGAGCTCACATGGACAAGTACAAAGCAGGCTGACGGGACTGTGAGGGGCACATGAGAGGTGCTGTGGGAGCCTAGACAAAGGCCAGTCATCTCTGGCTTGGGGGCCAGGGAAGAATACCAGAATGAGTGACCTCTGAGCTGAGACCGGAAGGGTCCACCAGAGGAAGACTGTGGGCGGAGGGAGGCAGAGCGTGTTCCAGGCAGGGGGACCACACAGGGCAAGGCCCAGAGGTGAAAGACGATGGCTCCTTCTGGAATTGAAGGCACAGAAGAAAAGGAGGATTTCCTCCCTGTGTACACGCTAAGGGCCTATTCAGGCCACATATATTTCCTAACTCACAGCAGCTCCAGAGGCCTCACAGATGCCCGTGCCAGCCAGTGAAGCCATGACGCCGAGGTCAAGCACGGTGGATGACCACGCCTCATCCCTTTTGGGCCTGACTCAGTCGAAGCCACAGAAGGACACGTCAGGACTCGGTGAGACCCTGGGATGGGTTGGGGGCATGAGAAACACTGGGTCTTGTCTGGGGTGGAAGGGTACCCATCTTCCAATCTTCAGTAGGCCCAGTTTCTGCCTAACAACAAGGGTCTCAAGGTCAGGATCCAGATCAGCAGCACCCTGCTTTGGGAAAGGATGTGAGAAGTCTGATGGGGAACAGAGGCAGTAACTAGGGCCTGGCTGTAATGAAGGTGAGAGGATGTGGACTACTAAAGGCACAGAGTAGGAAAGAGAGGAGCTGGTGAACCCAAAATGATGTGTGGGGCCATACACTTCTCAGGGCACGCTGGCCTTCACCTGCCAGCTGGGAGGGGGGACACCCTCCATCTCAGTCATGCTGTTTCACGCTGCAGGCACCGGTGTCCCCAGCAGTGACAGGAGCAGCAGCAGCACAAGTCGAGGTGCGTCATGGCTGTGCTCACGGCCAAGGGCCCCTGCTGAGCCTTTATCTCATCCTACCCCTTGACTTTGGGATTTTGGGACACTCCGAGCCATTTTTGGGAGAGAGGGGTGAGGATAAGGAAATGGGGTAGCAATCAGGTCTGTGGAGTTGAAAAGGGGGAGAGGCCCTGCCTGGTGGAACAGTGGGTTAAAGCACCACACTACAAAGCCGGCCTCGGCTGCTTCGGTGTGAGTTCAGTCCCTGCCTCAGAGTGACCCACATGGCACAGCAGACTTCTCTGGTCTCACCCGCTGCTCAACAGTGTACTTTGTAGATCTTCCTGTTCTGCACCCTACTCTGTCTCTGGTGAAGCCTCTCACCACCCCTGCACCACCGGCCTATACCCCAGTACTGTATGCATAAATAAATAAATCGTAAAAAGAAAGCAGGGAGAGACAGGTGGCCAGACCACTTTCTGAAAGGGTGCTGGTCTGACCAGCAGAGTTGCTTGTCAGAGCAGCGCCTGGATACAAACATCCATGTTCTTCTTCCCTTCCATTTCCATGCATAGCAAAACACACATGGCTTTAAGTTGCCCACTCTGGTGCCCCACTTCTGCAGTGCAAATCCCTTTCCTTTGGGCCCCTAGCAAGTGGTGGGAAGACTAGGAGGGAAGCATTCTTAACCATCAAACTTCTGGAACTGGTAGCAAAAACAGCCAGCAGTGGTATTTGTGTAACCCTACTCACCACCTGGCTCATCTTCCTTTTGGGATCTGGTCAGAGTGGCAGGGAGGAAGTCTTTTTTGTAGGGTGCTAGGGGGAGCAGGGGAGGAGCTCTCCCTCTCTCTGGTAAGCCCAGTTGGTCCCTTCACATTGCAACCGTTCCCCCTCCGTTTTAGACACCTCTCAAAACGTTACTCCCAAATCAGCCACCGTGAGCCTGAGGACAAGAGAAGATCTGACCATCCTGCCCAGTCCCACATCAGAGACGGTGCTTACTGTGGCTGCATTTGGTGAGAGGAGGGAGAAAGTGGGGTGTGGGAAGGGGTGCCACCCTTGAACCGACCTAGACTCTGGGTCTGCTCAAATCTCGCCCATTGTTCCAGGCTGGTAAAGAAGGCTCTGGTAAGAAGGCCCTCCCGTCAGTTCTCTCTGGCTCTCTGGGTGCTGAAATCCAATGGGGCAGGGTCATGGAGCCCACCCTGGCCAGGGGCACCAAGCTGAGAGTCAGTGTTCATGCTCAGAGCCTGTGTACACAGTACTTACCCAGGAAGGGAATCTGGACTCCTGTTACCCTTTTGCCTCCTCTACCTACCCTTCACCCTATCCTTTCCCTCCTCAGGTGTTATCAGCTTCATTGTTATCCTGGTGGTCGTGGTGATTGTCCTAGTCAGCGTGGTCAGTCTAAGGTTTAAGTGTCGGAAGAACAAAGAGTCTGAAGGTACAGGCCCTGACCTTTGCCTTTGCCCCTCTTTTCTAGGGAAGCCAGAGCTAGTCTGTCACCATTGGATGAATTGGGAGGGTCCACTTGGGTGAACTTTGAGGGGCAGTTGGGTTTCTGAGTTACCCCATGTGACTCCTCACTGTGCTTTTGGGTTTCTACAGATCCCCAGAAACCAGGAAGTTCTGGGATATCTGAAAGGTAAGACCGTCGGGGGTGTGAGGGAGAAATCATCTATGTGACCTCTCATTCCCCCACTCTAAGAGGAAAACAACACTTTGACACTCACTCACTCACTCACTCACACTTGAAATCCTCACAGCCTCCACTGAGGCCAGGGCCGGAGGTGTGGGGGATGGGGTAGACCTAAAATGAAATGATCAGGTGGTGGCAGGAGATGATGACAGCCCTAAGTGAGGGCTGAGGCTCCAAGTACCACCCCATCATCAAATGTATAGGAACTCCCAATCTAACACAGCGCTTGAATTAAACATTCCCTCTAAGCCTGGGAACCATTTATTGAACCCCAAGATGTAGCAAGCACTGTGGTAACTGTTTTGTAATTGTATCTCAAATCCTTACAGTAACTCTTCCAGGAGGTTATCACTGCATTTTATATGTTATAAAAATGAGGCTGGGAGAGAATGTATTGATATTTTGGTCAAGATCACACAGGCAATAGGTAGTAAAACTAAGACTTAAATACAAGTCTTTTTGGGCTTCCACGCTCACTTTTACCTCACTATGTCTAAATAAATTCGAATGTAGGTTTATTGAAACAAAGAGCTAGATTTCTAAACCTCCCCGCTAAATACAAGTCTTTTTGGGCTTCCACGCTCACTTTTACCTCACTATGTCTAAATAAAATCGAATGTAGGTTTATTGAAACAAAGAGCTAGATTTCTAAACCTTCCCGCTCTTTTCTCATCTCCCCTTCTTATCTTTAGCTGCTCCACAGCCAATGGAGAGAAAGACAGCATCACCCTCATCTCCATGAAGAATATTAACATGAATAACAGCAAAGGATGTTCCTCGGCAGAGAAGGTGCAGCTCCTTGGCCCTTTCCTCCTTCCTTACTCTCTTCCTAGCCCGGCGATCTAGTTCCTTAGCCAGAGAGGAGATCCTGTCAGACCCAGACTCTGTCCTGCCACTCCCAGGAAGTTGGTCCTTCCTCATTATGTGTTTATTCTGCAGGTTCTTTAGAAGCAACTTTGGGTCCCCGTGAAGCCAAGAAGGCTGCAGCTAACCCAGGGACTAGAAGGAGAACAGCAATGGGATTAGTACAGCAGTGTAACTTATTTTATTGATCCATATCTACTTGGAGGTCTGAAGGATACCGGCCTTCTTCCAGACTGGGAGCAAACTACCAATATGAGGGACTCCCAGGTCAAATACAGCCTGTTTCTCCCACCACCTCAGAGTCGCGGGAAGCAGGAGTGTACAGAACAAGAGCAAGGAAAATGACAAAGTGGACTGACTACTTTGCATTAAAATTATTTTCTGGCTCGCTGGCTACTTTCCTTTAAAGTTCTGTGCCTCCATGTGCTTTTCTTAGCTACTTTGAAATCTTCTTTCTCAGCCAAGGCATATAGGCAAGTTTCTGTTCCAGCAGGAGCTCTTTGAGAAAGCTGGGAGGTGGAGGAGACATTCTGTTGGATGGGTCTTGGGTCACCTGATTTATTAAGTAGGACTTAACCACCTCAACAGAGTGGGGAGAAAAGGAGCTGTCGAGAGCAACCCATGATCACAGCTAGAGAAGTTTGAAGTCTGGAAATTGAGAACATGGGCAACACTTTCTGGTGAGGAAACGCCAGTGGGGAGGGCTGAATAGTGTGAGGGAGCCCTCTGCCTGCTCCAGCCAGACCCACACTCTTTGATCCTGGCCATAGGAGTATCACTGGGAAGGTTTGGAGTGAGCACCGGTCTCCCTATAACTTCATAGTCAGAAACCCACCCACTGAACCCCATGTAGCTATTTCTGTACTAGAACAGAAAAAAGGTCACAAGTACTGTAGTCATTTAAAGAGGAGGAGGGAAAGAAAGGGGTTATCTGTATTTTTACTAAGAGGCATCTCTGTTATGACTGGTTTGGAAATGAACGCTGGCTGGCAGGAGTCATCTATGGCTGTCTGTATAGGGTGTTTGGCTTTATTTTATTTTATTTTATTTTTTAAAAAGATTTAGTATTGGCCCTCCCTGGTGGCACAGCGGGTTAAAGCACAGCACTAAGAAGCTAGAGCCACTTCTGCATGAGTTCGATTCCCGCCTGCCCCGGAGGCGACCACATGGCGCGGCAGACCTCTCCTGACCCGCCCGCTGCTCCCCTCAGCAGTGTACTTCGTCGATCTGCCTGTTCTGCTCCCCGCTCTGTCTCTGGTTAATTCTCTCACCCTCTGCATCTCTGGCCTGTAACCCAGTTCTGTACAAATAAATAAATAAATCTTTAAAAAAAAAAGATTTAGTATTTATGGTTATAGAACTGGGGTACAGGCCAGAGGAGTGGTGGGTGAGAGGATTCACCAGAGACAGAATGGGGAGCAGAACAGGCAAATCTACTGAAATACATTGCTGAGGAGAGCAGAGGGCGGGTCAGGAGAGGTCTGCCAAGCCATGGGGGTCAGCTGCCTGGCAGGGGATGGAACTCATGCTGCAGTGGCTTCGGAGAACTTTACCACGCGGCGCTTTAACCCGCTGCGCCACCAGGGAGAGCCTGGGTGTTTGGCTTTATAAGCATCTGCTAATTGGCTGTTTAGAACACAGAGGATCCGTTCTGAAGCAACAACATGCTATTTTCTTCTGATTTAGACTTTACAAAGTGGTAGGAGAGGAAAAGCATAGAACAGAAAGTTTCACTCTCTCTGTCTCATTGAAAATATTCAAATGGGCTGAAGAAACCCACTGACTTCTAAAACCAGCCAGGGTATGGCCTGTAACCTGCTCAGGTCTGTGCTACCTGCATCCAGCAACTCAATCATGACAACTGGCTCTCAGTGGCAGGAAATCTGATCACAAGACTGGGCTCTGCCGCAGACTTATGCTTGACTATGGCAAAATCATGTACCATCTAAGATCCTGTTTTAAAGTGAAGTGGCTGGACTACTGAGCCTTCATTACCTTTTCTAGTTCTTATATTCTACAAGTCTATGCATTCTAGTTCTAGGGAAAAATGAACAATGAATTTCTGAGCAGAACTAGCTCTGGTTGGGAGCAAGAGACAATTCTAAGGTGACCCTGAACAAGTCTTTAACATTCTCTGGAGTTATATTTCCCATTGTTTTAAATATGTGTAGAGGGGCTAATGACCCCTACCTGACCTGTCTACGTCATGCGCTAGATGGTAGGTGAAATGAGATAGTACTTGAGAAGTAACACCATTAGTTGTAATTGTAGCAGGTGATGGAGTAACACGGATCCACATAGTACCCCTGCTCCAGGATCAAGGCATTTGCTCCTGTAGCTGAGTGTTGACTGCTGGGAACCCCCAACTGGTTGCTGGGGTAGAGGTGGAAAGAAGACCCACAGCTTTGGCCTCTATTTCTTGCTCTGCCCAATCCTGTTCCTGTACTCACACCTGTTGTTCCTAGGAACACTCACCCATAAAACTTCTGCAAGTAAACTTCTGGAGTACCCAACCTGTAACAGCACTAACAGTATTTTTTTTAAAGATTTATTTATTTGTGCATACAGAACTGGGCTACAGAGCAGAGGTGCAGGGATCGTGAGAGGATTCACCAGGGACAAAGTAGGGAGTGGACCAGGAAGATTGATGAAGTACACTGCTGAGGAGAGCAGCAGGTGGGCCAGGAGAGGTCTCCTGTGCCATGTGGGTCATTTCCCCAGGACAGAACTCATGCTGAAGCAGTGGCTAGCTTCAAGGGCTGAGCCTTATCTATTGCGCCACTAGGGAGGACCTTCTATTTTTTTTTTTAAATTCATATATCATTGATTTAAACCACACAAAATGCAGATGACTTATTAGCCACTTCCAGCATAAAAATCCATTGTCAGAACAGAACTCTCCAGATGACATAACAATGTCTGGAAGTATACAGGATTCCGTGTGAATTGTTATTATTGTTATTCTGATTGCCAGTAGCACTTGATCCAGCTGCTTATGCTGGACTAGCCGTGTTAAGGACATGGGTTTCATGCTAGGTAACTCAGTTGCTGCCTCTGTTATAAGCCCACAAGCTTCCACCTGAGTCTGGACAACATCCTGGAAATATGAACTGTTAGTCACAAGGTACTTGCATGTGGAGGGTGAGGGGTGAGTGGATATTAATATGAGATTGAAAGGTTTTTACCAGGAAATTGACACTTGGTACCACATTAGCCTGTAGATTTGCTGTTACGAAATAACTATCCTTTGGAAGGGGTTGAAGATGAATTTACTTAGTGCTGAATTCTGTTCTCTAGCAAACTCTATTAGAGGGGGTTCTGCTGGAGGATCCTGCTATGTGTGCAAATACCAGTCCCCATCCCTGCCAGGAAATCCAAGAGCTGCCTTCTTTAGCTCTACAGCTTCCCTGAGGCCATATCTCTTCCTTGATGTCTAGACAACAGGATGGCAGCCATTTACAAGACAGCTTCCTCCCTATTCTAACAAAGAGCTTCATGGCCCCGAAGCAGGAACAGGTGGTGGGGTGGCTGTTCTCTGTAGTATCGCTCTCTGGTTTCATTCTAGGGGAAACCAGCTCAGGCACGCAGGTCCAGTTGGACAGGGGAATCGTTTACTCAGTATCCTTTCTTCTAGGACTGGATGAGGCATCAATGACCACCTTCCATATCACCAGTGAAAATTCACTACAGGTCACGCATTTCTAAAAGCAAGTAGAGAAAGCCAATAGAGTTCTGAGGTTGGTTCTAGGTAAAATGGTCTGGCAGATGAAAGATCACTGCAGGCCTGTTGGCTAACTTTCGCACCTTTCCTCCCTGGCACCTTCAAATGGAGCCTTTGACGTTGCCTCTCTTATTAAACACAGAAAGTGATTTTGACCGTGGGAATAATTTTTGTGGAGTGGTTGTTGTGCTTAAGCAAAAACTGACCCAGAAGTGTTCCAAATGTTGAGGCTTGGAGTTCTAAGTTAGTGCTGGAGGTACAGTCTATAAAAATTCATCCAAAACTATTGGGCTTCCCTAGTTGGTCTAGGGGCTAAGTTTTAGTGTTATCACTGTCTGGGTTCCATCCCTGGCCAAGGAGCTGGCCCACATATGGTGTGGTGGACTTCTTCTGTGTTGCCCACTGCTGCCCATAGCAGTTTATTTCAATAGATCTGACTGTTTTGCTCCCCAGTCTGCCTTTGGTGGGTCCACTCACCTCTTGCATCTTGGTGTACACCCTGTATCTTCTACACAAAAATAAAGTAAAAAAGAAAAAAAACACCCAAAAGTGTTAACTGAAGTCTAAGTGAGCTGAAAGGGTACATATTTGCATGACATCAAAAAGATCACAAAGTTGAAGGACTTTTTACTCATCTAGGAGTAAATGAGTAATCTAGAAAAGAAATAAGGTTTCAGAGGATGAGGGGAAGGGTGTCAAGATACCAGGTATCTCCAAGAGGCCCCAGCTCCCCAAATCTTGTCCAGTATTCTTTTTTTTTTTTTTAAGATTTATTTATTTGTTCATACAGAGCTGGGGTACAGGCCAGAGGCTCAGGCGCGGCGAGAGGCTTCACCAGAGACAGAGTGGGGAGCAGAACAGGCAGATCGGGGAAGTACACTGCTGAGGGGAGCAGCGGGCGGGTCTGCCATGCCATGTGGTCACCTCTGGGGCAGGCGGGAATCGAACTCATGCGGAAGTGGCTTAAGCTTCTCAATGCTGCGCTTTAACCTGCTGCGCCAGCAGGGAGGGCCAGTCCAGCATTCTTAACCCTGGGCTCTATCCTATGTAATCCCTTAATTCATAGAACCCTTTCACTTACCTCCTATAGGGTTCTAGCATGCCACTCTTGGGTTCCTCTAATTTCACAGTATCCAACACATGAAAACCGCCAGCCTTTAGCTCTGGGCTCCTGGACCCTAAGGAACACCCTTCCTCTCCATCCATCTTCTAGAGCAGTCTGTCTGGCTTCCCCAAACTGAATAAATGCCCCCCTTATATTCAATTACCTGATATATGTCATCGATCAGGTTCTTTGTCTGTAGAGCACAAATGGCTTCTTCAAGACCCACACTTTCGTGAGCACACGGATGCTCACATATTCCAGGGCTGAGACCGTAAGGAAGGGCAGTAATGTCATCCATCGGAGGCTTATGCCCTTTTGGATTTTTCTAGGACTGTACATCTCCTCACCCCACCCCAACTACTGAAGTAGTGATTAGTAACATAAGTGACATACTTGTTTTGGTCTTCCCGGATAAGATCTCAGTGAGTTCCAGGTAATTTTGTTTGGACATAAGTATGATAATTTTCCCCCCTTTTCAGACCTGATTTTTGGCAGTTCTAACCAACTTAAAGGCATGAGTCAGTAAAGACTGTATACCCATTCACTTATGAAAAGTCTATAGGTGCACACTTCTTTGCTTTTATTTTATTCTTTGCTAAGCTTCGTGCAAGCCTAAGTGGGGAAGGCAAGAATATTCTTTTATTTCCTTTTTACTAATCGAGGGGATGGTCCTTCAGAAAAGGGAATGGTCAAGGAAATGAGTGGGGTGGAAGAGAGAGGAATGAAGGATAGGATGGATAAAGGGTAAGGAAAACAAAGAAGGATAAGGAAAAGCAAAGGCAGGTTTAATTGCTGACTCCAAGACTTCCCTTTTCTTCTTTCCCCCACCCCTGACCACAAAGTTCCCTCTAATGACACTGCCAGAGGAGCCCGGTGAAGAGGGAGCTATCAAGGCTGCATTTTTAACTATTAATACATAAATCTACCTCAGTTTTGTATTTTCTTAGATCTTAAGTTTCAAAATTTGGGTTCAGCATCACCAAATGCAACTCTATATCTCCAGGATCTAACAGACACTGCACTTAACAGGCATTAGCGGTATTTAAATGGACATCCAAGAGGAGAAAAATAGACATATTGTCACTTTCTAGCCTGATTATGCAAAGCCTTTGCCAGGCAGCATCTCATTAGGCCTCCTGAATGTCTCCAGTGTTAGGTGGGGTCAAAGTCGCGATCCCCAGTCCCGATGAGGAAAAGCGCAGTTCGTAGCAGCCGCCTTTTCCCGCTGTGAGCCGCTAGCCCCGCAGCCACCAGCTGCAGCGGAACCCACCCGCCTGCTTTCAAGGGTCGAGTCTCTTTTTACCGCGGCATCGCCGGCGTCCCCTCGCGCGGAGCCTGCCGGGAGTTGTAGTCCACTGTACCCCGTTTTTATGGGTTGGACTACAATGACCAGCATGCCCCACGTTTCTTGCCCCCTTCCCTTTCAGCCTCCGGCGCGGGGGAGGCTCAGCTGACCTACTAACTGGGAACCGCTATGGCAGCGACCCTGGGCAGCGGGGAGCGCTGGACCGAAGGTACCAGATCCTGATCGGAGGGTGGGACAAGATGGGAGGCGGGAGAGGTTAGGAATGGGGGCTCCTGAAGGCGCCTGAGGGCTGAGAACCCGGGTGTGAGATGAAGGATGGAGGCCTTTGAGAAGATGCTGAGCCTCAGTAGGGCTCCGGACGAGGTGGGGGACCTCCCAGATTGTGGGCCGTGATCAGGAAACTAGGCTCGCTGGCACTAACTAGACCCGGCCCAGAGCCCGGCGTCAACCCCGACAACTTGTGGCCAGAGGCCCCCTGCTCTGCCCCAGCCCATGCCCGCCCTGGGCCCACAGGTCAGGCCCCGCCCGTGCCTGGCTTGCAGGTGGGTCAGCCGGTAGTGCGTCTCCTGCAACTTGCTTATCCACGCATTACTCTGACAGCGAAACTGCGCCTCCTGGCCCTCGGATTTTGGTCTTATCCCTGCACCCCTTATCTGGACTGCTAGGCAGGCCTGGTTCATCCTAATCAGGCAGACTATTTATCTAGTACTTATTATGTATCCCGGCTTTACGCTGATCTCACAGCAGGGATGTGACAGAGCTCTCTGTCCACTAAGGGAACTTGACAAGTAAACAGCCAAGTACAAAGCAGTAAGTCCTAGGTTATTCAGCAAGGTCGTAGGCTTGGGGATCACACTGACAAGGACCTACCAGCCTGGGTGTCAGAGAAGGCCTCATGGAGAAAGTATTACATATGATGACATGAAGGAGGCGTTGGAGTTAGGCGACTTCGAGGGATGAATGTCAGAAGCAGAAGCATATGCAAAGGCACAGAGCAAAGAGAAAGCATTGCTGACTTGAAAGCAGTTGGTGTGGTTAGAGTATAGACAACAAAGGAGCCCTTGTTGAGGGATTAGATGGAGACAGGCTGGGCCTGTGAGAAATTTGGAAAAGGAGTTCTATGGGTAGTCACTAAGGAATGTGAACAGGAGAAAGGTGTTTTTAAAGCTTTTCCTAGATCTTCCAGGCCCGACCTGAGTACCTTTGCCTTCATTCACTGTATTGTCAGAACCCTTATTACATTCTGCATGATTATTCTAATTTTCCTCCTTTAAACTATACTCTTTGTGCTTAGTAAAACCTCTTGCACTACTCTCATCAAGTATCTGATTCACATTAGTTCTATGACTTTTACTTTAGGACAACTGAACTTATCCCTACTTTAAATTTTAGTGGTGGGGCCCTGGTGGTACAGCGGGTCAAAGTCAGCTCTGCAAGCTAGCCACAGCCGCTTCAATGCCAGTTCTATCCCGGGCCCTGGAGGTGACCCACATGGGGAGCAGACCTCTCGTGTTCTCACCCAGTGCTCCCCTCAGCAGTGTATTTCATCAGTCTGCCTGTTCTGCTTCCCACTGTCTCTGGTGAACCCTCTCACCGCCCCTACACCTCTGGCATGTACAGAACTCCAGTTCTGTATGCATAAATAAATCTTTCAAAAAATATTTATTTAAAATAAATAAATAAATCTTCGTGGTGGGAGGCATTGCAATGAAAAAGCATTACTTGGTGAGCAGTGCCATTTCTGACCATGGACCACAGAAAAATAGGTATCCCAGAGTACTTTGTATCGAGTCTGTACAAAATACATTATTAAACTGTGCTGACTCACCAAAAAGAAAAAAAAAAAAAAAAGAGGCATACTCTGTGTTGCATTAAAAACAGGATATGGGACTAATGCCTCTTAAACCTTTTTTCTGACTTTAAATAAGATTATTTGCTGACTGATTATTGTAGGTTCGGTGGACATTATTATGCATTTATGTTTCTGACTTTATAAGTTTTTCATGATTGCCACTGTGTTTCTATATGGTACTCTCAAAAAACTTTATATGGATGCTTAGTCTCACAGATAGCTAACGTAGGTAACAGAGGTGACCTGCGAGTCAGACTGAGGCTTAATGGAAGGGCTATTACTTTGTAGCTTACATTGATGCAATTAGAAGAAATAAATATCCAGAAGACAGACCTCCTGAAAGTCATGACCCCTGTGGTTGCTGTAACTGCATGAAGGCACAAAAGGAAAAGAAGCCTGAGAACGAGTGGAACCAGACCCGGCAGGGTGAGGGGAATGCCACTTACACTGAGGAACAGCTGCTTGGGGTACAAAGGTGAGCCTGTGGTGGGATAAAATACATGGTTTATTTTATGTAGAGTACCTGGTTAGAATATATGCTATTTAAGTTTTGACTGCTATATTTATTGTTGTTTTTATTATTGAAACATGATGGTTTGGTAGCTTTAGAAACAAAGCTAGGTGTACGGTGCATTACGGTGTAACTGAAGTAACTGTCCTGTTTCTACTGTAAGAGAAGCAGAGAAAGTCAACTATACATAACAGACATTTATATAACATTCTACCCAATAACAGAATAACACATTCTCAGACACATATGGAAATTCTCCAGGGTAGGTCATGTTAGGTCATAAAACAAGCTTCAATAAGTTAAAAAGGATTAAAGTCATATAGTATATGTCCTTTAACAGCGGAAGGAAATTTACAAATGTGTGAAAAATTAACAACATATTCCTAAATAATAGGTCACAGAAGAAATCACAAGGAAAATTAGAAAATATATTATGAGATGACTAAAAATGAAAGCACAACATATCCAAAACACCTGAGATTCAGCTAAAGCATTAGTTAAAAGGAAATATATAGTTATAAATATTTATATATATATATATATTTTTTTAGATTTATTTATTTGTGCATACAGAACTGGGGTACAGGCCAGAGACGTGGAGGGTGAGAGGATTCACCAGAGACAGAGTGGGGAGCAGAACAGGCAGATCGACGAAGTACACCGCTGAGGGGAGCAGCGGGCGGGTCAGGAGAGGTCTGCCACGCCATGTGGTCACCTCCGGGGCAGGCGGGAATCGAACTCATGCGGAAGCGGCCTCAGATTCTCAGTGCTGCACTTTAACCCGCTGCGCCACCAGGGAGGGCCAAATATTTATATTTTAAAAACTTTCAAATCAGTAACTTGATCTTCCACCCAAGCAAACTAGAAAAAGAGCAAACTAAAACCAATCAAGCAGAATGAAGAAAATAGAGATTATAAAAACAGCAGGAAAAAGTCACCAAAACCAAAGGCTGATGTTTTGAAATATTAAAAAGCTTTCAACCTTTGACTGTAATGACCAAGTAAAAAAGAGAAGACTCAAATAATTAAAATCAGGAATAAATGAAGGGAAATCACTACCAATCTTATGTAAATAATAAGAATTACAAGAAAATACTATAAACAACTGTATTCCAACAACATAAATAACCTAGAGGAAGCAGATAAATTCCTGGAAAGATATAAACTAATGAAACTGATTCAAAAAGAAACAGAAAATTATGTAGACTTACAGCAAATACATTGAACTAATAATCATACAACGTCCCATGAAGAAAAACCCAAACCCAGGTGGCTTCATTGGTGAATTCTAGCAAATGCTTGGAGAAAACGGAATTGATTCTTTATAAACTATTAAAGAAAATGCAAGGGAATATTTTCCATCTCATTCTATAAGGCTACTATTACCCTATAACCAAAACCAGACAAAGATATCACAAGAAAAATAATCAGCCAATATCCCTTATGAATACAGATTCTAACAGCATATAAAAATGTAAGGATTATTTATACCTTGACCATTTATCCAAGGAGTACAAGGTTGTTTAACACATAGAAATCAATGTATTACACCGTGTTAAAATAAAGCACAAAAGGCACACAGTCTTTTTTTTTGCTCTTTGTGGTTATCTGCTGTAGGTACAAAAATGTATTTGATTGAAAACCCAACATCCTTTCATGAAAACAATACTCAACATCCTAGGAATAGGAGGGGATTTCCTCAAGTTGGTAAAGGCCATTAACAAAAAATCCACAGTCAATTAGCATCATACTTAATGGTAAACAACTGTATGCTTTCCAAGATCAGGAACTGGACTGAAACAAGACAGTATGTTTTCAATACTGTGGTTTGGATTCCAGCCAGGGCATATTAGATCAGAAAAAGAAATAGAAGCCATCCAGATTAAAAAGAAGTAAACCTGTATTCACATATGATAAGATCTAGTATAGAAGGTCCCAGGGAATACACACACACACACACTATTAGAACTATAAATGAGTTCAGCACAGTTGCAAAATTAATATACCAAAGTCATTGTTTTTCTATATTTTGGCAATAAAAATTCTGAAAATGAAAAACAATTTCATTATAACAGTATCAAAAAGAATAAAATGCTTAGGAATAAACTTAACAAAATAATAAGCTTATCTTCCTTTGTTAAGATAAAAACCATAAAGATTTGATCAAAAGAATTAATAATGGGAAGATAACCTGTGTTCATGAACTGGAATATTTAATATTGGTAATATGGGAGTAATCCTCAAATTGATCAATAGAGTTTGACAAAATCCCTGTCAAATTCCCAGATGCTTTTTTTTTAAATAGAAATTTTAGCTGAGCTGGGACCTCCTGTTGGTACAGCAGGTTAAGGCGCAGTACTATGAAGCTCTTCACAGTCAACTGCAACATGAGTTCAATCCTTGGCCAGGGAATCATCCCACATGGCACAGCAGACCTCTCCTGTCTCACCCGCAGCTTGCCTCAGCAGTGTATTTCAGTAGATCTGCCAGTTCTGCTCTCCACTCTGTCTCTCGTGAAATCTCTCACCCCCACCTCCAGCCTGTACCAGTTCTTGTATGTGTAAATAAATAAATCTTTAAAAAATTTTTTGAACTGATTCTAAAATTCATACGAAAATGCAAGGAACTCCAAATAACCAAGACGAATAAAGTTGAAACACTCACAGTTCCCGTTTTCAAAACTTAACTACAGAGCTACAGAAATGAAAACAGTGTGAACTAACACAAAATAGACTTGTAGATCAGTGGAATACAAACTGAGAGTATAAAAATAAAACCTTATATTTATGACGAGCTGATTTTTTAACAAGAGTGCCAAGACCGTTTGATGGGAGAAAGAACAGTCTTCCACAAATAATGCTAAGACAACTGTATATCCATATATAAAAGAATGAACTTGGACCCATTCCTCACACAAATATAAAAATTAGCTCAAAACTAAATGTGAAAGCTAAAACTGTAAAACTCTAAAAACAAATGTAAATCGTCATGACATTGAACCAGGCAACAATTTTTTTTTAACAATATCCAAAGCACAAGGAACAAAAGAAAAAATAGGTATGATTTTCCTCAAGATTAAAAACTTTTGTTACCATCAGGAAAGTAAAAAATCAACTCAATAAATGGGAGAGAATAGGGGCCTCCGTGGTGGCCCAAGGTGTTAAATCTCAGCACTGTCAAATTATGGCGAGCCACTGCAGTCACCACAGCATGAGTTTGCTCCACACCAGGGAGCTGACCCATATATCACAGCAGACCTCTCCTGACCCACCTGCTGCTCCCCTCAACAGTGTATTTTGGTAGAGCTGCTGTTCTGCTCCCCACTGTCTCTGATGAATCCTCTCACCACCACCCCTGTATACCTCTGGCATACATCCCAGCTCTTGTATACATAAATAAGTAAAATAAATATATTTTTTAATGGGAGCGAATATTTTCAAATCATGCATCAAGACCATTCAACAATAAAAACAACCCAACTGAAATGTCAACAAAGATTTAAATAGCTATTTTTCCAAAGAAGATAAATGAACAGGTAATAAGTACAAAAGAAGGTGCCCAATATCATTAAGGAAATGCAAATCAAAACCACAAGGAGATACCATCTCACTTCATATCTACTAATGACTATAATTAAAAGGATGGACAATAACAAATGTTGCTGAGGACATGGAGAAATTGGAGCCCTGTTAGATAGTTGGTAGGAATATAAAATGGCATCCAGTTTGGAAAATAGTATGTCATTTCCTTAGAAGGTTAAACATAGCATAGGACTTAGCAGTCCACGCCTGAGTACATACCAAGAGAAATAAAAGCATACAAACACAAATGCTTGTACATGAATGTTCATAGAGCCTTATTCATAGTAACTCCAAAATGGAAACCATCCATACATCATGAACTTAGGAGTGGAAAAACAAAATGAGGAATATTCATACATTGAATACTTTGCATTATATTGTTGCTATGCTTTGTATTGATATATTGTATTGATATGTTACAACATGAATGAACCCTGAAAATATTATGCTTGTGTGAGAAAAGCACTGAAAAGTCACATCTGTAATTCCTTTTATATAAAGTGTCTAGAATAGGAATATTTCTAAAGAAAGAAAGATTAGTTGTTGCCAGGTTTTGGGGAATACGAAAATGAGGAGTCACTGCTAATGAGTATGGGGTTTCTTTTTGGGGTGATGAAAATGTTCTGGAATTAGATGTGTGATAGTGGCACAACACTGAATATACTAAAAAACAATGAATTGTACATTTTAAGGAATGAACTTTGTGACATGTGAGCTGCAGCTCCAACAAAATTATTACCTAATTATTTTATAAGAGCAGCGGGGATTGAAAATTGGGCTGGGGTTCTCTGACACTACATCAATCTTCAACGCTGCCTACCCAACTGCATCATATAGCAGCAAAAGACTGGAGACATGTAAATACCCATCAGTAAGGGACCTATAAAACCTATTAAATACAATAATATATTACTTTTTAAAAGAATATGGTAGACATATAATAATAGCTGAGAGTTATGTCAGTTGCTAGCAAGCATTTTAATGATCCTTCATTCAATCACAACAACACCTCTGTGAAATGTAGGTATAATTATTAAACCATTTCAAGACAACACCAAGATACAGAGTTTAAGTACACAGAAAGATTAGATCCCAAACAAGGCATTTATTCTAGAGTTTTTGATGTAGTCCATCAATTTTCAAAGTGTGGTTTGGGAACCCCAAGGACTTTTGGGAGAGCTCTGCAAGTTTAAAATAATTTTCACAGTAATATAAACACATTATTTGCCTTTTTCACTGCCACTCCTTTGTGATTATAGTTTTTCAGAGGTTATATGATAAATATATCAATCCTCTGTGTTTTACAAGTTTGTTTTCATTTCTAATATGCTTACAGAAACATAATCTCCTTGGTGCCTTCAATAACTTTTAAGAATATACAGCTTCTCAGATAAAAAGTTCAGAACTGCCACTCTAGCCTATTATCTTATGCTTCTCATCTTCCTTTCTTTTTTTAAGCTTTTAATTATTTATGCATACAGAAGTGGGATATAGGCCAGAGGTGCATGGGGTGAGTAGATTCACCAGAGACAGAGTGGGGAACAGAACAGGCAGATGTACTGAAACACTGCTGAGGGAGAGCAGTGGGTAGGTCAGGAGAGATCTGCTGTGCCATGTGGGTCGCCTCCCTGGCCAGGGATCAAACTTGTGCTACAGTGGCTGTGGATAGCTTCACAGTGCTGAGCTTTAACCCATTGAGCTACCAGGGAAAGCTCCTACTTCTCATCTTTCTGTTACGGATCAAGTTTCAAGATAAAATTGTTGAAAAAAACTATATACAGATAGGTGATTATAATATGCTTTCTTTTAGGTGAGAAAAAAAGCAGAGGTCTCTATATATCTCTCTATACACCTTTACATAGGATTCACAGAAAACTAACAGTAGTTGTCATTCGGATGGGTGATAGGGAAGTAGGAAAATTTTTCACCAGCTTAGTACTGGTGAATATTTTTCTTCTACCTGTGTATATATTAACATTTTAAAACAACATTGAAAAAGATAGCTAAGAAAAGAGGGTAGGGTGGTTTTAAAAAAAAAATAGTGTCCCTTCTAGCTTTGCTTTCCTGTGATGTATCTCTCCCTGCACTTTAATATGAGGATTCTCATACTTGTTCACACTTTTGCAGGACGTGGAAAGACTAAAGTTAGATGTAAAAATATTTTGAGAGGCATTAAGCTCTCAGTGGTCAGAAGACATTGTTAATGAATGTTTCATTCATGTATTCAAGAATTTTCTTTTAGGTTTGTTTTGGAATTCACAGATTTGAGGAGAGTATCAACAAATTATTTGCAGTTAATTCTACAAAACAGGATTTTGTAGACCTTCATGTTCCTGATGTGCTTTTAGGATCAAGAAATGCAGAAATTACTACGAAATTCTGGGAGTTTCGAGAAATGCCAGTGATGAAGAGCTTAAGAAAGCTTACCGAAAACTTGCCCTGAAATTTCATCCTGACAAGAACTGTGCTCCTGGAGCAACAGAGGCTTTCAAAGGTTTGATACTGAGTGATACTTAATTCTGCACATCTTGTGATATTTGGTCACAGCTAGTTGTTTTCAGTCTCCCTGTAATTGTTTTATTAGGTCACAAGGAGGGTCTTTTTTAACTACTATTTTACTTAAATGATGATTTTCAGCAAATTTCCCTCCTATCTTCATTCATTTACCTTAATATCTTTTAGAAAATAATATTTGGCTTTTTTTTGTAATGCATTTTGAAACTACCCATTCATTGATTCAGCAAATATTTATTGAGTATCTATGTGCCAGGTGGCATCATGAATAAAATAAGATATAATTCCACTTGTAGAACCTTAGAGGCTGGTGGCCTCTGACAATTAGGGTCTGGACAGCACTCCCGAAATTCTCGACCATGGAACTCTTTGTTTATGAAATATGTTACTAACATTATCCTATGGAAAAGGACCATATATAAAGACCATAAATGTAAGTTTACACCAAATCTGTTTTCCATTGATTTCCATACTTTCAAAAATAAATTCTTAAAAAATATTTTGGACCCACCCATAAACATAAATAACGATCTTAAGAGCTTCCTCTCCACTGAAGTCTTTAGTTCAAGTATCAGTGGATTCTAAAACCAGCAGGTAACTCAGGTAATAGTATTACTGAATAGTATTACCAGGTATTCATTTGGAGTGAAAATATCACCCACAGAATATTTAACTAATTCTTTATAATGGAGATATCTAGCTGTCACCTCTTTAACTAGGTGAACCAGTTATCATCACCAATACTGGAATAATATAATAGCATATTGTACAGCACTTACGTGGCATTCTTGCCACAATGTCTGACTTGAATCTAATAATAAGGGAAAAATCAAACCATGGGACATTCAACAAAGAATATTGACCCACACTTTTAAAAAATCAATATAATGAAAGGAAAAAAAAAAGGTGAGAAGACTTTAGATTAAAAGAAAGTTAAGAGACTTAAAACCAAATGCAACATATGAACTTTGCATAGCTTCATAGTATTGTTTATTTTCTTAGCTGGGGTAATTTTTTTAAGATTTATTTATTTATGCATACAGAACTGGGGTATAGGCCAGAAGTGCAGGGGCAGTGGAAGGATTCACCAGAGACAGAGAGGGGAACAGAACAGGTATATTGACAAAGTACACTGCTGAGGGGAGCAGTGGCTGAGAGAGGAGAGAACTGCTGCACCATGTGGGTCACCTCTGGGGCTGGGGATCGACTCTCATTGAAGTGGCTATGGCTAGCTTGCAGTGCTGTGCCCCAAACCAGTGCACCACCAGGGAGGGCCCGATAATGATTTTGTAAAAAATAAGAATGTCTCTCTTAGGAGAGATGTGCAGAAATATTTGGGCATGAATTGTCAGCAAAGCAAATTTATATGCATGCATGCATGCATGCATAGAGCTGCAGAAAGCAGTGTGGCAAATGCTAATAATTGATGAATCAAGGTGAAGAATATGCATGTGTTTATTGTACTTTTTAAAAATTGTATGTATACTTGAAATCTTCCTAAGAACAAGTTAAAAATGATAGCACTAGAAAAGTCAACATTTACCTCAGTGGCACATTTTTTGTTGATGTACCATTTTGAATCAGTTTTCCCTTCCATATCCAAAGGAAACCAATAGATAGCCCATATTTTCTTATGTCCTCGTGTAAGGTATCTCAGAATATTTACATGTCTTTGAGAAATTTGTCAGATTTCAAGGTATATGATTTTAAGGAGCTCTCTTTAGATTTTTTTTCTCTCTCTTTAGATTTTTTTTTTCTGCTTACCTATTTTATTGCTGTAAATGTTTAGTATAATTCCCTAACTAAAAGAATCATAAAGAAATGCTCTTTCTGGCTGTTTCTAATAATGTTAACTGACTTAGAGATAGGAGGTGGGAATGTCTTATATGATTTTCTTTTTGAGATTTCACTAATTATATGTTTAAGTGAATTTGGACAAAGTTTACAAGTTTTTGCATAGGGAGGAAAGGTGATAGGAAGCATATAAATTTATTCAGTCTTTGATCCCCCATTGAAATATTTGAAATACTTTGGGAGATTCTTAATTTTGAAAGACCATTTTCTAAAATAAGATGAAATAAGACTGATGAATGACGACTTTGTTTTTAGTCAACTTAGAAATTTGCTACTGGTTATTCAGGAGTTATTTCTAATTTCAAGTTAGAATGCACTACTTATGTGACCATATCTAACAATAAGCCACGTAGAATATGAAAATATTATTGATGAATTCCTGCACAGTGGGTGGTACTTTTCCAAGAGGTTTGTGACTTGCAATGAGTGGCAGCTTAGCCTAGGGGAGGGGGGAGAGTCCTGACTTCCAGAAAAAACTGGGGTGGCTTTAGGGCTATTGATTAGGAGTTAATGCTCATTTCAGCAGTAGTTCTTAACTTCATTTGATTCTAGTTTTGTTTCTTATTAAAGGAGATATGGAAAATATCAAGGGCATATGCTCAGGGGACCTTTTTAGACCCCGGCTCCATTCCTTAGGCCTGATGAAATTATCCAGCACAGTCAACTCTGGGCTCATCATGGCTGCTTCTGTGATTGCCCTCAGCTACAGCCAAGACTTTGTGTTGAGGTGTTTTTTTGTTTTGGTTGCAGCAATAGGAAATGCCTTTGCTGTCCTGAGCAACCCTGACAAGAGACAACGATATGATGAGTATGGAGATGAACAAGTGACTTTCACTACCCCTCGAGCCAGACCGTATCATTATTACAGGGATTTCGAAGCTGACATCACTCCAGAAGAACTATTCAATGTCTTCTTTGGAGGACATTTTCCTACAGGTTAATAGCCCAAAATTTTATTAATACATTGTTAAAGTTATGTGTTTGATGTATATATATATACACACACACATATATACATACACACACACACACATACATATATCAGAAGCTCCACTTTGAGGATATGAATAAATATGGAAAACACCAAGAATTTGGAATGGGATGAGCTGGGCTTGAGATATCTGTAACTTCCAGATTTCCATGGTTGTGACCAAATCACTTAGTCTCTCTGATCTTTTTCCCCTTTTCCTCACTTGATAATACCTACCTCACAGGGTTGCTATGCTATGAAGATTAGATATTTTTAAGTGCTTTATAAATAACCAACAAAATGCCCGTCATTATTGCAAAATAGCAGCTATATAAAGAGAAAAGTTAGGAAAGTATCCCCAGAGAGTTGGAAGTTGAGCTAATTAAATCTCCAGGAAGTAAATTGAATTTTATGAGTCACTATTAGATATACTTAGTGACATAATCCAATATTGGCAAGGAAGCAGGCATGAGCATGTCAGACAAGATTCATAGCCAAATGCTCTTTCTTTACTACCTTTTGGGTTCTCTCACTTACTAGTGACAAAGGACTATTTAAATAAAGTCCAGAGGCCTAAGCACATTCCATTTTCAGCTGCTTCACTTGGCCTCCATACTCTTGTTCTACTACTGGATAAAATGAAACAATACTCTGCCCTCAGAGAACCTAGTTGGGGGCAAGGGCCTTGGGAAGGCAAAGAAGGTGTTTTTGTCACACCCCTTACCTAGTATTTGGTTGGTTTGTTTTCTTTTCCAGGAAATATTCATATGTTTTCAAACGTGACTGATGATACCCACTATTACCACCGCCGGCACCGACATGAGCGGATGCAAACCCAGAAGGAAGAGGAAGAAGATAAACCCCAGGTACTTACGAGGAAAGAACGACTGCTCCTGCACACTTATACTGATCTGCCCTTTGTTGTGTGTGACCAAATGTTAGAAGTTCAGCTGTAGCTACATTGCAGAGACACTGGTAAGAAGAGCTGGATAGGCCCTCCCTGGTGGCGCAGTGGGTTACAGCACAGCACTGAAAAGCTAAAGCCACTTCCACATGAGTTCGATTCCCGCCTGTCCCGGAGGTGACCACATGGCGTGGCAGACCTCTCCTGACCCACCCACTGCTCTCCTTAGCAGTGTACTTTGTCAGTCTGCCTGTTCTGCTCCCCACTCTGTCTCTGGTGAAGCCTCTCACCGCCCCTGAGCCTCTGGCTTGTACCCCCAGTTCTGTATGCACAAATAAAGAAATCTTTAAAAAAAAATTCGTAAGTAATGCATACTTAAGGTAAGGGACCAAAGAGTGTCATGAAGCTCAAGGGCAAGGAGCACAGCTGGGCCTCGGGACAGACGGGGCCCGGGAGCTGGCGTGCTGTCAGGTGCTCTGCACCTATGTGCCCCATGACTCTTTGGGACCAGACTGTCTCCAGTTTTCCTGCCTCTCTGTATCTGCTTTGTTCTCTCTAAGCAGCCTGACTTGTTCTGCTTCTCCTTGCCAATGGTCAGTCTATACATGGTGCCTATGAATATGTGTCCTTTCTTCGCTGTCCTTTTAAAAGTGCCTACCTTACAGTGAATGGTGATAAATGTTAATCCCACACTCCTAGGAGCGAGAATGTAATGATCCCTTCTAAGGTTAGATGTCCCCCCCCCCGCCCCCTGCCCCGGTCAACTGTAGCCAAGTTAAGAGAGATACATGATCCTAACATGGGCCATGAGTCAAATTATCCAGTGTAGACTGGATGAGACACTGAAAAGACTCATCCAGATGTGTGTGAATGGGCTTTATGGGTCTTAGAAAAGGGGGCTGCAGAAGGATTACTGAGTGTTGTGGGTGGACTTCCTTCAGCCTTCTCAGTAGAGAGGATAAGAGTTGTTTGGTCTCTTACTATGTACCCTCAGTATACTTTCAGTAGACAGTACAGTCTTCCCAGAAAAGCTTTGGGCTTTGTGCAAAACTAGACTCATTTTGATAAGCTTTATTTTAAAATTATGTTTATTGATTTACAGTGGTTTTTAGCACTGTATGTGTGTGTGTGTGTAAAGCTTGTCAAAATTAGTCTAGTTTTCCCAAAGAATATACTGCATAAAGCCCAAATATATATATATATATATACACACACACACGTGTGTATACACACACACACACACACACTGCTATTCTTTCTATATATTCTGCTCTGTAAAATGTATACATCTATATATTTTTGGTAGTACACACACTAATACCTCTACAAGTATATGTCATCATACCATGCCCACCACCAAAGCCCCAGTAATCCATCATAGTCTACTGGGCCCCTTCTCTCTTTAAGCTTACTGTTGATGAAAATACTTACAGTCAACATTTGTTTCTTTTTCAGACTACTTATTCTGCATTTATCCAGTTACTTCCAGTTCTGGTGATTGTTATTATATCTGTCATTACTCAACTGCTGGCTGCTAATCCCCCATATAGTTTATTCTATAAATCGTAAGTCAAATATTTAGAAATCTTTCTTAATAAGCTGGAGGATGAAAGACTTAAAGGTTTTGCTGGTACATCACTGAAATTTTGCTTCACTTTTCATTGTGTAAAACACTAATTGTCTGGTTTAAAGGAACAGCTGGATAAATAATACAGAGATTCAAAAATGCTGTCCGTGGTTGTCCTTGTAAGTCAGGACACGTGTTGTTTTGTTGCACAGTGACATCATTCGGTCAGCTGCAGAATAGCAGCAACCATTTGCTGAAGGATCAATGGAGTGACTGTGCTCAGATTAAATCCTTATCACACCAAGTTAGAGTTAGAAAGGGTTCTGTGGCGCTTGCTAGATTGATGGCACTGTGTCTAGCGACATGTAGCTGAGATCAGTGGATTTTCAACTTAAATTGTTGCAAGAACAGCACATTTATTCATGATAAGGCTCTATAGTCAAAACTCAGCAGAAATGGGCTGAGTTCTTAGACACTGGGCAAGCTCTGTAAGTCAAGAGATCAAAGAAAAAGGCTGGGAAAGGCCAAAGAAAACTCGCAGAAGATGGTATTTGTTCATTTTGAACAAAATCAGCTTGGGTTTTTTTACACATTGCTGTCATGTCATATACTTGCTTTTGCTAAAAATACAGAAAATCATTGTAATGTTTGTAATGCGTGCAAATTACAAGCTTTGATCAGATTTTTTTATTCCAATTGATTATTTTAACTAATTCCAGTTCTCAGTTTCATCTCAGACCAGCATCATTAGCATCAAATGGCAACAGGTTACAACTCTTGGGCCTTATCTACTGAATCAGAAACTCTGGAGGTAGGAACCAGCTATACTGAGTTTTAACAAGCTCTCTAGATAATCCTGCTCCTCTATAGTAAGGTTTGAGGATCACTAGATTTATTTTTTTAGTTTATTATTGAAGAATGAATCATTACTCATCATTGTAGTTTTGCAGAAGGAAAGAAATTTTGTAGAAGGAAAGAAAAGGAAGAAAAAAAAGAATATAGCTTAATAGACAAAAATCTTACAAAATTTGAAAATCATGGGTAATACATAAGTCTTTGTTGATCACTGTAGACTAAAGACTATCATTCTAGGCTGCCTTTCTCTCTTTCTTTTACAAAGAAGAATGTTGAAACTCAGAAATCACTGTTAACATGTCACCCTGGCCCGATTCCCTCTATTTCTTGAGTAGCTATTTTTCTCCATATGCTCTGCCACCTCCTTTCTCAGGCCACTGGGTCAGAGAGAAGCTTCCCCAGAGGAAGGGGAAGCAGAAATGGCCTGCGTTCTTAGACACTGCACAAGCTCTCTAAGTGAAGAGATCAAAGGAGAAGGCTGGGAAAGGCCAAAGAAAACTCTCTTAAGATGGTATTTGTTCATTTTGAACAAAATCAGCTAGGGTTTTGCACATTGCTGTCATGTTGTAATTTTAGCTCTCTTTTATACTTCCGTATGGTTAGAATGCAGTTACCCAGGCCTTTTAAAGTTTCTGAGCACCAGATACCATTGGATGTCTGAGACTCACAGAGGGTTAGCCCAGATGCATCATTGACATCCTCTGTCTGAGGTTTTTGCAGTTCTTACTTAGTTGTTATGTGTGAAGTACTTTTATTCATGTCCTGAAAATTGATGCAAAGTTGGTGTAAGCTATTTGGTTGTTGGTAAATACTATAACATTAATCATTCATTCAACCAGCATTTACTCCATGCCAATTACTATGTTAGGTCTTATGCAATATACAATTTAGAATTTTAAGCATTTACTTTTAGCCTCAAAAGTAGTAAAAAAGAGAAGCCTCTCCGGTGGCTCAAGGGGTTAAGACGCAGCATTATGATACTATCACAGCCACTACAACATGAGTTCAATCCCCGATCAGGGAGCAACCCACATGGCACCACGGGCAGGCCTCTCCTGACCTGCCCGCTGCTCCCCTCAGCAGTGTGTTTCACTACATCTGCCTGTTCTGCTCCCCACTCTGTCCCTGGTGAATCCTCTCACCCCCACATCTCTGGTCTATGCCCCAGTTTTTGTATGCATAAATAAATAATATTTTTTTAAACAGTAGTATAAAAGAGGTGAATCCTTTAATAGAATAACGTAACTGAAACTGAGACTGAACCCCCAGTATGAATGCGCTCATATAATAGCAGTTATGGTGACATTACACTTAAAACTTTGTCAGAGAAATAATAAATGCCAGATCTTTTGGAAAGTGGTATCTACATCACTCCTGTGAAGCGGTGAATGTGGTGATGCTATCTGTTAGGCCAATGCTAAGAGTGATATTGCTCAAAATAACAAGCTTACCTGAGCCTCTCTGCTGATTTCAGGACCTTGGGCCACACCATTTCCAGAGAAACGCAGAACCTGCAGGTGCCTTACTTTGTGGATAAAAACTTCGACAAGGCCTACAGAGGAGCATCTCTCCGTGACCTGGAGAAGATGATAGAGAAGGATTACATTGATTATATCCAGACAAGTTGTTGGAAGGAGAAACAACAAAGTAAGATGCTCCAAATGAGTATTATCTGGTGACCCTGCTTCCCAGCCTGAAGCATCCCCAGTTTCGTGGTTCCCCTTTCCTTACTTGAGTCACACGTGTTTATGTGGACAGAGGCCCAATCAGGATTTTATAACAAAAGGAAGTTTATTGATAGGATATGTGTGGCTAGGATTTGGAAATTGTAAGCACTTGTTGTCTGTCTGAGTCTCTACCTATGTCTACCCGTCTTCTCCATTCTCCTGCCTGCCAGCCCTCTTCCTGTGTTTCTCAAGCTCTCCTCCTTCATAGCCTTGGTTTTCCATGGCTTATTTCGGTTACTGCCCTCCATGCTGCTCTCCCAAGTTCCCCAACTCTGCCCCTCATGGGCCCTTACTGCATTGCAAGGGTCACTGTCAAGTTCTCACTGCTAATTGGCTTGGGCCATGGTTTCCTAATCCCACATTCCCTTGATAGATATCTGATGGATCCAGTCTAAGTTTTTGAGCAAGACCAAAGGTTTGTAGGTTGTTGGTATTAAGTGAGTGCCTCCTCCCCTCTGCTCCAGTCCACTGTGGTCACACAGGACAAAGTAATAACTCTCTTCAGTAAGGGGGGGTATGAGCAGGCTTTCCACCCTGTTTCCCTTTCTGGAGATAGCAGGGTAACAGTGCCACTTGGCTTATCATTCCAGTGAGTGTTAGTGTGGAGTGCTAATCACAGGAGGAATCCAGTCTCTCAGCCAAGGTTCGCATTTTAGCCCATTTATATTACACACACACAACACACACTCCCATAACTGTATCTTATAAAACTTGACTGGTTAATTTTTTAAAAGCAAATTCTAACTTTTTTTTTAAGATTTACTTACTTATGCACACAATACTGGGGTATAGGCCAGATATGCACGGGTGGTGAGAGGATTCACCAGAGACAGAGTGGGGAGCAGAACAGGCCGACTGACAAAGTACACTGCTGAGGGGAGCAGCGGGCGGGTCAGGAGAGGTCTGCTGTGCCATGTGGATCACCTCCGGGGCTGGGGATCGAACTCACACTGAAGTGGCTGCTGCTGGCTAGCTTACGATGCCGTGGCCTAAGCCATTGTGCCACCAGGGAGGGCCCTAACTCATTTGTTTAAACCTTATTACTAGGTATTATTAAACATCTTACAGAATCTGATAAAATTAGTTCTTCAGACAGTGCTGTTAAGCTCTCACTAACCCATCATGCACCCAACCCCACCCTCAAGCTAATCTCCTGTGTTCTTAAAGCACGTTAGTGTTTCACAGACACATGTAGGATTGTGGGCTCTCTGAGGACAAGAACCACGTCTTACTAATTTTGTTTCCCAGGCCCCTGGCACAATCCTTGTTTCGGAACAGGTGCTCAACAAATGTCCTTTGAAGAGAAGAGTCTCGGGACTGCAAAGCAATGAAAATGGAGAGGATTAAGAATCCCAGAGCAGGGCTGGCATCCAAACCCTAGCCCTTAGGGACCTCGCCCTCTATTTCTGTAGGGTAAAGCCCAGCTGGACTCACAGGTGCCTTAGCAGCCTGGCGGGCAGTTAGTCTAGGGGAACTGAGCAAAAGGAGGAAGTTGCCTTTTTATTGCAAAAACAACAACAAAGAGGCCAGGACCCTACCTTGCTGTTAAAGTAGTTTTCCAAAACTTGAAAAATCAGGAAGGAATTCTGGAGCAAGATGAAAAAAGCCATTAGACTCAAGGAAGTATATAAGCGGATCCAAATCGATGAAATCTAGTTTGTGTCCTAAAAGGCCTCATTGTCTTGAGCACTGAAAGGTTTTGAAATTTGTTGCTTTCTGCAAAAACTGGATGAAAATCTGCATTTCATGTTCCTCACACACTCCTCCACAGCTACACCAGCTGGAACCATGCAAAGAGCTCATGGCAAAGAGTAGACCGAAGGTGGCTTCTAGACTTTAGTTCGCATCCCTGTGAGGCCTAGTTTCAGGGCTACGGCATGAATAAAAATGCAGTGGGTAAGCATGATGCATGTACCCACAAGCTCCAAACGGGGGTTATCAGCACACGCCCCTTAATCATCTATTTCTGGCACTGAATGTTGGTGGCTGTCTGGAGCCTCCACAGTGCCCAAGTGCCATTTGAGAACAGCATCTGCCCTCCGGATCCCGCGGCAGGTGCTGCCAACGAGGTTAAATTTAGTACTTGGAGGTTGTAAAAATAAACCCGCTTGAGAACAAAGTTCCCTCTTGGCAAAATACCGAATGGAAGCTGTTTATACCAAGATAGCCATTGTCTTTTTTTTTTACTCTTTTGTTCGTTTCTTTTCTCTGCACTTCCTGAGAATGCTTAATCTGGGGAACCTCTATGGGTAATCCCTTACTATGAGCACTAATTGTGCTGTTTACTCCTTCACAGCTGCGAGTAAATAATAAACATGATACCAAGGAAAGTGGCCGTGCCACTGGGCTGGAATGGATAAGTTAACAGGCAGAAACTGCCTCCTGGCCTGCGGGCTGAGCTGACATCCTCACCCTGACTGGTAGAGACAGACTTACCAGGCTCAGGAGCAGGACAACAGAGTGGGTAGAGGCGTAGACTTTGCAATGGGGATAAATACACTTCTTACTAGAGGGGTTGTATGGATTATAGAACCATGTATGTATGGGGCAGCTACGACTCTAAGTGTGGTGCCTGGCATATTTTTTTGAAGATTTATTTACTTATGCATACAAGAACTGGGGTGTAGGCCAGAGGTGGGATTTACCAGAGGCAGAGTGGGGAGCAGAACAGGTGGGTCTACTGAAATATACTGCTGATGGGGACCATGTGAGAAATAGGTCTGTTGAGCCATGTGGGTCACCTCCCCCAGGTGGGTCAGCTCCCTGGCCTGGGATTGAACGCATGCTGCAGTGACTGCGATAACTTGATCGTGCTATCTTCAACCCCTGCACCACTAGGGAGGACCCTGTTGCCTGGCGTATAGTAAGTGCCTGGTTCCTGGAGGAGCCCAGGCCTCTTGCTAGGCTGGATGCAGCATGACTCATGGGGTGAGTCTCTCAGGATCTCTTGGGGCATTGCAGCTGTCACGACTGCGATCTGAGCTCCTGTGCAGTATTTCTGGGAGAGGTTCTGAAATGTATTTCACTTGGCAGTTTGCCTAAGGAAATCTACCTTGAAGGTTATGTGCTCTGTCCATTTATGGCAGTGGGATGCAGGGCTAAGAAAGCATTCTGCAAAGAAGAAAAGGTATTCTCTTGATCCTGCCAACCCCAGTGGTGGTGGTTGTTTTGTTTGTTTTGTTTTGAATTGGTGGCTTTGTTATATTTTTTAGTTACTTAAAAGTTACTGAGTATTAACAGGACTTTTCAAAAGTAGAATATTCATTGAGTTGACCTTTTGTTCACTGAAAGTCAAAAGGATTCACTGGCAGCTTAGAGAGGAGTTTCTTGAAGCGTGGTAGGACACTGTTCATGGAAACATTAATTTTGTGCAAGGTCATTGCCTAGAGCAGGGGTCCAGGGGTTGACTGAAACCTGCTTTCACTGAACTCTATGTAAAGCAATGTGATGTTCTAAGCAAAGCACTCATATATGTGCATTTATCTTTCATCAGCTCATTGCACTGGCCTTCTGTGTTGAAATGCTAAGAATCACTAGCCCTTAATATTTTCTGGAATGAGATTTGAGGCAATGAGGCACTTAGGGAAGCTCAGTAAACAAACAAACAAAAAAAAAAGCCACCTAAGGAAATGATTTCAAGAAAGAGGCAACCAACCACCAGATGTGTTCCATATACTATGTGAGTGACTCCAGGGTACCAAAGGCATAGACTATTTTCACAGAAGGCTCCCGAATGGTTTCCCACATGCACAGAAACCAGGGGAGTAGGATTAGTGCTGAGCTTTGAGCAGGATGCAGGAATAGAGGGGCTTCATTTGGGTGCAGCACATGATCCCCCACGAAGCCCATCACCTGTGAGAATGACTGTGCCTGACTGTGCCTGTGCCGAGGCAAGTTCTGGCGAGCAGACGCTAAGGGCACCCCCACCCCCACCCCCACCCCACCGCCCTGAAAGCACATTGTTCTGGAGCCTAGGAGACCTGCTGCTTGCCAAGCAACTGCCAGGCCTCTGGGTCTCCATTGTAGAGGAGTGGTTCTCATGCATAGCCACCCCTCACCCTGGAGTCCTGCACTTAATCTGCACTTTGGGCCTTTCTTGATGTAAATAGAATCATTGTGAGCAGAAATGCCAGACAGTGTTTTGTGTTGATAGAAACTTATTCAGAAACCAATGCCCATTGTTCCCCTTGGCTAAGTCTTGATTCTTGTTTCCAGGCAGTTTGCTGATTAATCAGACAGGTGCTTCTGGTTCCACCAAGAAAAAACAAAATCTGTCAGCAAGATGATTAAGAATGGATAGACATATTTCAAAATGATTAAAATAGCATTTTTCACAAGTAAGGTCTTTTAAACATTGAGTGGCTGCCTGCTGTCGGAGGCTTCACAAGCCACACGTACCCATCCAAGCATGCCATCCTGTTAATACACAACACGTCTCTGGAGGTGCTTTTCAGGCTTTCCTTCCCAAGAATGTCCCTGAAATTTTACAAAAGAATTAAGAAAAAAAAAAAAAAAAAAGCTAAAGCACCGTTGAGTCAGGAAAGACAGCAGAGATTATACTCTGGTTAAAAATAGAATGACCTTCTCTGCCATGAAGAGAAAATAAGATTTAGTTAGTCAAGGAGACAGAGGTCACTGGATCCAGATGATTTCACCTTTAAAAGAGCCCAGCTGCGGGCCCTGTCTTGGTGGCGCAGCGGGTTGGAGCACTGTACTGCAAAGCTAATCCAAGCCATGGCTGCTTCAGTGCGAGTTCGATCCCCACCCCTGAGGTGATCCTTGTGACCAGCAGACCTCTCCTATCTTGCCGATGCTCCCTTTAGCAGTGTACTTTGTAGATCTGCCTGTTCTGCTCCCCACTCTGTTTCTGGTGAGTCCTGCACCTCTGGCCTATATCCCATTTCTGTATGCATAAATAAATAAAAATATCTTTTAAAAATTTAGATAAGCGCCCAGCTGCCTTTTATAGCCTCTGAGTTAGGGACCCCACATGTGGTGAGGGAATGAAGAAAGCCACCAGCAACCGATGGCCTGCCCACCGGAGGCACCGGAGGCAGGCGCCGTGTTGGTCAGCACATGTGAGTTATGATCCAGCAACACAAGGCAAAGAACGGAGCAGCTGTCCTTGTTTCAAATTACAGGAAAGGACGAGTGGACTCCATTCTCTCCCAACTGCCATCTGAATGCCATCCGTAGGAAGGCCATGGCAGTCTCCTCTTACTGCACACGTGCAGGTTTCCTAAGTCTGGTGCCAAATGTTCTATTGATAAGAACTAAGGCCGGTGCATCTGTAATAGAGCACAGATACTGTAGACTACAGGATCACAGGTGTCCTGTAATCCTCAGAGCCAGGTGTCGCGGTCCAAGATGTTCCTTGAATAAATGTTTCTTAAATTTAATGGAAAGAAAAAAACATTACATAGCAAAAGGAGCTTTGATTCCAGAAATATTGATGTGAAACCAAGAGTTGGATTCTGCTCATGAGCTGGTTCCCTCTTTTCTCTTTCAGAGTCAGAGTTGACAAATTTGGCAGGATTATACAGAGATGAACGACTGAAACAGAAAGCAGAGTCGCTGAAACTTGAAAACTGTGAAAAACTTTCCAAACTCATTGACCTACGCAGAGGTGGCTGAGAGGATAATAGTCCTACGCAGGGTTGGGGTTTTGCTACCTGTTACTATTTCTGTTCCTAACTCCATTTTATAAAACAAAATTAGGAAATACCAAACATTTTACAATTTGCTAACTCTGGTGGGGAGAGCTGAAGGAGCTTGAGCAAGGAGCCAGCCTGGGCATTTCAGAATCCTTCCATGGGGTTGGCTCCGGGGCCAGAAACAGTTCATCTAGACTGAGTTATAAACGGCAGTGTGGCGTTCAGCCCCCTGCCCCTTGCCCACCCTGCCTCTAGGAATGTAGTTCAGGCATCACAGGTGGATTCCTATTTTTGTTTCTTACCTCTTCAGTTAAGTCCCAATATTCAGTCATTCCTAGGCTTAGCCAAAGCAGCTTCATAACAGTTGTTTACAGTGTACACCAAAATCTATACCTCTTCCTCCATAAGAGTCATCAGCTCCCCCAGGATTCAGCCTTTGAAACACTCCTACTCAACTTTCCATTTTCTAAAGGGAACGGGGAGAAATGTGAACAGTTGTAGTTATAGTTTTCCATTTGTCTAATCTCTGTTCAGAATTACTAGCATTAGCAAACTGCCTGATTTGAGTTTCTTTTATTTCCTTAACCCTTTCTTGTAGAAGGTCCAGAAATTAAAAGGTACTAAGTAAGGCAGTTGGACAACTCATCGGCAGGAAGCCAAGGCAGGAAGTTGAAGACCAGTGTATGGTCTCAGTTTCTCAGTGCAGGTTCTCGGTTCATCTCAGAGCCAGAGAATATTCTTTTTGCCATTTCCCCTTGCAGGATGGCATTTAAGATGAGTCCCTGCACCCCCAGACGTACAGTGGTCACACCTACGGGGAGGCATGGCCAGCCCAACTGGACTGTTTGCTGAAGCCTAAGAAAGGATGAATGAGGGGAAAGCTCCTCTTTTCATTTCATTTCAAGGCTGGGAAGCTGAGGGGTTTTGCTCTTGTAGTCACTTTGTTTAATCCAAGGCCCTGCTGTTGCTTTTTCATGTATTCAGCATTTATTGAGTGCCGAGTATGAAGCAGGGACTCTCACGTATATTTTCTTCCTTTAGTCTCCTTACAACTCTGTGAAGTAGACATGTTATCTCTGTTTCTGTGAGTGAGAACACCTGCCCAGGGAGATGAGAAACAAAACTGCTCGTGGCAGAGCTAATGGTGAGCGTATTATCAAGCCAAAAGTATGAGATTATTCCTGTTTCTCAAGATTATTCCTGTTTACCAACCTAGCCAGGATGGTAAAGTAGATATCTTTCCTGAGGATGCCCGTGGGCCTCGACCTGTGCCCCCGTATTCTGCCAATAGCAGTTCTGCATCCACTCAGGACACCTTCCCCCGTCTTAAGAAGCAAGACCCTCTCTGAATACAAAATGAGATGTGGCAAAGGCAGGCAGCCCTTCCCACTGGTGACAAAGAAAAGGTGAAATGCTGCCTGGGCTCTGAGCTCAAGCCAGAAAAATCTCTGGGCCTTCCTGTAGAGATAAGCTGCCAGGATCAAGCTGCCCGTGTTGTCTTGAATCTGAACCTGGAAGGAACAGTAGCTCACTGTTGCCTGTACTCCATGTTTTCTTTGGGATGGGAGAAATGTTCTATACTCAAACTGATTCCAAAGTAGATTTTCCCTTTTCAGATGCATACCCACGGTGCAGGCAGCAGGTCTAGCGTGGTTCAGACATGTGGCATTCCACTGGGTCAGGAGGTGGGTGGGTGGTAAAGGTGGGGTAAAGAGTGGTAGTAGGGAAAAAGTGCTCCCTGCTGGGGAGAGGAGCGGTTCCACAGATAGCCAGATTTTGTAGCCCAGCTAGGTCTACACTTCTGGTTTGGCAGGGGCCTCTCTGATACCCAACGAGTGATAGAGAGGGTTCACACTATAAAGGGAGCCAAACAGGCTTGTGGAAAGGTTTGCTATATACACGAAAAAGCAAGGGTCTCCCACCCCCAATCTCAATACTGCAAGAAAATGGGCCATGATTAAACTGACTTGACAGGTTGAAAGTCCCTCTCCAGTTGTCCATGAATATGTAGTCACATGTTTTATGGATTTCATGGCAAAGATGAGGTATCCACAGTGACACTAAATAGAGGCAACACTAACTCCATTAAATGTCAGGCCTATTGTCTGTTTTTATAGCATTACTGGTACTGTTTTATTTATTACCTAATAGATCACAGCATTCACATCTGGTTTTCTTCAAGGTTATGGTATTTGCTTTGGGTTGAAGGATAGTTTAATCTACTTGGTATTATCCAGAATACTGTTCAACTATAATTTTCTGGGTTATATTCTAGATGGGTTATCTGCATGGTGGTAAAAACAAGCATTTTTCTCTTGCCTACATCCTTTGGCAATTTTCCTGATCATATATAAACTCTTGGGTAAAACTGCTTCTTGCTGTCCAAACTTGGTGTGCAGCACCAGGCTGTTTCTGTGAGTATTAATGCAGATCGGAGATATGTGATGGGAGCTAAGAAATGGGGCCTGAGCCTCAAGGAGAAGCTCTGGTTCATTAGAATGAAAGTACTCTCTGCACTGCATGATCTGCAGTGAGGAGGGACGGCTAGAAATCCTTCGCGTTGCAAAGGACATTGCAATTTAAAGGACTCTGTATCCCAGATTAATAAGCTGGGCTCATCTGCTGAAACCAGAACACTTCTGAACTTCCATGATCAATGCCAGGCCTCCCTGCTTGGGAGAAGTGAAAAGTAAGACAATGTGATTGCCACGCTTTCTGTTGGAAATTATTAGAAATGACAGTGAACTCCAAAACCCACTGGAAGATGGAACCCAGCAGCCTGTCCAACCTATGTGTTATTCTCGTTTTCATCCTCACACTCAGGACTGGCTTTGTGAGGAGGCACTGTTGGGATTCCAGAAGCTTTCTCTTACAACTGGCCATCCATGCAAGTACATTGTGTCTGCATGCATTGTTCCTCACAGGAACTAGCACTGAATTAGTATTTATTTTTAATTCATTTAAGGTGTAAGCTTAGTGTTCTAATATATTTATTTTTGGAAAGGCCAAGTTACTATATATCTTATTTTTCAAGCCTGCATTACTGAAACCTTGTGTGCAGTGACCACCAAGTAACTATATACCCACGTGTTAGATACTGAATACATCATTTGCATCACACTCAGTATTTGGAATTAAAGATGTAATTGTTCCGTGACCAGAGCCAGGTTTGACGCAGGAGGAATTAGCTCCTGGTGGAGTAAGAAGTCAGAAGAATCTGGTCACCTGATCTGTGGCATCTGGATTTAGTGTAATTTTAATAGAGAAAGAAATTAAATGATTTTATATAAAAAGAATGACTTCAAATTTGTTCTTTGTTCTTTTACCTTTGCCTGGCATCCTTAAGTGCTGTATATCACCAGACTTCTATAGAGCTTAAGAGGACACAAATTGTTGGCCTCTGCTCCAGTCTTCCATCATCGAACAGTGGGATTATCATTGATTGGAACAACAGAGGCACTGGTAGCATCGCCAATTTCCATTTTTTTCCCCCTAGCAGATAATAGCAGCTAATGTATAGATCAAAACTATTCAGCATCAGAAAATGAGGTGTTAGCCCAGTTCCTGGCTGGCTTTGTTCCCAAAGGCCCATATTTAGAAAAGTCTGTATAGTTCAGCTGAGTGCTAGGGCGGCTGAAAGTACAATAATACCTTTCATTTGAAAAGAGGTTGAAATGAGATTGGATTCAGCAGAAACGGACCGCTTCCTGTGTGACCGGTAGGCTGAGCTTTTGGGATGGGGGTCAGGAAGTAATGGAGACCCAGCACCAAGGTACCAGGAGCTCACATCTAATGGGGAACAATGCTAACTTTACACAGTGGGATGAATGTCAAAGGGTGACCAAGGGAAACCTGCGAATCTACCACAAGGGAATTTAGTGCAATATGAGGGATCATTGAAAGCAGCTCTGAGGAAGACATACTTGAAATGAGAATCACCTCTCCCAGTGTTGTTGCTGTTAGTGGAGGTGGATGCAATACTCCCGGTGCTCCCACTTCTATGACTAGCACCATCATCCAAGCACAAAAGTCAAGAAATCTGGGAAAATGTGTGATAAACAAGTGTGCCTAACATCCATGCCCTTATGAAATCAGTCCCTTTTCTGTTTGGGGCTGGATGCTGATCCAGCAGAATGTAGCAAAACTAGCAGCTTCCATTTGCTAGGGGAAGTGAGCTGCTGTGTAAGTGCAGACACCTTGGGATCTCTTTGCTAACCAGATGGAGAAGTCACACAAGATAACCAAACAACTGAGTTGGCAGCAAGAGCTGAAAACCCAGACGTAGAATCCAAGCCAAGCTATCTGTGCCATCAGGGTCGGTGGGCCAAGCAGAAATGAGCTATTGTGTTCGAAGCACAAAATAGCGAACAACTAATCAAAGGGCTGCCGTTTTGACCCATCACACTTAGGGTAGCTAAGTGTGTTCAGCTGCTTTCCCCTCAGCCCCCCTCCTTCAGCAAGTCTATCAATGTTACCATTTCAATCATCAGATTTACAGGTTTATACGACTCCACTCTGCAACATCCTAAAATTATCTTTCTCAGCTGACACCATCTGAACTCCCAAACTACCATTCACTTTCTCTGACAATAACCACTGCAGTAGCTGCAAAGTATTCTTTTGGGCATCTACAATCTGTGCACCTCATTGCAACCATGGAGATCTTTAAAAACAAATTAGATCACGTCACCCTTCTAAAAGATTTCAGTCCCTTTCTTTGGCCCCGAAAGAAATAAGTCCTTAGCCTAACGCTTACGGAGGTACCACCACATTTCCAGCCTATAACCCCGCTTGCCCTTGTCCTTGATTTTCTTTTTTGCCATACTAGCCTGCCCCAGGGACTTCTCCTATACTATCTCTCTATAACAACAGGTCAGTACCTCCTCTAAGCATGTGTTAGATAAGTACCTGGTTATCTTTTTTTTTTTCTAATTTAAAAAACATTTATTTGTATATACATAGAAGAACTGGGGTGCAGGCCAGAGGTGTAGGGAGTGAGTGTGTTAAGGGGAAGGATGTACTAAAGGAACTTCGCAGTTTTGTGGTCTCCACCCCCTACTCCAGTGATTGGAAACTACAACTCACAGCAGTACCAAGGAGAGAAATGGAAAGACCCAAGGGTGGCACTAAGGAGGCATTCTGGGACTTTGGGGGATAAATAGGGAGCGATTTTCAACAGCTCTGGGGGGCTCGGGAAACGGCTCTTTTTCGACCTTGTGACTAGGGGCTATCAGTTTGTTACTAGAGTTCCAAGTGAGCTGAACTGTAAGATATTCTAGTTACCTTGTATCTCTCATTCTTTCCCTGGGTTGTTCCTTTTTCCTTTCCCCTTTTGTAAATAAACCCATTATTGACCCTTTTGTGTGTGCCTGCAGTATAACTAAATTTTAAATGCATGGTGAAGACCCACAGACAGGCAGCCCAGTTCACACTGGGGTGCCCTGTAACAAGAGGATTCACCAGAGACAGAGTGGGGAGCCGAACTGGTGGACTGGCTGAAATACACTGCTGAGGGGAGAAGCAAGCAGGGCAGGAGAGGTCTGCTGCACCAGGTGTATCACCTCCCTGACCAGAATCCAACTCGGGCCACTCAGGTCGCAGGCTGACAGTGTGATAGCACTGAGACTTCACCCTCCGCCACTAAGGAAACAGAAGTGCCTGGTTATCTTAAGAGGTTTCAGTTCAAATAGCACTTCCTCACAGAAGCTTTCCCTGATTCTAAACTAGGCTAATCTCCCTAAACGTTCCATTTTCTCTTATTTTGGATGTTTTTTTCTTGAACCCAATCACTGGGCTACGAAAAGGCTCAGCAACCCATGGTGAAGAGCCAATATCCTTGATCCTCAACCTCAGATGAGTTTCAAGCTGATACACCAACTTGCCAGTTATATAAGTCATCTCAGAGGTGGAATTTTAGTCTCCCTTGCCCCATATACACACATTCATAGCTCATCAGAGCTGATACCACATGGAGCAGAAATGAGATTGACCAGGGAATCCTACCCAATTGAAGCTTCGTGAGCAAAATTTTTATTTTTAAACTGTAAATTTGGGGTGGTATGTTGAATAACAATGAATAAATGAAAATCAATCAGGCTAATGACCCTGTGCTTTGAAAGGCAGCCCTCCCAGGATACAATCACAGAGCTCTTTGTGATATCATGTCCTCCTGGCCCTGCTGAGCCCTGTTTGGCCAGGAACCTCTAGTGTTTGTAGACATATAGAATGGAACCCATCAGTGGCCATTCCTCACTGAGATGACATCCTCTCATATCCATGAAGTCTAGACCTAAATTCAGGGCTCTCTCTCAATCATAACCTTCGGCCTCACGATTTACTGCTGTCACATTTGCTCTACATGTGGAGGTCACCCTGTTATGACTGGTTGAGGTAAATGTTAAATGGCAAGGGACAGCAAGCAGCATCTCACAAAAGAACCTAGAGGAACACAGTTCACAGTAAAGAATCTGGGATCACTGCCCCAGAGGAATGTTCGGCTTTGTCAAGGGTAATTCAGGTGAACATTCACATCTGATTGACAAAGTTCTGAGAGGGCTGTGCGCAAAGGCACACCACCTTCACGGGCACATTCTAGGCCCACCCTGTCCAGCACAGTAAGACAAGAGCCACATGTGGCTATTTATTAAGTTTTAATTGAAAAGAATTTTAATCTGAAAAGCAACTCTTCAGTTATATGAGCCACATTTCAAGTGCTGAATAGACACATGTGGCTAGTGGCTTCCATATTGGACAGTAGAAAAAAACAGAACATTCCCATCACAGAAGTTCCTCTGGACTGTATTGCTCTAGATCTTTGAAGACTGGCCAGCAGAAATGACCTAACCCTTAAAGACATAAGAACAGACACAAGCTAAAACAAGAGCAACCAATGGGATATCGATAGAAATGACCAACATCTAGTGCCATTAGGTTTTGGGGAACAGCCTGAGGACTTACCTGAACTTTAAGCTTCCAACTTCCACACTGCCTGTAATGTTTTCCCCAAATTCCTTTGTAATCAGTCATTTCCTGGTTAGGGGTATCACATTTCATCTTTGGCATCCATCATGTTCCTCAAAATGCAGCAGAGCATCATGTAAAGAACATGGACTCCACAATTAAAATGCCCAAGTCAGAACTGTGTTCCCAGGGCTTACTAGTTAACTTTAGGCCAGTCACTGATTCTTACAGAACTTGGCAGCAACCCTTCTGCCCGCCTGAAACTTTGCAGGTGCTCCTTTTCGCCAACTTTCTCCCTCTGTAGGGCAGCAGCCTTCCCACCAGCCCATGATCTGTACCAGCCCATGGGGTTTCTGCCCAGGGGTCTCTTCGCTGACCTCAGCAGTGGCAGCTCTCCTCACAGGCCACCCCACTGCGACCATGCAGGCCTCTCAGCAAACCTGTGTCTATGCAAGTTTCCTTCTCTTTTCTGTCCCTTTTCTAAGAAACCCACTCTTGAAATATTAAAAAAAAAAAATCTTACAGAACTTTCCTTTCCTTACCCAAAAAATGGGGCTATGAGAACCTACTCACAAGTTTATTATGAAATAATACTGGTAAGACTTAATGGTTCCACAAAATAGTGGACACTCGATACATTTAAGTTGACTTCCGCCAAGCTTAATCTTAGTTGGGTTTCAGAAAAAGGCCCTCTCCATGGAGAATTGGTGCAGCAATGCGTCCTTCTCTGCCTCCATTTTAAAAGTCTCCTTCATGTTCCACTTCACTTCTAAAAGCTGCGGATTCTTCGGGGCCCTCTCCAACACCTTAACTTGGTAAGGCATGGCCGCAGCACCAGAGTCTGGGGAGAAGCCACTCCTGATATCTCCGGGCTTCATTGCTTCAGTTCAGGCCCTGTAAGTACCAAGTGTGTCCACAGGAGGAAGAAGGATCACAGGAGGCTGGAGTGCCGAGCTATGAGGAAAATTTGGAGACTGAGGTGGGCCAAAAGGGACGCAAAGCTAGAGAAGCAGGGCTGCCCTGGCTCAAAGGCCTGCTGTTTCACTGGGAGAACACAGAGGGTCAGTAAGTGGGTGTTGCCTGTTCATCCTCCATTAAAGGTTGTCTATGCCGGGCCCTGCCTGCTGCTCAGGGTTGCGTGAAAAACAAACTAAACGTGCAAGTCGCCTCAGAATCCTTCCGAGCATTACAGGTGCCCGCTCCGCAAGCGGCTCCTTTAACAGGACCCCACCTGTGCTCACAAAGGAAGTCCCCGCCCCCGGTTGCCATGGTGCTCTGTGAGGTCGCCTTCTCATTGGTGGGTGTCGGTGAGGCGCTCAGCGGCCGCCATTTCCAACGAGCTGGCGGGGGCGGAAGATGGCGACGCCCCTCGGGTGGTCGCAAGGAGGGTCAGGGTCGGTCTGTCTCGCCTTCGACCAACTGCGGGACGTGATTGAGTCTCAGGAGGAACTGATCCACCAGCTGAGGAATGTGGTACGCAGCCTGAAGAGCTGGGAGAGGCAGGACCGGACGAACTAAAGGGAGGGGGGCGGGGCAGCCTCTGTCCGGATGCCGGGGCGAACGGACCGCACTCGCCAAGTGCGTCATCAGGAGGAGGCGGGACCCAAATTAGTTCTGGCTGGCAGGAGTGGAGCCGAAAAGGGGCACGGTCGTCACGAATATTTACCAGGGAATCTTAATCAGAATCCCCGCTGTTCTCCACTCTGCCTGGTTGTGCAGAGCCTGGTGGATGAATACTCGTTTATTCACTGAGCCTCAGTTCCCCCCTAAGTGTCTGCTTGGCATTAACTTCCCAAAGCGCTCCGTAGGCAGGCAGAGCAACTGTATACCCTTTTTATACCCTCTCTCCCTTGTCTTATGGATCGCCCTGCTGTATACAGTAGGCACAGGGTTGGCCCTTGCACACCCTAACCTAAGGGCTTCCCATCCCTTTTATGTCCCTTTGATTTTGCTTTCTCAATCGAACCCCAGTTCTTGGCTGCAAAGCATTGGAACCACGGTTTATCGGGAAAGGCTTTGTAAAATCCTCACACACTGAATGGTTTTTCGGTTGGGATAAATTTGTTTCACAGTAGAACTAACTTGACAGCTATCTCTCTCGCAGTAACTGTCTCATGCAGTTCTAGGAACTCAACTACCTTCTGAAGGTACCCAGCTCTTTTCCTTTGCAGCCGGGCTGTATATATGTGTTCCCAGCCTTTGCTGGGAAACTTTTCTTTTTTTCCCCTTCTCTCAGACCCATCCTTATTTAGCAGTCATATCTCCGGAGGCAGATCTTACCCCACCCCGGGTTGGATAAGGGGCTTCTGGCCACCACAGCCCTGTGTGCTTCTTCATCTTATCACACAGTGTTAGACATTAGGCAGTCATGGCCTCTCTCTCTTCGAGACTGGACCTAGAACCTAGCTTCAGTGAATCTTGTGAAATTGAATCCGCCCTCCCCACAACCCAGCCTTGTCCTAGGTGCCCTGGGAGCCTTCCCATTATCCATACTTGCTCTTGGTCCCTAGAGGACACTCCTCCCATCCTAGCCCCAGGCCCTTCCTGAACCAGGCTCTATTACAGATGATTCTCCAGGATGAAAATTTTGTCAGTAAAGAAGAGTTCCAGGAAGTGGAGAAAAAGCTGGAGGTAAGTAATGGCCTCTGCAGCAGGCTCCTAATCCTCCCCCATTTCCCAGGATCTTTGGTTGGGCAAATCTTTGAGGATAAGCCTCTGAGAACCTCTGGCTGCAGTAGTGTGTACAGAATCTTCTTATACCCTTACTTCTATATGCCTTTCTGAGAAAGGACACTGGTTAAGGGGATCTAGGAGACCTATGGTGGCTTGGGGTAATGAGGTCACTGCTTCTGCAGGAAGAGAAAGCTGCCCACGCCAAGACCAAGACTCTCCTGGCCAAGGAAGAGGAGAAGTTGCAGTTTGCCCTCGGAGAGGTAGAGGTGCTATCTAAGCAGCTGGAGAAAGAGAAGCTGGCCTTTGAAAAAGCGTGAGTTGTCCTTGATATGGGGGTGAAGGAGTGGAGGTGTCTCATCTGTCTGTCAGCCTTCCTACCCTTTCTTACCTTCCCCATGCAGGCTCTCCAGTGTGAAGAGCAGAGCCCTGCAGGAGTCCAGCAAGAAGGACCAGCTCATTACCAAGTGCAATGGTAGGAGGGAGGCCCGCGTACCCTCCCACGCTTGCTTACATGGGCTCCACCCTAACAGCCCAGTGCCTGTGTCCAAGACAGGGTATCACCCCAACTTCTGTTCCCGACTGAGGATACAGGCGGGCCCAAGCGGGTCACACCTTCGCAAATGCCTTCAGGGATCAGGCAGGTCACGGAAATGAGGGAAGCAATTGGTGTACAGTATTCTTCACCACCATAAAGGAACGGGCTCGCTCCCATTTTTCGTGAAACATGACCTCAGTCCACCTTTTATTTTCCCCACTTTTGGTGGGTGTTAGAAATAGTGTGCTATTACAAGAGGAACAACAGAGAAAGTGCCCCCTTTTTGGGAACTGACTCAGTCCAGGGTTGGGGATCCATAAAAGGGGCAGGTACTGTGGTGACAGGGAGAATCATGTCCCTCTCTGGGGCTTAGTGCCTCCGCTGTGGGGGTAGGGGCCAAGTATTTTCAGAGTTTAAAAACAAACTGGAAAGCAGCTTTTAATATAAGCTTTTCTGATTTCAGTAGTAACTGATTTAGATTTTTACGAATAATGTATGGGCCACATAAAATATGTCTGTGGGTCTTCAGCTCTGCTCTATGCAGATGCCTGTGGCCACTCGTTGGCCCACTTGTGAGTTGTGAGGCACCCTCCGTCAGCTACCCTGTATCCTAGACTACAGGAAGCTCCTTCATTCTCCCCAAATGCTAAACTCCCCCTACCTAGTCTAAAAGGATGAATAGATATGAATTCTTTATGCAACATATTTCATGCACTGTAGCAAATTTTGAAGAAGAGCCCAAGGCCAAAAGAGGTTCAGAGTCCCTCCTGATAGGGGCCCCACTCAGTGCCTTGGGCACTGCCTACCTACCAAAGCAGCCCTCTCCCCTGGCGGATACTCTCACTGGTAAGATGCCAGCAGGCGACCATCTTGATCTGGCCAGGTAGGCCAACAGGCCTTTGTGGTGGATGACCGGGGTTGTCTTGGGACCTCCCTGGACCCAGTAGGCAGGCACTGCCTCCATACCCAAGGTCACTGGTCCCCTACTCCCTTCCCACTCACTATCTCCCCAATTCCCTAAAAGGAACCTACAGTTCTTTCCTGGTAGCGTCAGAGACATCCTTTCTCTACAATATCATCTAGAGATATGCCAGGGCCACATATTTCTGTGGCCGCTTATGAAAGGTGTGTGTTTGTGTCATGGGGATGGATCCTGGCTGCCTCCCCCAAGAATGTTCAGAACCCTCCAGTAGGCACAAGCCATCCAGCTATTATCAGGTGACATGAGCCACCCCTGGCCTATGCCTCCCCACCTCCTTTTGTGTGATTTCAGTTTGGTTTTCACATACAGTTTCTTACTCTTCCAAAGAGGTTTTCTAACCATTCTTTCATTTGGTGCCATTTACATTAAAATTTATTTTTATTTGTTTGGAAAATTCACATAGGTTTCTGTTTTTTCCCAAAAAGACATCACAAGCTAATTATCTGGATTAACTGGAGGACCTGGGAAGGAGGTTGAATTGTCCCAGTTCTGTGACCCACTGAGCTCACATTTTCATTCTCTCCTTTCTTTTCCAACTTTTTCCAGATATTTTCTGAAATCTTATGTGTTTTTTCAGAGCTTATGTTCTTTACCATTTGTCTAACCTTAAAAGACATTGGAATTTACTGTGAGGTTCTTAATTTTCCAGGGCTCCTAATAAGCTAGTTTATGTAAATAAAGCGCTCCCAGATCCTGACAGCCTCATTAAATTTTAACCCAACATACACAAATCCTTGCATATAGTGAGCACTTAATTTGGAGGTAAGCTTTGCCACTTACCATCTAAGGGTCATTCCCACCCCACTGTGGAACAGGAACTACTGTCTCTGTCATCTGTAAGATGAGAAATGCCTTGAAAGACAGCTATCCTATGTGGTACTATGGTCTCATCAATATTAATTATTTTATTTTAATATAATAGTTTATTTTTACATCATTTTGTGCCTTTTTCCATCTCAGTTGTAATCCCTGTGGGCTTCCCACAATATTAACTTTTTAAAAGATTTTTTATTTATTTATGCATAAAGGAACTGGGGTGTAGACCAGAGGTACTAAAAGTGAGAGGACTCACCAGAGACAGTGGGTGCAGAACAGGCAGATCTACTGAAATACACTGCTGAGGGGAGCAGCGGGGGAGACAGGAGAGGTCTGCTGTGCCATGTGTGTCACCTCCCTGGCTGGGATCAAACTCGTGCTGCAGAGGCCCTTTGAAAGGTTACCTTCTAATCATTTCCAAAGTCTTAACTCCCCTTTCAGGAGCTGCCTCCTTGAGGGCAGGGAACATTGACTTCCCTGAAACTCGTAGCACAGGACTGAGCAGCCTGGCCTACTGACCTTCTGTAGGTCTGATTGGTTTGAAATGAGTGAACAAGCTGATGTTTTTGAGTCCTAAATCCCCAGGGGGGTGACAAATTTATTGTGTACCTACTGTGTGCCAAGGTGCTGTTCAAGGCCTTAGGATTAAATCTAAGAATAAAAATAAAAGTCTTTTGTCCTGTGGACCTTACATCTTAGTAGGGAAGAAGACAAATGAGACAAGTGAGTAAAATACGTAGATATATTAGATGTAAATGCTAAAAGAAAAATAAAGCAAGACAAAGTGATAGCAGTATTGGGAATGCTTGTAGTTTTAAACTAGGAATTCACCCGAGGGTCTCTAAAGATTTTAGGAGTTAGGAAGAGTCTATGGACAGGGCTACCCGTCTCTCTCTAAGGGCCTCCCCCGTCTTCCTGTGGGTCACCTAGTCCAGAATAGAGTTATGAGGTCACAGGCACATCATTAGACATTGTGTCATCCCCTTCCCCTACCCCCACCAAGACTCCGTAATAAACTCTCATACTAAAGTACTAGTAACTACTCATGAGCAACCCCTGGGTGCGGAAGCCAAGTTCTGAAAAGACCCACAAGAGAAAGCCTAATCTCAGGAAGGAGCCCATGGGATGGGAGCCACCTCTCCTCCCTGCCTCTCTCCCCCACAGAAATTGAATCCCACATAATAAAGCAAGAAGATATACTTAATGGCAAAGAGAATGAGATTAAGGAGTTGCAGCAAGTTATCAACCAGCAGAAACAAATCTTCAGGTGAGGGGTTGGGCCAGGCTGGGGGTTGTTGATGAAATTGGGGAGCCAGACCTCTGGTCCCTGTCCTGGGCTGTCCCCAGCCCACGCCCAGCCGGCTCCATTGCAGGAATCACATGTCTGACTACCAGATCCAGAAGCAGCAGGAGAACTACATGGCCCAGGTACTGGACCAGAAGCATAAGAAAGTCTCTGGGATCCATCAGGCCCGGAGCCATCAGCGTCGCAGGGAAAAATAAAATTGTCGTCTCTTTTTTATTCTTTGGCTGTAATGCCTGTCTGCTATGGGGATTCCTGTTCCTACACTCCCTGTTCCTGTGTTCCCGCCTCAGGCCTCATCAGTGGTCTGATCACCATCCCAGGAAGGGGTAGGGGAAGAGTAGAAGGCACTCTTCGTCCTCCCCTCCTGCCTCCAGGGCCTTGGTGACCTGAGAATCAAGTTATAAAGACTGGATGGGGGACAGGCCTTGGACCACCATCTGTCAGGCCATCTCGGTTTAGTGGTAGCCCCTTCACTACTAGTGAAGTCCATGTGGCACAAGGTTGTAGTCTAGCAAAGGAACTGGGTCTTTGTTGTCCTTTCTTATTCTTGGTTATTTAATTATAAACAGCCCTGGTTACCCTAGTAATACCCCACCCACTACCAGGGCCCTGGTAAATTTAATTCTCCCAACTCAGCCACAGATCAGAAAGGTGTGTGTGTGTGTGTGTGTGTGTGTGTAGTTGTGTGTGTGTGTGTGTGTGTGTAGTCATGAGCAGAGACTTAAAGGCAATCTGTTCCAGGACCACAGTGAATTTAGGAACACAGTTTCCATCACCTTCAAGAATGTCTCATACATGAATCACATTTTTTCCTTCTTACATCTTCCCCAAACAGAAGCCCCGTTAGTCTTTATGAGTGGGAAGCAAGGAAAAGGAATAGTGCTGTGCCCATTTTTAAGGTGGGGAAACAGTCTGGAAAGGGACTGACTTGCTCAAGTTGCACATGTAAGAAAGAATGGATGTAGTGGACAGGCTTGATCCTCTTCCAAGCCATCACTGATGAACCTCAGGGAATGGGGATCCACTAGGTCGGGGACCCTCTCCGAAGGATGAGCAAGATCTATGAAGTCTTATCTGTGAGGTTGAGTACACCTGCTTCAGGCCACATGGGGCCTGAGTCGTGGCAGGACCTTGAAAACAAAGTTAAGGGCTTGCGGCGTCCATTGACATTGTCCCAGGACAATGATGAGTGGTGGCTGATTTTCCACCATGTCCCCTTAGAGGGGCTTTTAGAGAGGGGACCACAGCTACCCCAAAGTTTCCTTAGATACCCCACATCAGCATCCAGGGCCTCCGAATACCAAGATGGTATGTAAAAGTATGATTTGTCCACTGGAATCCTTTTCTGTAGGTTCCCACTTAGGCAATGGGTCCAGCCAGGAACAGCTGGCTGAAGGCCCTACACAACTTTGGGGGGAGATGTGGTCAGTTCAGTCCTAAAAAACATTATCAAAGGTTGGAAGAGTGACCAGGCAAAGGTGGTGGGTGCATCCTATGAACACCAGCTGAGACCAGAGAAGAGGACCCAGGAAGAGGGGTGTGTGTACTTTCAGTGATGGGACGGTGGGGAGAGGCTGAGTGCTGTGGGGATTATGTGGGCGGGAGTCTCAAAGCCTGGCAAGCACACTGACTGTAGCGTCCCCAGCTTAGCCTCAGTTTCCTCCCCTGTAATGAGTAAAGTTGGGCCTACCTCCTGGTTCCAGGTTAGAGGCCTGCTTTCCCCTCACCTTCCTGTCCGCCAAAGCCTTGGAGTGCCACCCCAAGCGCCCCAGTCGGCTCCAATGGGGAAAGGGGTTGGGAGTGTAGGTCCAGGGCCCAGGTCTCTCCCGATGCGGAGGCTGCTGGCTCCCAGGCAGACGCGTCCGCTTTAAGGCGCGTTGACCCCTCGGCATCCGCAGGCGGGGCGGGGACAGTGCGGGCGTCCACGGAGGCGAGTGCGAGGGAGGTAGTGCGCGGCGTCCGGCCCCACCATGCTGACAGCGCTCGCCCCGCCAGCCCTGCCCGGGCACCCAGGGCTGCTGATCCCGGCACCCGCGCGGCGTCAGGACTCCTCGGGTTCTTCAAGCTCCTACTACACGGCTCCAGATTCCCCAGAGACCATAGACGTTGGGCCGGACGCAGAAGGCCGGGCGAATTGGCCCCGGGTGGCCCCTGCGCTGGGGGCGGGCGCACAGCCTCGCCTGTCCGTCAGCGCCCAGAATAGCCGCCAGCAGCTCCCGCCCGGCTCGGGTTTCCAGCGAGGCCGGGGCTCGGACCCGCGGCCACCCCCGCCCCAGCTGCGCACGCTGCCGTCGGGGGAGATGGAAGTCATCTTCAGCGCTGGACCCCTGTTCAGCCGCTCCGACGCGGCGGATAGCGAGGTGCAGCAGATCACCGAGCAGGCCTTCGGCAGCCTCTCTCCGCCGAGTCCCGCGTCACCAGCCCCCGCTACACCGCAGCCCCAGGCCCCTGACGGTGGTTCCCGCTGGGCCACCTATCTGGAGCTTCGGCCCCGCGGACCGAGTCCTGCCACTCCAGCACAGTTTGAGTGTGTGGAGGTGGCACTAGAGGAGAGCGCTGCGCCCGCCAAGTCCCGCACAGTGCCCAAGCGTCAGATCGAGCTGCGCCCTCGACACCGGAGTCCTCCACGGGAGACGAGCGCGCCGAACCCTCCACTGCTCCTGCGTACGGGTTCCCTGGACGAGTCGCTGGGCCGCCTGCAGGCTGCCGCGAACCTCGTGCAGACAGCTCTGGCCAGAAAACTGAGCCCTGTGGCCCCTGCCCGCAGCAGCGCCACCTTCGGGCCCACCCGGCGACCAGAACCTACGCCCCGGGAAACGACCGGCAGTACTCGAGTGGTCCTGGAGCAGACCAGATCTCGGCCCCCACGGACAGAGGGCACTTCAGCCCCTGGCAGGGCCCCACGGCCGTGGCCCAGCCTCCGGGAGCGTGCGATTCGGCGAGACAAACCCGCACCTGGAACTGAGCCCCTCGGCCCGGTTAGTTCCAGCATCTTCCTGCAGTCAGGGGAGAAGACCCACGAGGCACACGACCAGGAACCTAAGGTTCGCTTCCCGCGAGAGACTCTGGATCCACCGGTTCCGAGGACACAGAGTCCGGCTTTTGAGTCTGGGGCTTCCTGGGACGTTCTGAATAAGGCCAGGAGCCAGTCCCCACCGTGGCAGGCTCCAAATGGGATCGTGCAAGGTCCTCATTGCCCGTCCCCCCAGAACCTCCCCCTGCGGAATCGCGCTAGTCCGAGGGCCAGTAGCCCATCCTTTCCTGAGGCATCCTCTGAATGGAAAAATCAGGGTGCCGTGGAGGAAACTATCAGCAGGAGGAGCCCCTCCCCTCTGATCCTTTCCCAATGGGATCAGAGTACTGCCAGGGCAAGAAACCCATCTCCGGAAGACCCTTCCCAGTGGGAGCCTCGGCATCTGCCAGAGGAGAATACGGAGGGAAGTAGGAGCCGGTCCCCACTGGTCTTGGCATCATGGGAGGTTCCAGATCATCCTGTTGGGACTTGGAACCCATCACCCCAAGAGATGTGGGATCCCACGGTGCAGGATTCATCGATACTATCTAACCAGGATGTTCTGAATGGCACAGCCCAAGAAGGCCTGTCGCCTGACACCCCAGAGCCTGCAGAGGCGCTGAGTCCATCCACGTGGGAGAGGCCAGATCTTGCCCTTGAAAGCAATCAGCTGTTGCCAGGGGTGGCTGCACCAGAGCTACCCCCGAGTCGCCTCCTGGGCCCCCTGGATGCCGACACTTGCCGGGAAGACTTGGGCCCTGGAGAAGTGGCCTCGGGTCGCCGGCGCGTGGCCATTCCGCGGCCTCGCGACGTGCGCAAGATGGTGAAGACCACTTACGCGCCCAGCTTCCTGGCGGGAAGCTCAGGCTCAGCGAAGCCTTTGCCTCCTGCAGACCCCAACGGGGAGAAAGGCGGCGCATCCAGGAAGCCAGCGCTGGGGGTCCCCGCCCCCGCTCACTACACTTCCATTTTTCTCAAGGACTTTCTGCCGGTCGTGTCGCACCCTTATGAGCCCCCAGAGACATGTCCCGACGCGGTCCCCAGGGACGCTTTGCAGCCCAACGGGGTCCTGCGGCGGAGAGCAGAGAACAGCACGGCAAAACCCTTCGCGCGCACTGAGATCCGTCTGCCTGGTGCCCTGGCCTTGGCCCACCGACCCGAGGGAACCCGGGGAGTTCTGGTGCACGATCCTGATGGGGAAAACCTGGATGCCGAGGCCAGGTGCCCACTCCCGGAGGGCGAGAGTCGAACCAGCCCTCAAGGCGGCGCTCGCACCTCACCCCAGAGGTCGTCCATAGGGTCAGCAGGGGCTCGACTACCACAGCCCAGCTCCCCCCTGGCACAGCCAAGTTCCAGCCCCCGAATAGCACCCAAGCTGGTGACACCTACGGCCTCCGAGCCTGAGGCTGCAATCCAGTCGTCCCCCTCCCCCTCCCGGGAGTCCACAGCCAAAAGGATCCCGCCCCAGCCCCGTGCGGCGTCTGCGCCTCCCATGGACCGGTCCCCTGAAGGCCCCTCCCAGGGGCCCCGCAGACCGCCGGGGGCCGCGCATTCGGGGAAGATCCTGGTGGACCCCGAGAGCGGCCGTTACTATTTTGTCGAGGCGCCGCGGCAGCCCAGGCTGCGACTTCTCTTCGACCCCGAGAGCGGGCAGTATGTGGAGGTGCTGCTGCCGCCCTCCCCGCTGGGGCCATCCCGCCGCATCTTCACCCCGGTGGCCGTGGGTCCTGGCCTCTATCCGCCCGCCTATGGGCCTGTCCCTGGCCTCTCACTACCGCCATCCCCGGACCCACCAGCCTTCAGCGGCCATCAGCTACCCTGGGCCTCGGAGGCGGGGCCCCTGGATGGCATGTTCTACCTTCCGGTGAGCGGGAATCCGAGCCCTGCTCCTCTGCTCGTTTGCGCACCGCCCTCCTGCTCTGGTCCCATGCAACCCGGTAAAGGATCCTTGTTCCCCGCGTGAGGCTCCCGGGTTTGATCCCCGCGGTGTTGGAGCCTATCGATGGCCTTGGAGGTTCTGGCATCCCGTCCCTGCCCTTCTTTCCTTCTGTCACCACTTTATTTTCCCCATCCTAGCCGGTCTTCAAACTGGAAGTTACCTTTCAGGAATGTATCAGACTCCAGAGCTGATGGAACCAGAGCTCAGGAAGTGGCTGCCTACTTCCTCTGCAAACAAAATTATATACCCCTTTTCCCAAGCATTGCCAGGGTGTGGTGTGTTTGTGTGTGTGTGTGAAAGTGTAAACCCAGCTTGTCTCCAGAAGACAACCTGAGAGGGAGTTGAGCTTCCCAAGGGGCAGCAGGATGTAGGAGCAGTCAGGGAAGGTCTGGAGAGCTGTCTAGAGGTTAGAGAGCTCTGGTGGGATGGAAGGAGGACTCTGGCTATCAAATCTGTTATTCTTGGCAAGAATCTGAACCTTGTCTGGGAGGGCGAGGGAGAAAGAGGCTAATACAGCCTCCTTACTAGGCCAAGTCTGAGAAGGGAAACTGGGGGGACAGCGGATGTAGCATAGGAGGGGAGGTGGAGGTCTAGCCAGGATGTGAAACGGGGATCTGGGGGTGGGGAGAAGGTGACTGTATTCTGGGGAGAAGGTGGCTGTATTCGAGAGCTGAGAGTAACACCCTTTTGTTCTCCCCTCAACCGCACACTCTGACTTGGCTTCTGGGAGCCCTCAGAGCTGATCTGGCTTATCCAAGGCCAGGAGTAGGGCTTTCAGCCATTCCAGAGTGGGGGTAGATAAAGTAAGTCATCAGAAAGGACTTATGAGCAGGAAGGATGGTTGAGCTGTAAGCTGTAGTGCCAGAGGAACATGCTAACTCCTCTGGGTGGAGTGGAATGTGGGTTACGGCTGGCAGAAAAGGGGACTCCTGTGGGAGTTGGGGAGTGGCCGCTGATTCCGCTCCCCAGTAACAGAGTAACAGAGCCATGACCAGAAAGGGGCTAGTTCTGCAGGCTGGTCACAGTACTGGAAGGGACGGCTTGGAGCCACCGAGGCAGGGGAGGGAGATGAGGGGAGTTTGCATGTGTGGGAGGTGCTCTGTGATGGATCTGTGAGCTTGAAGGGGCTGGGTCTTGTTGGTCTAATATGTGATATGATTAATTTAGGGAAGGCTAGTTTCCTTTAGAAGTAGTATTAGGGATGGAGATGGATGCCTTTCCTAAGTCCCAGGCATCTGGGGGGCCTGGGTTCCTTAGTCATTGCCCCTCTGCTTTGGACTGGAAGCTGTCTGGGAGAACAATGAGTCAGAATAACCTGGATATCTCATGGCCAGAGATGCTAGTTTGAGGGCCTGGAGGGCCCTGGGCCATCCTGGGCCCCTCCCCTTATTCTGGTGTCAATAAACCTCTCACTCAATGAGCCATGATGGCTGAAATAAACTGGTGTCAGGTGTCTGATTTTCCCCCACTTTGCCCTTCTCTGCTGGAGTATGGCCTGAGTGAGGCACCCGAGTAGGGATCATTGGAGGGACCACGTGTGTCTTTCTTTCATGCATTGTGGCATCAGCCCTGCATCAATGAACTTGTCTCCCAGGAGGAAGCCCACACGCAGCTGAAGTCTCCTTCCCCTTGATAGCTGACTGGCCCGTGAGCTTTGGGACCCTTCAAGCTTGGGTTCCAAATCCCAGCATGGTCCCTCTAGCTCACCTCTGAATCTTCTTGTCCCCAGGGGTAGAATAAAGAGGCCACTAACCGATCTCCTCTCTCAAGGTGTACAGCACATTACCTGTCACTGGTCAGATCCCCAGACATGGGAGGTATCTGCCTCAGTGTATTTTCGCCTAAGCCCAGCCTCCCCCCTTGCCTCATTGTGCCTAGACATGTGAAATGGAGCTCCAATGACTGGCACCAGTGACCCCTAGGGGGTGCATACGTGGCACCTCCAGGGCCCTGGGGGAGGGAAAGGAAGAGGGGTGAAGTGTCAGTTCCCCATTGGTCTGGGCCAGGTTCCGGTGTGGGCCCACTGCCCTCCCTGCACAAGCACATCTGTGTGCGAACACAGCCCGTGCTCACTGAGCTGGACCAGCACCATGAAGCTGCCTTTGCTACCGCTGCTACTGCTATTGCTGAAGGCCTGGGCCGTCCCTGGGGACCATGGGGACAGGGCCACCCTTACAGCCACTGCTCCACAGCTGGATGATGAGGAGAAATACTCTAATCACATGCCTGCTCACCTGCGTTGTGATGCCTGCAGGGCGGTAGCCTACCAGGTGAGCGCCCCCTAAAAGCCCCCTTACCCGGACTCCTCCCCAAGCCACCACCTCAGTCCACCTCAGATTCCACCACTGCCTTTCAGCCCCTAAGCCTCTACCCTGGGCACTGAGTTAGGCTCAGCCTCCATATTGCCATCTTCACCTCACCCAAACCTTCCTGCCTCAGTTTACCCATTTACCTGCCCAACAGAGAGCAGACAATCTGGGACACCCCCAGGTCCAGTATCTTGAAGTCATGAGCCTGTCCACTAAGACTCCTTGTCCAGGTCCATCGTCAGGTCTGGAGTCCCTCCTAACACATGACTGGGAGTGCTGGTGTGTGCACGTGTTGATTGCATGAGTATGTGAGTGTGTGTATCCCCATTCACAAACACCTCTTCCAGTGTCCCTGTGTCCCTGTGTGCGTGAGGCCTGAGTGCAAGTGTCTCTGAAGACTTGGCGCAGGAGATTTCCTTCTTTCCTTGTTATTGTAGCTTAAAATAGCAAATGCTGATGGGCAGGTATGTCCTGAGGGGGTAGGGGGCGGAGCAGGAGGGAGGGGATATGGAGCCCAGGCCAAACCTTCTATTTTGACCTTTCTTACCTGTCCACCCAATCCCAGGGAAATGGATACTGACCCTGCTGGCCTGGCACCAGATTTCTGGGGTTGAGGGAGGGCCCTGAAGCCTGCCTCACAGGTGCTTCCTGCTCCAAAGCCTCCCTTGCCATATCATTCTCCCCCAAAAACCCAGGCTCCTGGACCCTCTCTGGTGGCATAGAGGTTAAGGCACAGCACTGTGAAGCTATCCGCAGCCACTACAGCACTAGTTCGATCCCTGGCCAGGGAGTGGCAGCTACTGGCCTCCAATAGCTGCTTTATTAGATGCAATGAAGCAGGAGATATTGAAGCAAAAAGTAAAACAGCAGGAGAAGAGGAAATGATAAAGATTAGATCCTGTGCTGAAAGAGAAACCAAGAAAAAAGACGACCTTCTTGAAGAAGACAAAGGAAACGTTTAACAGTGTGAAATCAATTTGTAAAGAAATTTCAGAGCTTCCAAGACCACAAACTTAAAATAAGTAAAGAAGACAGTAAAGTTATTAAAAAGGCCTGGAAAGATGGATTTTTGCATGAAACACTTCTGGACAGGAGAGCCAACTTGAAAGCTGATATATACTGCAAATGACCAGGATTTTTGTTACTAATTCTCCTTTTGTTTTTTTCTGAATAAAATAACCAGTGGAAGTGAAAAAAAAAAGAACTGAGTGAGTTGGCAACCTACACCAATGTGCTGGACCAGAGCAGTTCCCAGACCTGCCAGAGTGAGTTACAGGTCCAGACTTAACTCCCTCCTCCAGCATGGCGTAGCAGACCTCTCCTGTCCTGTCCACTGCTCCTCTCAGCAGTATACATTATCAATCTGCCTCTTCTGCTCCTTTCTAGCTCTGTTGAATCCTCTCACCCCCTGTACCTCTGGCCTGTACCCCAGTTCTTTAAAATATTTATTAATGCATACAGAACTGGGGTACAGGCCAGAGGCTTGGGGCGGTGAGAGGATTTACCAGAGACAGAGTGGGGAGCAGAACAGGCAGATGTACTGAAACACACTGATGAGGGGAGCAGTGGGCAGGTTGGGAGAGGTCTGCTGTGCCATGTGGGTCACCTCCCAGGCTGGGGATTGAACTTTCACTGAAGTTGTTGCACTAGCTTCGCAGTGCTGTGCTTTAACCCATCGTACCACCAAGGAGGGCCCAATAAATAATCTTTTACTTATTTATTCATTTTTAACAGTTTATTTTCGCATCATTTTGTGCCTTTTTCAGTTGTAATCCCCGTGGGCTTCCCATCACCAAATCACCCATGTGCCATCACCATAGTCCCGTGCACTTCCCTCCCCTGTTTTTGATCCCATTCCCCCACTCCACCCCATAAAATGTCTCTGGTATATAGCTGTTCCCAATAAGCAAATCTTTAAAAAAAAAAAACAAACAAAACCAAAAAAAAATAAGGCTCCTGTCCCCTCTTCCCATGCACTGACTTTCAGGTCCTCCTTGTTCCAGATGTCGCAACACCTAGCAAAGGCAGAAGCCAAGCTGCACACCCCAGATTCCAGGGAACGGCAGGAGCTGAGTGAGTCGGCATACATAGATGTCCTGGACCAGAGCTGCTCCCAGACCTGGCAGCAGTGAGTTACGGGTCCAGACTTAGCTCCCTCCTCCAGCACAGGCTCTGGGGCAGAAGCTCCTGGTCTCCCTCTCACACCACATACACACTCCACTGAGAGTGCTGGCCCAAGCCAGGGGGCTGACTGGGAAGAAGTCTGAACTCTGGAGGTGGAAGCAAGTGAAAGGGTGGGGACCAGCAAACAGGGGGCTGTTTGCTCTTGGGCCAGGGTTCCCCCTTTCTGGCCTCCATCAGGGAGAACCAGAACTTGCTGAACTCAGCAAATGCCCAGCCTCATTTGGAGACAGATGCCCTGATGTCTGGGCTCCTGGTAACTGCATCCTTATCCTTCCTGCTGCCTCCAGCTACGGGGTCCAAGAAGTGAACCAGGTAAAACACCTCACAGGCCCTGGGCTTACCACAGAGACAGAGCCCACCATCAGCGTGATGATCACCGGGGGACCTTGGCCCAGCAGGTGATATCAGGGGGGTGAAGGTGGGATGGAGCCCCATCTGGGGCCGGGGGAGTCTGACGCTACTGCCGGTCTCCCCTAGGCTCTCCAGAACATGTTTGCAGTACCTGGGGGAGTTTGGAGAAGACCAGATCTATGAAGCCCACCAACAAGGCCGAGAGGCGCTGGAACTGTTGCTGTGTAGACGCCCGCGGGGTGCCTGCTCGGGGGAGGCGCTGGTCACAAAGACGGAGCTGTAGTCCAACTCTTCCTTCCCCTGAAGAGCCCCAAGGCTTCCTTTGCTTCTCCCCACTCATTTCTGCCTAGAAGGCGAAGAGGCCATGTTCTTCTCTGCTCCCCCAACTTCCCGGCACTGTGCCCTGGGCAGGGGCCAAGGACTTACACTCTCCTGGACTCAAATAAAATCCAGTGACCTCAATTCATTGTCTTTGCAAAAGGTGCTCGAGGGGGCAGGGTGTTGGGAAGACAGTCATTGGTGTTTCTGCTGACATTCTTCCTATAGCGTGCTCTCCCAGCTTCCCAGGGTGTGAGATCTGTCACGGTTGGAAATGTCAAGAAGTGGTCAGGTCAAAAGCCTATAAGGAGTCAGTGATGTGAACGGTGCGGCCCCAAGCAGGCCACCCCGTGGATACCTCGTGTGAGGTCATGCCTACCACCTAGCCCCTTCCTGGAAGGCTCGTCTCTCGGGGTCTATACCCCATGGACTCTGCCTCTGACCCCAGCTGGCAAGTCTGGACCCTAGATGCCCACTGGGATGGAGCTGGACAGGGTTCCTGGAACCAAGTGGATTCAGCACATGTCCGGTTTTATCCCAACCTGGCTGCTCAGCTCCACCCTCACGTCCCAGCGTGCTTCTCATTGGTACTGATGGGATTTGTAGTTCCAGTATCTGGAGTGAGGGCGGAGTCCAGGAAACCTGTATCTGTTACAGAGAGAACAGCCTAATCCCCAGTCCCAAGCTGAGCTGTGGGAAGGCATTCAGATGGGAGGTGAGGGGTGGTCAGCTATTAGAGAGGTGGGAGTACCCCAGGCAGGTCCTGCTCTCCAGTTTCCCTGTGCAGGACTACAGCCCAGCCTCCTCCATTCCATCACCTGTTGTCCATGTGCCCGAGGCCGCCCCACTGGCCCTCACCCCAGGAAAGAACCCTAGGACCGAAGGAACCTGCTGAGCCATCAGTAGTATGGGGCGTGACGCGCACAGCCTGTGATGTGACCCTGTGTGGCCTGTATTTGTGTGATTTGAAGATAGTCCGCAGCAGCGTGTGAGGTCATGGGCCCATGTGTGCAACTGTGTGTCTGAGACCACATGCAACTTCCAAACTTGTCTTTATGTGTGTGGTGTGTGATTTGGGATAAATTGCATGTCCACGGGACTGGGACTATGCAGTAAGGGGTGGGGCTCTGTTTCCACAGCCCCCTGGGGAGTACTGGGAAGGAGAGGGTGGGGAGAAAAGTGCTGAGAAGGTTTCGAACTGGTCAGACAACTTCAGGAACCTGGGAGCTGGAGCCAAGAAAGGAGAGAGGAGAGGACAGGCAGAGAGAAGAACAGACAGAGGAACAGAGGAACCGACAGAGATCGGGAGCTGAACAGGCTGACGGATTCAGGGTGGTGGTATGAAGCTGCTGCCCAGCTGGAGAGCGGTGCTGCCCATGGGGCCTCAGGGCAGGTTCTGGTCGTGGACACAACAACCCAGAGGTAGGTGGGCCCTGGGGGGATGGTAGTGGTGGGGTGGTGTGGAGGGGAACAGAACCAGGGACCCCAGGCCTGGTCCCACCAGCTGGAAAGCCTGAGTTCCTCGGGCCGTCCCAACCCCCAGGGTCGGTGGCCAGACTGGGTCCGGGCTGCCAGGAGAGGAAGAAAGGCCAGGCCCCTGAGCCGGCTTCACTGGCTACATGACGTGAAGTCACACAGTGCCTGTGGTCACACGCCCCCAGTGCTCAGACTGAGCTCTTTCAGTTAAATGCTCTGCTGTCGCTTTCTTGAAATCTGTATTATTTCTGGAAATGGGGACCCACATTTTCATTTTGCACTGGGTGCCCTAAATTTGCAACCAGTCCTGATTGGGAGGGAAGGGGACCCTCTTCTGACACAGGACAGGAGCAGCTGACCAGCCCATGCGGTTCCTTCCCTAGAGGCCCATCTGCTGTGTCATGTGCCTCAGGGAGCCAGAATGGGAAGCCGCAGTGGGGGGGGGGAGAGGGGGGGAGGGGTAGTCCTTTATCACATCGACTGTATGACCGACAGCAGAATCTTGGAGTTCGTGAATTTTAGGTGTGGCTTTCTAAATTCTTGCTACCAGTGTGGCCCTCCCTGCTCAGATCCTATCTTCTAAATCTGTTGCCTCAGCTGTAAGAGAGGTTAGTACAACCTAGTGCCTGGGGTTCAACACAATATGTGGATGTTGCCTGGCATGCAATCGTCCCTCAGTGATGACAGTGTTTATGAAGATAATGATAATAATGATTACCCGGCTAATAAGTGGGGAAGAGTCTCATTCAGCATGTGACATAAAAAGTGCCTGTTTCCACTTCTCTTCCTCTCTTCTCACCCAAGGCTTGGTAAACTTCCAGGGCTGTCCGGTTCCCACCCCCCGCGTGGGCTCTTTCTTGGCAACCGGGACAAGTCCCATGTACCGGCTCATGTGCCGGCTGGGTGGGGAGTGCCCAGGAGGTAAAGGTGGCAGCGACTGGAGTGGCCTTTACCACTATGGCCAGAGTTAATACGTTATCTCCGCCCTGTCCTTTCGCAATAGGGGCTGGGGATCTGGTTACAGATTTACTTTGAACAATGTCTGATGTGTCGAGTAAAGTCCTCCTTGGCCTTCATAAAGCTCTCCCCTTTTCTCCTCAGGAACTGCTCACACCTGTGCCCCACAGATGAGGGCCCAGGAGGAACCTGAGGGCCCAATACAGGTGCTGGGGGATGGTGGAGCCCGGTGGGGGCAAGGTGGGGGGAGGGACTGGAAGACCTTCTTCCTGGGAGGGCAGAGATAAAGGTTTAGATGAACTTGATCAAGAGCGACTGCCCCAGACTGAACTTGGTAGTTGGGGGAGGGAGTATGGAGGGAAGAGGAGGCTTCAGCTTGGGAACTGTCTGACCAACCTGGGGACTCAACCTACCCTCTCCATAGTGGCAGCCCAAGGACATCCAAGGGGCAGAGATAAGACTGGAGTGGGCCCAAGAGGGCCGCCTGTCCTTGGTCCCAGTCTTCTTGTGTCCCCAGGTCTCTGACGTAGGTCTCTGACATTCCCGTAACCAGGTTCCAGCCTGGTCCTAGTTTCTCCAGGGGCTGCCAGCACAGCGGACTCTTCTCTGTGGGAAGCAATGTGGGGTGGGAGCCAGAAGTAGCCAAGGAAAGGGACAGCTGAGTGGGGGGACAGAACCGTGGGGGTGTGGGAGACCTCAGGCTGGGCCCCCCTTCTGAGGCGACCACTCGAGCCTGCCCGATTGATTGAGACAGAGTGGACTTTGCAGTTCTCATCATTCATCATCCACCTTGGGCTCCTTCTCTCTGTTGCCCCCAGAATGATTTCCCGGGCCCAGCCGAGACCTCCACGAGGGACCCCCCGATGTCCGGGCCCACGGGGCCCAAGTTTGACATGTTGTACAAGATTGAGGATGTGCCGCCCTGGTACCTGTGCATCCTGCTCGGCTTCCAGGTGGGCTTCCCCTCAGGGTCTCCCCATCTCCGCACACTCCCCAGGATCCCAGCCCTCTCCCTGGCCAGCAGGTTATCTTGGGTAACAGGAAGAGAAACCTGAGGTAAGCAACAGTGACTGTCACCGGGCAGGGGTGGGAAAGAACCTTGACGGGGCCTGAAAGAGGATTAACCCTCGGGAGCATGGGACAGCAGCCAGGCGGGAGTTGGTGACAGGGAGGAGGGCACAGTCCGTGGTAGCTGTAGCACTAACTTGGGGTGATGATTAGTAACCCTCTGGAGGAGGGAGCGGTAACTCCCTGGTCATCCCCGTGGGAGTCTCAGTCCTGGGCGGGCACACTGCCAAGGCCGGCACAGATCCAGGCCCACCGAGGCAGGCATGAGGACGGTTAGGGTAACCCTATGAGCTGCATGGCCCTGCCTCATGCCCTCTCCCCCAACTAGCATTACCTGACGTGCTTCAGTGGCACCATCGCTGTGCCCTTCCTCCTGGCTGAGGCGCTGTGTGTGGGTCGAGACCAGCACATGGTCAGCCAGCTCATTGGCACCATCTTCACCTGCGTGGGCATCACCACCCTCATCCAGACCACCCTGGGCATCCGGTGAGCTGCCCCCACTCCCACCCCACAAGAGAGCAGGTAGTATCTCTCACTGGACTCTGATGGGACCAAAAAAAAAAAAAATAGTTGTTCTCTTTCCCTACCTGCTGCTCCTACTCCCCAGGACAGCCTCACAGTCAGGCTTCTGGGGTCCTACACTGGAATCCTTGATTTGGGGATGAAGTATCTTTGGGTTTCATGTGTCCTACTGCTAAGCCCTCATCTGGGCAAGCAGGACCTCCTGTTACCCTGCTGCTAGACCTGTGCAGCCCTCGTCAGTGACCCATCCCCCTGGCAGCCCCCTGCCCCCACGTGCTCAGCCCTCGGCCTGAGGGGGCCACAGGACAGTCATAGGGGCGGTGGAGCAAGAGGGTTATGAGTGGACCTTGAGGTGAGAACTGAGCCGTCCACTTCTGTGCATAAGGACCCTCCTAGTGCAGGGGCTAGTGCTGAGACGTGAGGGGGCAGACCAACCCGGGGAGATGTGAGGGGGCTCCATTTGATTTCTTCCTTTGGGGCCCCCCCCCCAAATATTAGAGTCCTGCCTGCAGTCTCAATGAGTTTCCTTTGCTCCTGCCCTTGTCCCTCTGGGTCTCTGTTCCTTGTGTGATTCTCTGTCCCCTTCTCCATGCCCCATTCTCTGGTTTCCTGTCTCCGGCCCTGGTCTCCTTCCTTACCTCCCCCTCCCTTCACCCCTCCCCCTCCCTCCCTCCCTCGTCCCTGTCTTCCTCCCAGGCTGCCGCTGTTCCAGGCCAGTGCCTTTGCATTTCTGGTCCCAGCCAAAGCCATCCTGGCCCTAGAGAAATGGAAGTGTCCCCCAGAAGGTGGGCACATTTTGGGATCTGCACAGGAGAGGGAGGGCCCCCACGCCTGGCGGTCTGGGCAGCTGTCTGGAGTGTATTCACTCACGGCAGTTCTCCACGCCCTCCTCTGTTGCTATCCTCTGTTGCTGCATGCACACCTGATTCCGGCCCCAGAGGAGATCTACGGTAACTGGACCCTGCCCCTGAACACTTCTCATATCTGGCACCCACGGATGAGAGAGGTAGGTTTGCAGGTGGGGTAGAAGAGACCTGGGGCTGAGGAGGGGACCTGATGGGAGCCAGAGCCACTGCTGAGTTGGGAGATACAAGCACGTGATCCAGCAATTTTTTTATGTAAAGATCATGGCTTCTGAATGACATAGCTGATCTTTGTCATTCCAGGTCCAGGGTGCAATCATAGTGTCCAGCATGGTAGAGGTGGTGATTGGACTGGTGGGGCTGCCTGGAGCCCTGCTCAGCTATATCGGGCCTCTCACAGTCACCCCCACGGTCTCCCTCATTGGCCTCTCTGTCTTCCAAGCTGCTGGTGACCGAGCTGGCTCCCACTGGGGAATCTCAGCTTGGTGAGTGGGCATGCGCCTAATTCTTGCCCAGCCCCACTTCCCTTTTCCCCTTCATCCCTGCATGGCCTGCCCCAGGCCAGCCGACCAGCCACCTCCTCCTGTGTCTCTGCCCCCAGCTCCATTCTCCTGATCATCCTCTTCTCCCAGTACCTCCGCAACTTCACCTTCCTGCTGCCTGTCTACCGCTGGGGCAAGGGCTTCACTTTCTTCCGCATCCAGATCTTCAAGATGTTTCCTGTGAGGAACTGACAGGCACCTGGGGCTGGGGCCAGGGCGGGGAGGTGGGGGTGTGGTTGCACCTGGGTCCTGGGGCAAGGGTGGGGGACAAGGGCTGGGACCTAGAGCCAGAGCAGAGAGGAGGTCCCAGCCAGGGAATGGAGCAGGTGTTCGGGTGTGGTCTGAGCTAGGGCAAGGGCGAAGGCTGTGGGCCTGGACTGAGGCTCCAATACCCTCAAAAGTGCACCTCTCTACAATCTAACCCACTTTAGATTGTGCTGGCTATCATGACTATGTGGTTGCTCTGCTACATCCTGACCCTCACAGACGTGCTGCCTGCAGATCCCACGGCCTATGGCTTCCAGGCACGAACAGATGCCCGAGGGGACATCATGGCGATATCACCCTGGATCCGCTTCCCCTACCCCTGTGAGCAAACCCCACAAGAAGGGAGTGAGGGGAAGCCCCCTGCCTCTCACTGAGACCATCTATGAGGTTGTTGGTGACCCCAATCCAGTTACAATGATGGAACTAGCATTAGCTGCACAATTACAGTGTACCAAGCACTGTGGTGTTTTACTCAGATAAAGACTCACTCGAACTTCAGGAGTCTGAGTGATCCCAAGTAAGCTCCTGTACAAATCAAAAAGATGTCTGTAGAGAGGCCCCTCTACCCGCCGCTCTCCCTCCTTCCCCACCCAAGTACTGCCTACCCCACTCTGGACCTTCCAAAGGGCATGATATCCATCCTCCTTTCTCCCTGGACCCAGGTCAGTGGGGCCTGCCCACAGTGACTGCTGCTGCTGTTCTGGGAATGTTCAGTGCTACATTAGCGGGCATCATCGAGTCCATTGGAGATTACTACGCTTGTGCCCGCCTGGCTGGGGCACCTCCCCCTCCAGTACATGCTATCAACAGGTATGCAAGAAGCTAAATCCCGGAGGTGTGGCTGTGGGCAATGCATTAATACTCTCCAAACCTGTGCCTCCCTGCTGGCCTAGGGGCTAAGTCTCAATGATGTCACCGTTGTGGCCTGAGTTCAATCCCCAGCCAGGGAGCTAACCCATTTATGGCACAGCAGACCTCTCCTGTCCCTCCCGCTGCTCCCTGCAGTAGTGTATTTCAATAAAATCTGCCTGTTCTGCTCCCTCACCTGGTTTCTGGTGAATCCTCTTACCCCTAGCACCTCTAGCTTACACCCTAATACGTCTACCCTCATACACACACTCACTACTGGAGGTCTGGAGGACCTCATGTTCTGTAGGCAATCTGTGTCCTCATCATTCTATCTGCATGTTGTCAGTAGTTGAGGGGATAATGAAGTCCTAGAGGTACCATAGTCACTCACAACGTTCAGGGTCCCTAGTCTTCCATGTGCATTCTCTTAAAACAGTTTGTTAGCAACCCTGTGAGACCAGTATCCCTATCTTCCAGGGGTACGTTCCAGGGCACTGGGCCTATGCTGGGATCCGGACTCCTGATTTCCAGACCTACCTTTGGCCTGAGCCGGGAGTACTAGGGACAGATAGTTGCGGCTCACAGTCTCCAGAAGGCTAGCAGCTAGGCCAGGAGAAGAAGAGGACACTTGCTGGATCACGAACCCCACTCGCCCTTTCCTTACAGGGGTATCTTTACTGAAGGCATCTGCTGCATTATCGCCGGGCTGTTGGGCACAGGCAACGGGTCCACCTCATCCAGCCCTAACATTGGAGTCCTGGGGATTACCAAGGTGCCACGTCCAGCCAGAGCAGCAGGAAGCCCTTCACCTATTCTCTGCCCCAAGAGATCCCAACTGTGGTCCCACCTTCTGAGGACCTCTCAGAGGGCCTGTGTTAAGCACAGGCCCAAAATTGCCTTGCTCTTTCACAGATCCCCGCCCACCGCTCCCCACCGGTCCCGCCCAGGCCCATCCCCTTCCCCACCACCACCTCTCCCCCACCCCCAGCCACCACGCCGAGGGAACTGTACCCAGCCACGTCCCCTGGTTCCTTGGCAGGTGGGCAGCCGGCGTGTGGTGCAGTACGGTGCTGGCATCATGCTGATCCTGGGCACCATTGGCAAGTTCACCGCCCTCTTCGCCTCGCTGCCTGACCCCATCTTGGGGGGCATGTTCTGTACTCTGTTCGGTGAGTACCACCGCGAGAGCCCCAGGGCACCAAGGGTGGACCCCAGTCCGCCCCTACCGCGCCCCCATCCATTCTTCTGCCCCTTCAGGCATGATTACGGCTGTGGGACTGTCCAACCTGCAGTTCGTGGACATGAACTCCTCCCGCAACCTCTTTGTGCTCGGATTTTCCATGTTTTTTGGGCTCACGCTCCCCAATTACCTGGAGTCCAACCGCGGAGCTATCAACACAGGTGCCACGACTCGTCTACATTTCGGGTGGGGTGGGGGAGGGGAGATAGCTGTGATGGGCTCTGACTCCCCAGCACAGGCCCTTCCTCCAAGGCTTCACAGGTTGTAGCCAGAATTCTGTCCAACTCCGGACGTTAATCTGCTGTCAGGAAACTAACTAGCAGCTGTCTCTTCCTAAAATAATTTCTGTACACTAGTGCTGAGTTCTGCATGTGCTCCTTTAGTTTTTATTTATTATTTATTTATTTATGCATATAGAACTGGGGTACAGGCCAGAGGTGCTGCAAGGGGTGAGAGGATTCACCGGAGAGACAGAGTGGGGAGCAGAACAGGCAGATGTACTGAAATATATTGCTGAGCATCAGGCAGTTTAGGACAGGTCTACTGTGCCATGTGGGTCAGCTCCCTGGCCAAGTATTGAACTCAAGCTGCAGTGGCTGTGATAGCTTCACAGTGCTATGCTTTAACCTACTGTGCCACCAGGGAGGGCCTTCATTTAATTTTTTTTTAAAGATTTATTTATGCATACAGAACTGGGGTACAGGCCAGAATTATGGGTGGCAAGAGGATTCACCAGACAGAGTGGGGTGCAGAACAGGCAGACTGACGAAGTACACTGCTGAGGGGAGCAGCGGACAAGACAGGAGAGGTCTGCTGTGCCATGTGGGTGACCTCTGGGGCAGGGATTGAACTCATGAAGACGTGGCATTGGAGAGGTCTGCTGCGCCCTGTGGGTCTGCTCCCTGGCCTGGGTCAAACTTATAGAAGAGGCTGGGATAGCTTGATAGCGGTGTCTTTAACCCCTGCACACCAGGGAGGCCTGAAAGTTGGGGTTTTTCACCTTTCCATCTTCACCCCTGCTCAAGGAAGTCTGCAGGCTGCACAAGTTGGGAGAAAGTCTTAGTTCTGCTCTGCAGATCAGGCCTTGAAACCCATTGCCCATTCCACAGGCATTCCTGAAGTGGACCAGATTCTAACTGTGCTGCTGACCACGGAGATGTTCGTGGGTGGATGCCTGGCTTTCATATTGGACAACACAGTGCCTGGTATGGATCAATTCTGGGAGTGGCACATAAAATTGCGCTAGACTCTTACAGATGGCCCTGAGCTGGAGCCGTGGCCAAGCCCAATGATGCCACGCAAGTCCTGCAGGGAGAAACAGGAACAGCTGGGCTGGCGGAGTGCCTGCTGGCTAGAGGGAGAGACCACTGGCTTACGCAAACATTACGGGTCTTGTGAGGATGGGCTAGGAGAGTTACTTAGGGTCTTCACATTGTTCCCTTTCCATTCCTTTTTCTTTTTTGAATTTTTTTTTTCTTAATTCCTCTCCATTTCTTTATGCCACTAGGACTGAGAAGTGTCTGCTTTCTTAGATACAAAGGCAGCATCACTGTTTGCCAAACCCACTCCAAATTTGCCAGCAGCCTGTCATTTTAGCTACTAGAATTCTCAAGAGTTTTTGCAGGGGTCATGGAGGATACTTGGTGGGTTTTCTGAAAAGCCTCCTACCCTGTTCATGTGCCCACTAAATACATACAAGCTAAATGTCACTAGGTGCTCTAACATTTACCGTTTACTACTACGTATGGGTCAGGTATGGAGCTAAGTGTTCCATTTCAGCTTCAAAACTTGTAACTTGTCCTGTGAGGTAGAGCTATCAACATCACTTTAAATGAAGAAACAGAATCAGAGAGGTGACTCACCAAAGGTCATGTTTGCAGATTTAAAATGTTGCAAATTTTAACAAAGTTCATCTGATTCAGTCCATGTCCTGTGTCCCAGCTAGTACACACTGCCTCTGTTAGAAAGCTTCAGGGGGATTGGAAGATCAAAGAAAGCTTGTGGAGACAGTGTGTGTTGGGTGAGTGGATGGGGCGGGAGGAAATTTGAAGACCTCATCAGTGCAAGGAGTTGAATGATGCGAGAAGCACAGTGGGCCTCTCTTCCCCGCCACTTACCAGCCTGAACACAGGTGCAGGTTCATTTGCTTCTCTCTCTGAAGAGGCAAATATCTATTCAGAGGACAAGAGTCAAGCTGACAGCACAGCTGGTGGGTTGGAGTGAGGTTAGGGAAGGGCCTGGCTCGATTGCACTTTTAGGGCTTTAACAGCATCAGAGGAGCGAGCTCTTGGTAGCAGCTGCCCCGTGGATAATGGGTGGATGTGTAATTGTGAAATCCCTTCCTCCCCCATATTTAGAGGAGACTAGGGTAGATGTCAGAATAGCTATCCTGTGGACTTAAGTGACAGCCTCAATGCTCAAGAAAAGTGAGGGGATACAGAGTATCTGGGTGAGAAGCTGAGGCTTCTTTGAGTAAATGGATTAAGTTAGATTAGTTTAGTTTCAGAACAGCCTCTCTTGTGTTCCTCACATCTCTATCTTTCACCCTTATTGCCTATCAGTGACACCCTGCCAGAAATCATTAATGTGTTACACGCCATAATCTTCAACACTCCTTTAATGAGCACGGGTGAGGAATCTGAAGCTTGGAAGTGACAGAGTAACTCCCCCAAAGTCATATAATCTGGATTCAAACTTAGGTGTAGATGGCACAGAACAGACTTTAGTCATGGAAATGCACAGCTTGCTTCTGTGTGATTGTTACACTTTGCTGATGGGCCGCTTTGTATTTCCTCCATCTTTTTATCTCTCTCTTTTTAAAAAGATATATTTATTTATGCAAAGAACTGGAGGTACAGGCCGGAGGATTCACCAGAGACAGAGTAGAGAGCAGAACAGGTAGATTTACTGACACACTTCTGAGGGGAGCAGTGGGCAAGACAGGGAGAGGTCTGCTGTGCCATGTGGGTCACCTCTCTGGCCGGGATCTAACTCAAGCTGCAGTGGCTGCAGATAGCTTCCTAGTGCTGTACTTTAACCCTTTGTGCCACAGGGAGGCCCTGCTCCATCTCTTAACTGATCCACAGTCCACCCTTACAGGAGCAATCAATTTAGTCCAGCAACTACTAATAAGAGATTGACCTTAGGTTAGACATGAAAGGAACGTGCGAAGAAAAAAAAAAAGTAACTTAGGTCCCTCTTTTGTTTTCAACGAGCTCCTACCACAAGCTAGGAGTCAAACTAGGTTTAGAGCAGTGTAGGACAGTAAAGTCAATGAGCCTGGGCTGCAGTCATCCAGAGGGCTTGCTGGATGAACTGGACAGGGCCTAATAGGGAGCTCTGTTGTGTGCAGATAGTAGAGTGACAGACACCACAGTCCTGTCACACAGAGCTTTCCCTCTCTGCCCACATTTCCTCTCTACTTTGCTAAAATAGTGACTTCCCCCAGAACCCTCTGAGATTTCAGGACAAATTTGGTCTGTACTACTGGGATATTGTAATTTACAAGATGTATTATGGTCATTCAGATGACCAGTATATGTGTATTTTTCACGTATTTGATCATCCCTGGTTCCCCCTAGTTCCCCAAATCCTTGTAATTTCCTAAGTGTTGAGAGTGACAACGTTGTCTCTTACTAAGTCATTGAGGTGACTTATGTGGAAGTACTTAAGGATGGGGACTGGTTGTCACTGGGAACCAGATTACAGAGGGTTGGAATTCCACCCTGACCCCCTGGGATTGAAGAAGGGCTAGAGGTTGTTCAATTGTCAATGGCCATTGAGTTAATGAAACATACTTATGTAAGAAAGCTTTCATAAAAGCCCACCAGGTGCGGCTCAGAAGAGCTTTTGAGTTAGTGAACATGGAGCCTTAATTTTGCAAGGAGCTCTACAAGTTACCAGAACTTGAGTGTGTCCTGAGCCCATAGAACAGCCTGGGGCTTGCCAAGGAAGTCTGAAATGGGGGTGGAATGGGTGGGTGGTTTTGGGAAGCTGAGCCCTTTAACTTGTGGTGTCTGATACAACCTTGAAGCCATGTCAGAATTGAGCAGAATATAGTTGGTGTGAGGAAGCCTACCCACACCCTTGTTGCAAATCCATTTCAGGGATACCCTATTTAACTACTCAAAGGGTTCTCAGTTTATGGTATTCTCAGACTGGGTTGCCAACATCTGAAAATCTCACTCTTTTCACTGGACTGAGTGTCAGTCTTTGTTAACCCCAGTTCTCGTGAAAACCTCATAGCTACACCCCACAAATAAGGGAGAATTTCTCTCCTTTTAAGAAAATCTCTCTTTCTACATCCCACACCCCTACCATCAAATATTGAATAAGATTTTACCTACCTTGACTTTTTGAGGCTTGTATTATTTTTTTTATTATTACAAAAGTTTGTTTTTACATCATTTTGTACATTCCTTTTTCCATCTCAATTGTGAGGCTTGGATTATTAACTAAGTATGGAATGACCATACTGAATATTAACACTGATTATAATGTTTTAAAACATATCTCCCTGCCCCCTCAATAGTCTGGGTATTAATTGCTCCCTGGGCTTAGCACACACTAGCTTCATACTCAATGATGTTGGTTTCTTCATAAAATCTTGTATCTTAGTGCCTATATTCCTATCACAGATGTACTTTCAAAGACATGACATAATGAAATTAAACCAGCACAAAGCCTGGTACACTGTACATACACAATAAATATTAATTATAACCCATATCTAGGAAACCTTACAGGGTTCTCTAGAACTCTGAGCAATCATATATTTAACAACTTTCCAGAATCAAAAGATAGAAGAACCAACAATTGATTTCAGAAACCTTCAGGTCTAGGCTTTGGGAAGGGGAAATACAAGAGAGATGGTGGTTGGCCCTGGTAAATGACCTTTCCCACTGTCCACTGCTAGGGAGCCCAGAGGAACGAGGGCTGATACAATGGAAAGCTGGAGCTCATGCCAACAGTGAGACCTCTGCCAGCCTCAAGAGCTACGATTTCCCCGTTGGGATGAATAGGATAAAGAGGATTGCTTTTCTGAAATACATTCCTATCTGCCCAGTCTTCAAAGGATTTTCTTCAAAGTCAAAAGACCAACTTCCAGTTCCAGAAGACACTTCAGAAAATATAGAAAGTGGGCCTGTGTCAACCAAGGTCTGAAGTATTACTCCCAGGAAAGGTAGGACATATGTTAGTCTATGGTTTTTGTGGGAGGACTGAAAAACCACACAACTCTTACCCTTTAAGAAACTACTCAGTTTCCACTCTTGTGGCCTGAGTGTCACTCAGGGAAAGGTAGACTGAATCAAAAGTCAATATATGGATTTTGGGTGGAACTCCTTAGCCATTTTTTGGTGACAATGGAACTTCTCGAAAGTGTGGGTCACTAGAAGGATACAAATAGTCTAAAATATTGATGTTTTCAGTCTTCTGGGTATTGGGGCAGAAATGGATCAACCAGAGCCCATGAGCCACAGCCAACCTCATCCCTGCACTCCAGTATACTGTTACCACCTGATGGAAAATGTTGAGAAATGATGACAGCACAAGAACAGGAAAAAAACCTCTCTTATCAGCTACCTTATAAGTAGTGGTCATAAAATAAGAACTCTATGAAACAGGATGACTTCGGTTACACTGAACCATGCTAAGGACAGGCCCTGATGGTGTGATCATCTGTTCCAAGGGCTTCAAAATGAAAGAGCAGATACCAAAACTTCCCATTATTAGATGGTCTGGCTTTCTAGTTTATCATCAAAGTAGATTTAATGTACATGTTCCCTCACACAAATGTTCTTGCAAAATAAGAGCTTAGTCTGAAGACTCTGTAATAGCAGCATTTAAAAATTTCTGTGTGCCAAGGACTGTCAGAAGTGCTTCATGTATATTAATGAACGACAATACCGAGGTAGATTCTATTATCACTACCATTTTAAAGAGGTGGAAACTAAGACAAAGAAAGGTTAAGTAACTTCCCTATCACTGGACTCACATCCAGGAAAGTTGTTCTCAGAGAGAAAAGATCTCTAGGTCTCACTTATTTGGCAGCTTGCTGCATCACTTATAGTACTGAGCCATTAGGGAACAGGTGGGACTGCACCAAGCACCTTATTAGTTTATTAAGGTGGCTATTAAAAGACACTGGAGCACAGAGCACACACTTAGGACCCTTTGTAAGGCTAATGTGAGCCAGAACTGACACTATGGCCTTCTTAATCTTCTTGAACCAAACTTGAGAAAATCAGAGTACACTGTCAATAAATGAATAGGGTCATGAGGGAGTATTATATACCAGTTCCAGGCCCTGTGGTACCTGGAACCAGAAAATTGCTAATGGCTAACTGGTTGACAGGCCATTCAAAATAAAGATTAGTCAGAAACCTATTACAAGTAAGTTAGGGGAAAAAGGGTCGAACGTTCAGATAAATAGCAAACCAGCCCAATTAAGATTGCAAAGGGCTTGTGAATAATACAAGTCAGTGGAGATTAGAGTAAGGTTACTACTATACTGGTCAATTTTTCTTAACATGGCTAGCTATGGGGCTTGTCGCTGTATTTTGGACACTGACATACCAACATTATCTGACAATATGGAATGTAATAAATTCTGCTGTCCCATCTTGAGATACTGGGTTGACATTACAGTATCACCAATGGAGAGTCTGCATTCCAGCACCAATAAACACAACCATCAGCTCAGTTCTACTATTATTTATTTTTTTAAATATTTTTGAAAAAATATAATTTTTTTACAATATTTTCAACTTAAACACTATTCACACTGAACACGTATGGCAGCTTAACCTACCCGGATATGAAGTTTAAGAAGCCAAAACTGTTCTAGCTTTGTTAAAAGAAAAGTTGTGCTGCAGACTATTGTAGTGATGGTTAACAAAGCAAGGAAAAGCACCACTCAAATTATAAATTACAATTTCTGTTCAATTGAATTGTGGGTTGGTCAAATGTTGGACTTCACAATGGCATAGCTACAATGCAGTGACTCCTTTGAAGATGTACTTCTAATACCACATACTTCCTCATACATAACATTAGGAACAGAATCCAGTATTTCTTACATGATAACGTTATACAAACCAAGACTAACTTTTATGCAAGCAGTAATACCTCATAGCCTCAGTAACTAAAGACATATTTGAATATACTGAATTATTTCAAATGAACGAACCATCTTCAAAAAAAGATTATTTTTGATGGGGCAAATGCAAATTTTAAGTCTGAACTGAGAAATCTGCTTAACAATCAGAACTTAATTTAAATTTACTTACTAAAAAAAGTTTAGTCATTAACAAGTGTTAGTTATCCATAAGGGTCTAGTAGTTTAGACTTAACAAAATAAAAGACAATTCACTAAGATTTAGAGGTCATTTAATTTCGTGCAATGTCACAACTTGACTGGTGCTTCTTTCCTCGCTGTCTTCACATCAAGCCATGGGGCCAATTCTATGTTCAGTAAATGTTTGACAGTTTTTTACTTAATAACAGTCTCAGCACTTTTATTAAGCATGCAAGACTAACAAAACTTTGGCAATGCATAAGTGTAACACAGTGACAAGAGAGCTTTTACAATTAAGTCTTCTAATACTGCCTTCACAGTGTGGAAATTGTGCTACATCCACCAAAAGAGGGCCCCGTCTACTCAAATATTTTAGTACTTCACCCCAGGAACAAACTCCTTTGCATTTGGATTCAGATTGCTCTTGACCTGGAAAATAAGTACATAAAAAAGCAAGTTCATTAACAGATGGCTTCAGATACTCAGAAGCATCCAACCCAGATCCACATGCAAGAATATCTTCCAAGAAATATTACACAAAGGCAGTAACTCAGATTGCTAGGTTAAACAACTCCCCAAATCTATAGCAGTGAAGGGGAGAACCAGATGTAAGCTATATGTATTTTATCAATTTATATCAACTTGCTAAAGAGAAAGTAGGAACTGAAATTGAATCTGCTTATGTATAACCAGAAACACAAGAACTTTACCTAAACTCAACTAATGTCACAGAACAAAGACTTCTATTAATTTAACTATGACACCTGACTTTTCTTTAAACAGCTTCATATTACATAAAAATGTAAGTTCTGAAATGATAATTAAAGTGGGGAATTGCTCATGGATTTTTACTTTATGATGCCCACTGAAAATAAGGAGCTGTCTTTCTACTGCTGTATTCTAATTCCCACAGGAAAGATGGTATACAACAGGAAGAGAAAACCACATGGGAAGTCAGAAGAACTAAGTCTGAATCCCAGCTCTGGCTCTAACTTTCTATGTAAGCCCAGAGAGTCACTCTGGGACTCAGTTTTTGCATCAAAAAGATGGGGAAGAATGGGCCAATGTCTCTTAAGTATATTAGAGATTCGTGCCAACATTGTATCTCTAAACTTCTACTTTCCTAAACAGTTGTGTCAGCTGTTGGGTAGCTGGAAATTTTCCTCTCCTATATCCTGGAATATAAGTTGATAAAGAAACCATGATGGATTCCAAGGCCTGAAATGCAGGAATGCTGAGAGGCTTTTAGATTGAACCTGAATCCACCACTCCCCTCTTTCAGTAACTTCAAGACCAAACCACATTAAAACATTTTTGAGCAATAAATTTAATCTTAGTTTCATATTTTATACATAGCCATTCCCTTGGACAGAACACATTCTCCCTTCTTTCAAGAAAACAGATCTAAAATTTTAAAAAGATGATAGTGAGATACAGAAACAGTATTCTTGAATACGTAATCTTTGGTGCTACCAAAGAATAAGAAGGAATTAAAAGTAATTTCAAACAGACCTAACTGAACAAACCAGTTCTATACAATGGAATTATACTGGAATCAGATTAAAGTTATAAATTATGTCTAGCAAAAGGTTTTCTTGAGCAGGGCAAACAGGATTATTTGTGCAATGACTTGTAACACAGTCATAGAGCAAATATCTTGACATTCTTTATGTCACACATCTGCTCAATTGGGTTACTGTCCTTTATAGAAACAAAGGCTATACATTACTATTTAAATTTCAGTGTTGGCTAGAGAAAAATAGTTTCCAAATGTCTGATAAGGTAGGTAGGCTGTCTGTATAACTGAGAATGATTTTAAAAATAAACATGTTTTGAAGAGTGATTCTGCAGGTCTGAGACTAAGAACTTATTTTTGTTTTTAATGCTTCATGGATAATTATGAGATAAAGTCAGATCAGGGAGCCTCTGCACAAAGAACAGAAGATGAGCACAAAATATTCTGCAGTGTAGTGGACAAAGAGTGGGTAAATCCCAAGTAACTATCTTGTAGATGATATCTGTAACTATAATACAGATTATAAATATGGACAGAAAGGTTAAAATTCAGACTTTAAATTATTTTATCTTAATTTTAGTAAAGGATTCATCGGTTTCTATTCTAGTACTGAAGTTTGCTTATCACAATTTCTGAAAAAACGTTTTATTATAAAACACTCACAGAAATTATAGATTAAGAATAACTGAAATGTAAATAGATTGGTGTTCCTTTTCTGCCAGGAAATAAAACTCTTGTAATAACCCTTATTAAATCATAATTCTAAAGAGACTTAAGGGCAACCTCAATAAAGATCATGGGCCAAAGGGAGGGGGAAAAAAAAACACAAAAGAACTCCAAAATTTTAACTCTCAGATAAAATTTTGCAAATTTCACCAAACATGTAAGACAAAATTAAAGAGCAATCTTCAAGCTACTGTAGTGTAGGCAAGTCACGTGGAAATACCGTGTACTTTTTTGGATTACTGCTTTAAGTATTTTAGGGCAACAGTGTTAGCAAAAGTAAAAGCAGTGTCAAGAAGCCATCAGTGGGCTTTGCAGACTCCAGAATGTTGCCAGGTGTCACTCCATGTCCTAAGTGAGACTGCGAGAGCTCTATTTTTGATAAGCAGCAGCAGCACAGGGGAAGAGATGTAAACCTCCTTTTAAACAGATGGATGGTGGATTTTCACTTATGAAAGAGAAGTCAGGTTTTAAAAAGATGAAAAATAACTTTTTACCACAAGATCTTCCAGAGAAGAGCCGTCACTGATAACAAGGTCATTAAATTGGTCTTGGATTTGGTCCATAGTTTGTGGGAGATCTCGAGCTGGAATAAACCACTCATGTTCTTCTTCTTCTTCCAGCATTTCTTGGAAACAACGTTCAATAAATTCTTCTTCCCATAACTCCTCTTCTATCTAAATTTATAGCAAAGGATAACTTATAGCACACTTGGTGAGACATCACTAGGAATGGCTTAAAATATCCTTAACTAAGCCATTTAAAAACAGGGGCCCTCCCTAGTAGTACAAGGGGTTAAAACACAGCACTGGAAGTGAGTCACAGCCACTTCAGTGTGAGTTCAATTCCCTGCCCCGGAGGTGACCCACATGGCGTGGCAGACCTCTCCTATCTTGCCCACTGTTCCCCACAGCAGTGTACTTCATCAATCTGCCTGTTCTACTCTCTGATCTGTCTCTGGTGACTCCTCTTACCATCCCTGCACCTCTGGCCTGTATCCCAGTTCTGTAAGCATAAATAAATTAATCTTAAAAAATAAATAAATGAAAACAAAGTCAATTCCTGTTCTGCTTCTGTGCTAAGGAAAAAAGGTGTTTACCTAAAGATCTGGGATTATTTGTTTAGGGTTTTGCCATGCTTTCCTTGTCTTAATACAAAATTCTTTTTCCACTGGGGTAGAATGCTCTCATTGAGGAACATGTATCAGAAGCAACTGTGATACTTTTAAAAAACCACACAAATCCTAATCTTACCTAAAATTAATTGAGAATTTATTTAGGTATTAGAGCGGGGCATGACTTATTAAAAAAATAAATAAACAACCCAGTTATTTCTTATTGAAATAACACTACTTCACTTTATTCCCTCATAGCCATCACTAGATATTATGGGAAAATCAAGATGGCTAATGAATTAAGTTTGGGGAGTAACTAGATGGAAGATGGGAATAGATGCCAGAAATATGGGAAGAAAAGACAACATTTATCAATATATGGGAGTCTGCAAAAGAACAGGAGGGTCAGGTTGATCAGACAGAAAATCTAGACACAGAATGAAAAATAGTGCCGTTTTGCACCCTGGTTCATGTAACCTCTCTGCTCCTAAGTACGGGATTCTCTAGACTTTCAATCAACAGAGCAATCTAATTGGTATATGACTGAATTCTCCCTGGAACCAATGGAAGCTTTGAAAAAACAAGTTTCCCAAGCTCCACTCTAGTCCTTCTGAATTAGAACCTGAGGTGGAGAAAAAAAAGCTCCAAAGTTATTTCAATGAGCAATTAAAACTGCCACGGATAATCAGCATCCAAGTAAAACAGGAGTAGTAGCAAATAAATCCATGTATTTCATATATGAGAATAGATAACATTTCAATGACAAGTACAATTATTTATCAACTACAAAAATGCATATTTTTAAAAAGAACTAACTTGTCTGTTGAATTCCTCCTCATTTTCCATCCACATGTACTCTGCAAATGGATTGTCATCTTCATGAGAATGACCGTTCATAATCACATCTTCATTGATGATACTTGGGCTAGTACTGCTGCGACTTGGATCTTTCATGGTTGGCGTTAGTTGTAGTTTTTAACCTTAAAAAAAAAAATACAGTTAACTTACTCATACTTTTAATTTTTAGTGACCATATGTTACTAGGCATCACAATCAGGTATTAAAATTACATAATAAAGAGTAATTGGGAAGAGCTTCAGTTTTCTTCCTAAATGTCTTTATTGCGTTTAACAGTTGAGCATAGCCCAGATTCTTCTAGTATTTTCTGATAAGTCAATGGAGGCATTCAGTTGCTTAAAAGGAACCCCAAACCATCCATTTTTAAAAATACTGACTATGCTTTTCTTTATAAAACAAACATGAACTGGAAAGTCAAATTAACCATCCATATGCTTATTTTGAAACAAATTAACATTTTTAAAAAAGATTTATTTATTTATGCATACAGAACTGGGGTATAGGCCAGAGGTGCAGGGTATGAGATTCACCAGAGACAGAGTGGGAGCAAAAAAGGCAGGTAGACTGAAATACACTCCTGAAAGGAGCAGCAGGAAAGACAGGGGAGGTCTGCCATGCCATGTGGGTCACCTCCCTGGCTGGGGATCAAACTCATGCTGCAGTGGCTGTGACAGCTTCTAAAATGAGTAACATTTTAGATTTGCCTCAACATTATGAAAAGCAGGACTCAATCCTGCTTTACAACTTGATAGAACTTTGTTTACTCTGCATATGAACCAATGCAGATACCAATTTATAACAGCTTTCCATTTTTTCCTCAGCATGTAACTTACCTGTACGTAATTAAATCTTAAATTTCAGAAGGCCACAATACTGACAAATGATTATTTTCAATGAAAAAAAGCAAAAACAAAACAAACAAAAAAACCCCCACCCATGTCTGAGTAGAGGATATTTAATAGTCAAATGACTTGAATAGCCATTCTGTTGTGACCACCTTTAAATACTTCTTTTTAGGACTTCCCTGGTGACACAAGGGGTTAAGTCTCAGCACTATGAAGCTATTGGCAGCTACTGCAGCACGACTTCAATCTAACCAACATGGTGCGGCGGGCATCTCCTGTTTCACCCACTGCTGCCCTCAACAGTGTAACTCAGCAGATCCACCTGTCTGGTCCCCACTCTGTCTCTGGTGCATACTCTTACTCCGTGTATCTCTGGCTATACCCCACCTCTTGTATGTATAATAAATAAGATTTTTAAAAATAAAAGCCTTCTTTTTAAATAGCCTTCAGTTGATTTAAGTATTTCAATATTTGCACATTATCTTTTTCTTTTTTATATATATAGAAGAACTGGGTGTAGGCCAGGCCAGAGGTACAGGGGATGAAGAAGATTCACCAGAGATGGAGTGGGAAGCAACAGGCAAGACAGGGGAAGCCTGCTACATCATATGTGGGTTTGGTTTCTCAGGCCATAGAGGTGATTGCTCTGAACACTTAACCCCTAGGCCACCAAGGAAGTCCTAAGTATACCTTTTTAAAAATAAAATGCTTTCGGGCCCTCCCTGGTGGTGCAGCGATTTAAAGCCCTGCACTAAGAAGCTTAAGCCACTTCTGCATGAGTTCGATCCCCGCCTGCCCAGGAGGAGATCCACATGGGGAAGTAGACCTCTCCTGAACCGCCTGCTGCGCCCCTCAGCAGTGTACTTCGTCAATCTGCCTGTTCTGCTCCCCGTTCTGTCTCTGGTGAATCCTCTCACCCTCTGCATCTCTGGCCTGTACCCCAGTTCTGTATGAATAAATAATTTTAAAAAAATGCTTTCTACACAGTTTACGACCACAAGCGTGTGTAAATAATCAAATGGGCTTCAACATTCTGGGGTTCCAAGGACTCCCTTTTCCCTCCTTATTTGATGCCAATCAGAAACAAATATAGTGTTTAACACAAAAAAGGGCTCTATCCCTGCATTTGATAAGACCCTCAGTCAGCTTTTTGCCCACTATCATACCCCATCAAAAAATCTGTGGCTTTGGTATAGTACAGTCAAATGGTCTATGAAAGACAGTAAATGAATTACTGTCTAGCAATATTTGAAAATCATCATAACTAGCCAGCAGGACTGAACTGGAACCTAGGTAGTAATCTCAAATCTGAGATAAATGAGGGAAGGTACAACTACTGACCAGATATCTAGCTACAGTAGCCAAGTGAAAGCCAGAGGTAAGGACCATTTATACATATCTACAATTATGGAAAGAAAGGTATTTTAACATATCTGATTTAAAATTTTCTTTTAAGATTCGTTCTTGACTTTTCTTAGACAACACTTTAATAATGCCTTTGTGGTTCTGATAGCTTAAAAAACTAAGTATATAGCTCAACTACCATAGAAATTATTAAGTGTTTGGCTGGCATTTGCTAAGAACAGGGCAAATGCAGTATCCAATGCTGCCTAAGGTAAGGAAGGACAAACAACACAAAAAAGCTTGGGAGGAAAGGTTGGTAATGGAGATGTTTCAGGAATAAGCACCTGCATTGAAAAGCACCTGCATATTCTGGGGAACATCAAAGGCCATGTACAGACCCAGCACAGGGAGCATGTTCAGAAAAGACATAAGAAGGACCCCCACCCTCACTCCTGGCTGACCTTCAGGTTCTGCACATAAAGTAAAGGCTAAATGGGACCTGTAAATGGCATCAGTGTCAAAGATCTACCTTTACACAGGGCCTCCCTGTAAAAAATTGTTGAGTTTTGTTTTCTGCTTACAAGTATTTAAAGAAATACTTCTTAACTAACTGACCACTAAGTAGTAGCATTGAGATTAAAAAAAAAAAAAAAGATTTATTTATTTATGCATAGTAGAGCTGGGGTACAGGCCAGAGGTGCGGGGTTTGACAGATTTCACCAGAGACAGAATAGAGAGCAGAACAGGCAGATCAACTGAAATACACTGCTGAGGGAGCAGTGGGCAGGTTAAGAGAGGTCTACCATGCCATGTGGGTCACCTCCCTAGCTGGGGATCAAACTCGTGCTGCAGATCACTTCACAATGCTGCACTTTAATATGATGCACCAACAGGGAGGGCCCAACACTGAAATTTTTAAAAAAAGATTTATTTGCTTATGCATCCAAGAACTGGTGTGTAGGCCAAAGGTGTGGGGGGTTAAGAGGATTCACCAGGGACAGAGTGGGGAGCAGAACAGATTGACTAAAATATACTACAGAGGGGAGTAGCAGGTGAGACAGGAGAGGCCTGCTGCACCATGTGGGTCAGCTCCTTGGTCAGGGATCAAACCTGTGCTGCAGTGGCTAGCAATAGCTTCATAGTGTTGAGACTTAACCCCTTGTGCCACCAGGGAGATCCAGTATTGAGATTTTAATGGCCATACACACAAAAGAATACATTAGTTTTAAAAAGTCACTATGCAAACAACTCTAACAAACCGAATCGTCACCATTCTGGGAAGAGGGGAGAAACAGATTTCAGAGTCGCCACATTTTAATATGTCCAACATGTATGTCCAATTTCCAACAAAAATTATGAGTCACCCAAAAAAAAGAGTATAGAAAATTTTTCTAGTTACAGGAAAAGAAGAAATAAATACAAACTATCCCTGTGGAGGTTAAGCATTGTACTTACTAGATAGAAACTTTTACAGGTATTTTAAGTATGTTCTGAGCTAAAGGAAACTATGTACAAAGAAATAAAGGAAACCATAGAATGATGTCTCATCAAACAGAGACTATCAAACAGAGAAACTACAAATAAAACAAATTCTGAATTCAAAAGTATAATGTGTGAAGTGAAAATTTTACTAGAGACTTATAGCAGATTTGAGCAGGAAGCAGCAGCAGCAGCAAACTGCAAAGTTAATCAATTAAGATTATTTACTTCCTCTGAGAACCAGAAAGAGAAAATAATGAACTTGAGAATGTGTCACCACTAACTGTCTTATATTAAAAAAAACAACAACAAACCTACAGTGAGTTTCTGAGGCTGAAACAAAGAAACACTAGGTATTAGCTTGAATCCATCTGAAGAAGTAACATTGGGAATAATATTTACATTTAGATAAAAAAGGCCCTCTCTGGTGGCACAAGGGTTTGTTAAAGCACAGTATTATAAACCTATCCACAGCCACTGCAGCACAAGTTCAATCCCTGGCCAGGAAGGTGACCCACAAGAAGCAGGAGACAACTCCTATCCCTGCCGCTGCTCCCCTCAGCAGTGTATTTCAGCCAATCCGCCTGTTCTGCTCCCCACTCTGTCCCTGGTGAATCCTCTCATCACCTTTTTTAAAATCAGTAATAAAACATTTTTTTTTGGCTTTGATTTCTTTTCTCTACATGACATTAAAGAAAAATGTGTAAAATAGTTATAAATCCATGCTAATAGGTACACTATATATAAACATGTTATTTTGTGACAATAACATAAGGGGGAGGGATAGCTCTGTACAGGAACTAAGTTTTTTGTTTTTTTTTTAAAGATTTATTTATTTGTGCTTACAGAACTGGGGTACAAGCCAGAGACTCAGGGGTGGCGAAAGACTTCACCAGAAAGTGGGGAGCAGAGGGCGGGTCAGGAGAGGTCTGCCACGCCATGTGGTCACCTCCGGGGCAGGCGGGAATCGAACTCATGCGGAAGTGGTTTCAGCTTCTTAGTGCAGTGCTTTAACCCGCTGCGCCACCAGGGAGGGCCAGGAACTAAGTTTTTGTATACCCTTGAAGCTAAATTATATTACTTCAAATTTAATCCTCATAAATTAAAATGTTAGATGTAATCCAGAGTAACCACCAGGAATTACACACATTGTAAATGTGTACAGCTGTCGTGTATCATCATCCCATTCAGTGGCAGAGAAAAACAGGCAGCTGTAAGACTTTCAGAGTCCCTCCCTGAAACCTCTTTCTCCTTTGCTGGGAGAAAGCTATTTTATAGGACAAAAACTTAAAGAGGATTCACCAGAGACAAAGTGGGGAGCAGAACAGGCAATTTACTGAAATACACTGCTGAGGGAAAAAGCTGACGACAGGAGAGGTCTGCTGTGCTATGTGTGGGTTAGCTCCCTGGCTGATAATTGAACTCAGGCATTCTCCATGATAGCACTGAGACTT